TATTTGGGAAGAATTAGGATTCAGTGATTATCATTTCCCAAGACCTTTTAGTTTGACGGAATTAACCACTCCAACTGATCATACCCAAGATGAAAAATTAATGAGAAAGATGTCCATTTGGATAGAAATCTCAGCTTATGCTCGTTTTGCAAAGAAAGATGGTTTGACTAAAGAACAAGTAGTTAATGCTGCCAAATATAAACTCAAAGTGATTCATCAGAAATATGGTTTTAAAGACTACAAACGATTATGAAAACCAACTGCTAGAACAACTTGAGATGAAGTTGAAGTTGGATAAAGATTTAGAATAGAGAGATGGTGGGGATTAGGTACAATACCCCTACGGTATTACAAAGATTTATTGAAACTCCCGTTTTGAAACTTTTGGATTGTTTATTTTGACTTTTGACTTTATTAAGAAGGTTGCTCTATAAGGAAAGAAAGAAGGAAAGAGCTATAAAATTGAGCTATTGATTAATATTGGAAATTTATTTGGAACAGTGTTATATTGGAATTATTATATTGAAAGTTGAAGTGTAAAAGTGTATATTAAGATTTTAGAATAAAGTAACTTTAACCAAAAAAAAAAAAAAAAAATTTAGACTTTATTAAGAAGGTTGCTCTATAAGGAAAGAAAGAAGGATAGAGCTATAAAATTGAGCTATTGATTAATATTGGAAATTTATTTGGAACAGTGTCATATTGGAATTATTATATTGAAAGTTGAAGTGTAAAAGTGTATAAGATTTTAGAATAAAGTAACTTTACCATTAAAAAAAAAAAAAACACCGCTTAGGCCGGGTAACGTTTGAATTTTTTTTGGCGACGCGTTCCATTAATTATCCAAAAGAGGTAAAGTAATTGAAAGTGTTGATATTTGTACAATTTTTCATAAAAAAAAAGCGTATCGTATTTGTTTTCATTTTGTTTAAACAACACCATCAATATAATAATCACAAAAGATGTCACAATCAAGAAAGAGACAAGCTGAAAGTGATAATGAAGATGATGCTCGTTCAGGTTATTCATCATCTCAAGCAACAGGGAATTCATCACCTCAACTTCCCCCAGTTGGAGGTTTATTACCTTCTTCACCCGGTGCATTACCATTTGATGATGTTGAAGATGAAAGAGAACTTGATATAGATGATTTGGATGAAAGAATTGAAGATGAAGAAGACGGTATTAATTTAATGGATGACTTTGAACGTGATTATAGAGAAAATCCTGAGGAAGATCACTATGATTTAGGTGATAATATTGATGATGACGTTGTCGATAATAACGATCTTGGAGATTATAATGAAGTTAATAGAAGATTGGATAAAAGAGATGAATACCTTCGTCAAAACCAAGCTTATCTCGGTGATGAAGATGAAGAAGCTGGTGAATTACCAATGAGAAGAAGAAGACGTAATATTTATGATGAAGATCAAGATATGGGTGATGATGGTGATATTGATCCTTTAAATGAAGAATTGAGTTTAGAATCGTTGGCTGATGTTAAAGCTCAAAGTTTAACTGAATGGGTTACACAACCAAATGTTTCAAGAACTATTGCAAGAGAATTAAAATCTTTCTTATTAGAATACACTGATGAAAATGGTAAATCTGTTTATGGTGCAAGAATTAGAACATTAGGTGAAGTGAATAGTGAAAGTTTAGAAGTTAGTTATAATCATTTAATGGAATCAAAAGCTATTCTGGCAATGTTTTTAGCTTATTGTCCTGAAGAAATGTTGAAAATTTTTGATATTGTTGCAATGGAAGCTACAGAATTACATTATCCAGATTATTCCCAAATTCATTCTGAGATTCATGTTAGAATTTCAGATTTCCCAACTTTATCCACATTGAGAGAATTAAGAGAAGGTAATTTAAATACATTGGTTAGGGTTTCAGGTGTTGTTACAAGAAGAACTGGTGTTTTCCCACAATTGAAGTATGTTAAATTTGATTGTATGAAGTGTAATTCAGTTTTGGGACCTTTTTTCCAAGACGCAAATACTGAAGTTAAAATATCATTTTGTTCAAATTGTAAAAGTAAAGGTCCATTTAGGATGAATTCAGAAAAGACTTTATACAGAAATTACCAAAGAATCACATTGCAAGAAGCACCAGGTACTGTTCCAGCTGGTAGATTACCACGTCATAGAGAAGTTATTTTATTATGGGATTTGGTTGATATTGCAAAACCAGGTGAAGAAATTGAAGTTACAGGTGTTTATAAAAATTCTTTTGATGGTAATTTGAATGTTAAAAATGGATTCCCAGTTTTCGCTACGATCATTGAAGCCAATGCAGTTAGAAGAAGAGAAGGTGCTCAAAAGGCAATGAATGGTGAAATGGATCAAGGTTTAGATATTTTCAGTTGGACTGAAGAAGAAGAACGTGAGTTTAGAAAATTATCAAGAGAACGTGGTGTTATTGAAAAAATCATTTCATCAATAGCCCCATCTATTTATGGTCATAAAGATATCAAAACAGCTATTGCTGTTTCCTTATTTGGTGGTGTTCCGAAAAATGTTAATGGGAAACATTCAATTAGAGGTGATGTTAATGTTTTATTACTTGGTGATCCAGGTACTGCAAAATCTCAAATTTTAAAATATGTTGAAAAAACTGCACAAAGAGCTGTTTTCGCTACAGGTCAAGGTGCTTCTGCTGTGGGTTTAACTGCTAGTGTTAGAAAAGATGCTATTACAAAAGAATGGACCTTAGAGGGTGGTGCTTTAGTGTTGGCTGATAAAGGTACTTGTCTTATTGATGAATTCGATAAAATGAATGACCAGGATAGAACATCTATTCATGAAGCTATGGAACAACAAAGTATTTCTATTTCAAAAGCTGGTATTGTTACCACTTTACAAGCAAGATGTGCCATTATTGCAGCTGCTAACCCTAATGGTGGTAAATATAATTCAACATTGCCTTTATCTCAAAATGTTGATTTAACTGAACCTATTTTGTCACGTTTTGATATCCTATGTGTTGTTAAAGATATTGTTAATTCAGCATCTGATGAAAGATTGGCAAGATTCGTTATTGATTCACATGTTAGATCAAATAAATCTATTGATGATGAAGATGATGGTGAAGATGATGAAGATATGGAATTGAGTGAACCGGAATCAACTCAAGAAACTCCATTACATGCAAGTAGAAAACATAAAAGAAGAAATAAAATCAGTCAATTGAATAAACAAAAAGAAAATGAAATTTCTCCAATTCCTCAAGATTTTTTGATGAAATATATTCATTATGCAAGAACCAAAATTCAACCAAAATTACATCAAATTGATAATGATAAAATTGCAAGATTATACAGTGATTTACGTCGTGAAAGTATAACAACAGGTTCATTTCCAATTACTGTTCGTCATTTAGAATCAGTTATTAGAACTGCTGAAGCATTTGCTAAAATGAGATTATCAGAATTTGTTTCACAAAGTGACGTTGATCGTTCAATTAAAGTTAGTATTGAAAGTTTTGTTGGTGCTCAAAAATTAAGTGTTCAAAAACAATTGAATAGAAGTTTCCAAAAGTACAACTTGGAGCGTCAAAAGTTATGAAATTAATAGTTATTATCAAGAAATCTGTAAAATTAGTGTTTTTCATTTGTTAGTTTTATTGTTTAGGTGTTAATTTTGGGTCTACGTGTTTTCAAGAAATGGTTTATTTATAACATAAATTTTTTCATTTTGTAGAATATTTAATTCAAGTACTCTTCATGAGTCTTTGTAAAATCTTTGGAGTACTCAACTTCTCCATGATTATTTGGAGTAATTAGGATTTTCACTTCAGTAGCTTTATTAGCCAGTAAATGATCAAACCCTCCTTCAACACCATTTTCTAAATCAACAACACTTGTGATCATAGTTTTTGTTTTATCAACATCGATGTTCCCCTTTTCAAAAGCATCCAACACACCTTCAAAATCTTCTCTTGTATAGCACATTGAACCCATTAATCTTTTTTCAGTTTTGGTAATCTCCATTGGATAAAAATTGATTGAATCTGAACCCCATATTGCAACATTAACAATAGTACCATTTGTAGTGGCAGCTCTAATTGCAGTGTGTAAAGTGATTTCTAAACCTGAACAATCAAAACAATAATCAAATCCATGACCTTTGGGACTAAGATCCATCAATTCCTTAATTGGATCACCATCAACTGAACTTGGATCGAAAACATGAGCACCCAATTTTTCCGCACTTTCTCTTCTTCTTTTTGAAGGTTCAGAGCATACAACCATTGAAGCCTTATGACCAAAACATGATAATATAGCAGCTAATCCAACAGCACCACCACCTAAAACTAATGCTGATGAATCTTCTTTGAAGCCAGATATTCTAACAGCATGCCATGAAACAGCAATTGGTTGAACCAATGCACCAACTTCCAATGGGATACTTTCAGGAATAACAATAGCGTGTCTTGCACCAGTAACGAATTTTTCAGCTAATCCACCATCTTGAGCGCCTAATCCACAAATTCCAGCATAATCACAAATGTTTGTTAATCCTTTAGAACAAGGTGCACAACTATAATCCTTTGATAGATTAGTATTTTGGAATCTTGGGCTATCCGAACAGAAAACGGTTGGCTCAATAGCAACTTTATCACCAACATCCATCCCATAAACCCTTTTCGAAAATATTAGTATCTCTCATCAACAAATATTGGGTGTTTAACTCACTCGTCACCTTTAGCAATAATTGTACCGGAAATTTCATGACCCATACACATTGGACCTTTCAACCCAGTTAATTCATCAGGTTTATCATTATTTGCAAAGAAATTTGGGGGATCAGTATATTCTTTCAGATCAGTCCCACATATTCCACAATAGGCAACGTCAACTAAAATCTCATCTGGGGAGGTTATTTGGGGTTCTTCAAGGTCTATTTCATATCTGATGTCTTTCTGACCATGGTACACTATTCCTTTCATGATTTAAGAAAGATTTAGATGAGTTTAAAAGGATGGTTTGGTTTAGAAATTTCAATTGTTGATATTTTCTTGTTTTGTTTAAAAATTAAACGTTTTCAATTGCGACTTGCCTAGAAATGGGGGTAATTCTTAGAGAAAGCAGGGATTGTTTATGAGCTGAATGAAGAAATCAAATCATGGTCTACTTTGTTTGTAATTGCGAAGAACTGCCAGAAACCTCTTGACCCTGAGATTCTTCAGCAGCAGCCACATTAGCAGCATCAGCAGCAGAAGTAGTAGAAGCGACAGCCGTGTCCTGTTGACGTGGATGATTGATGTCTGACATAGCTGATGTAGTACCAGCTCTTCTTGAATTAGATGTACTTCTGGTTGACATATTGTATAGTTAACTTCTTACAGATATTTTGTGTATCTCTGGTCCTTCTGACTATTGCAAGATAGTTCACAACAGACGACCTCAGTTCTCAGAACTGGAATTAGCCTGTATTCTTATACACTTCCTGGAGCTGAAATTATCATCTTAACTAATCATTTCATCTGTGAACCTAGAACTAAAAGCTAACCAAACCTAAAACCAATAGCTGTTCAATCAAGGCAGACAAGCCAGCTATATACATGAGTCCAGACTTCATATAGATATTCTCTTTAGCCGCTAAAGCATCAAACAAGCTCATGGAGTAGTTCTCCTATCAACCAACTTATATACCAACAGCGATGTTCTCATATCAGTCAAAGCAGTAATATTCACTTTAATTGGAAATATCTTTATTGTTTTGTTGATAGTTATCCTTTTCAAGGCTTAAACCTCCATGAGAAGTTTGGGGTAATGACACGTTGAAGTTTGACAGATGATAGATTTTATGTATTAAGAACACATTTCCAACTGGTAAACTTGTATTATAATCTCTCAAGTGCGTTCTTGAACGCTGGAGCAACCTGCTTTCTACTAGAAGCCAAATTTTTTTGTTGAAATACCTGCAATTTTGGAGATTCCTCAGTATATTTTGGCAAGGTTTCAATCTCCAATTGATCCTTGACAGCCTCTAAAGCCAAATTTATCAACACATCATCTGACTCACTTGCACCTATTATACCCAGTTGTCTATTGAATTGATCATCTTTGTTTAGGTAAGAAGTCATTATTATGAAAATATCCAAATGTTGATCTTCCAAAAACATCTTTGCACCTTGATTTAACTTTGCAAATCTATCCTCTAACCAATCAAAAGGTTTAACAACTGAAGTAATACCAACTTTTTTAACAACATCACTTGATCCAACTTCAAATTCGAAAGATTTATAATCTTTCAAGAAAATATCATCTAATGATAATCCTTCGATATCATCTTTCGCCTTTCTAACATCTTTATAGAAAGCACCAGTATCAAAATCATGTAAATATTTGGAATAAATTTTGAAAACTTGGACATCAATATCTTCAACTTTTGAAGTTAGGTTAGAAGTATCAATAACTAAAGGTGCTAATAAAAACTTGATAATTGAATCTTCAATTTTATTTGAATCACCTATTAAATCATACCAATATTTGAAGACAAGTGATGAACAACTACCAGATTTTTGTATGATTCTTGGTTTTGCATCAATTGCAATTCCTTCATCTTCATGATGATCAATTATTCCCACAATTTCCAATCCAGGATTCTTTACTTTCCCTTGAGGAGAATTGTGATCAACTAATATCAATTGGTCTACATTTTTCAATTGGGTTAAATCATCTGTAAAGAATAAATTCTGTGTATCGATTCCATGTTTTTGGAAAACTAACAATACATCTTTTCTTGAACTTAATTCTTTTCTTGTAAAATTCAATAAAGGAATCATCAAGCTGGATGAATTATGAATATGATTGAAATAAGCATATGATATAGCTGATACGATTGAATCAAGGTCTTGATAATGGGTTAGTATCGAATTGTTCCAGAAGGGTACTTTTCTTTTATACTCACCACCAGATTGGTTCCCAGAGACAATTGAGAACCTGGAAGGATTTTGTTTTATGCTGCTGGAGATCACTTTGAGCACTTGGTTTATTCCTCTGACACTCATTTTTTTGCAATTGTCTTTTCAATTAATAAAGTGGTGTTCAGAATTTGAAATCATTTCTATTTCACTTTTTGCTTTTCCGAAGAAACACCAGCCACAATTTCAAAATCTTGTCAGCCACACTATCTGTGGCTAATTGAACTTTTGAAAAAAACCGTGTGATGATAAAGTCAAAAAGAACTAAAACCACGTTAAACCAGGATATCTTAGATCAAATCACCAATTCCAATCCCAATGTCACTCTTCCGTCCAACTGCTCACTTGTTCATCTGGTCCCTAGTGTAAGTATGAAATCAGTTCCTCAACTACAAATATACTAATTGCATCAAATCCAGTTGGGGAGGTTCAGGTTACTATTCATACGTTGCTTCACCAATTGCTTTTAAAACATTATCAAGAAAAGAATTCTCAGCTTTACAATCCAAAATATTCCCACATTTCTTCCTTGCTCAAAGTGTTAGTCCTTTGTTGATTGGGTTGACAGCTCCTTATGCCCTAACAACTGGTGCTTTAGTCACTTTAGGTACTGCTGTCATTGGTGGGTTAACTAATCTATTATGGTTATTACCATCTACAAGAAAGATTAAAGAAGCTAGATTCAAGTTGGAAGATGAAGGTAAAGAAGATAGTGTTGAACATAAAGAATTAAGTAAACAATTTGGTAAAATTCATGGATTATCTTTATTGTTCAATTTTGTTAATTTTGCAGCATTGACAACTTATGGTTTCATTTTAACCAAGAATATTATTCGTTATGTTCCTAAATAGTTATCTCCCCTTTAATATAAGATCTTGTATATATTGTATTTGCCTTTTTATGTACATTTCAAATTATAGAATTGTGAATATATCATTACAAAAAATCCCCCGTCACTTTGTAATTATAAAACAATAATCATTTCTTGTTTTATAAAACCACATCACCCATCATTAATGATTCTCTTTAATCTTGTTCTTGTTCTTGATCTAACTGAACAGATTCACTTAAAATGTTTGCCACAGCTTGTGGAGGTTGTAAAGCAATCAACATAATAATGTATTCATAGATTTCAGCAGGAACGGAACGTTGGTAAATGTTCAAGATATCAGTTGGGTTTGGATAGATTGATAAAGCTTTATAGAAATGTATAGCAGCATTTAATTCTTCACCTGGAACAGCACTCAATTGTTCACCTTGTGTAACTTGAGTCATAAAGAATCTTTCCTTTTCAGCAGCATCGGTTGGGATAGCTGGGCCTTCTTTCATTGATTGGATCAAAGCTTCTTTAACAGCTTCTAATTTAACAGTTTTAACTTCTTTTTCATGTTCTATCACTGCTTTTTCATGATGTTTCTTTGATTTTTTCAATTTTCTTCTAAATTCTGGAGAATTACGACGTTCATAATCGAAATAGATGGCATAACCAACTGATAAAGTGGCAGCAGCAGCTAAAATGTATGAAAATTTACCCATTTTGTTCAATTGTTTGGATCAGATGAGATGTGGTTTTAAGGGAAACTTGTTGTGTTGATTGTGATTTTCTTGACGTTGTTTTTCGTTGGAAAGAAAAAAGTTGAAAATTTTTTAAGCTGGATTATGTCATCTCATCTCATAAATGAAAATAAAATTTATTTGATGATTTATTTGAATATTGACATAAAATAGAAGGAGATTAAAAGTTATAAAATGGTGAGTATAGTTGATTTGAGGTCTTGAGTGGCATTTCACTAACTATGTGTCTTGCTAGGCTGCGAAAAAAAGAGTGAATCTAAGAGCTAAAGTGGCTTCAAAAGCTAGTAATAAGAAACCAATCCAACCATCATCAATAGATAATCAACTCTCAGAGGATCCAAAGGCCTTTTTACATGAATATAAAGAATCCAAAAGAGAAAAACAAGATACGAGATCAAAAGAATTCTTGAATCGTTTATCTTCAAAAGATGACAATCTATCAGGGATTTCTAAATCAAGTATAAGACGTCGTAAAAGAAAGCAAAAAGCTGAATTATTACCAAAGATGCAAGATTTATTAACTTCATTAGAAGATACTACAAGTGATAATAAAGAAGAGGATAAGAGTGATAAATTCGCCAATATCAACATCGTTGATAGAAAGACTGGTAATAAGTATATTGAACATGTTCAAAAACGTAAAAATTTACCAAATCCAAAGAATCAAAAAGGTGCAAAAGTTATTGAAAAAATGGAAAGAGAAAAATTTGTTCAAGTGTTACAAGATCCAAATTTTAGAGCTAATCCATTTGCAACTTTAAGAGAAAGTATAGCTGCTAGATTAAAGAATGGAACCATATGACCAAGTTTAATGAAAGTGTACAGTATTTAATGAAATTTTGCAAACAAAACACGTATATCATTAATTAAAGATGCATAAAAACCCACTTAAAAACTCTATCAAGAAACACACTCACAGAATGACTATTACTAAATTTACACAACACAACTTCTAAAACTTTATCTAATTGTAAAAACTTTGTTTACTTTGACTCCATTTGTTCTCCAACATATAAGGTAAGATCCCAATACTTACACCATGAAATAAGATTTGATAAGTAGTTTCAAACAATGGGAATTCATCAACATAATGTTTTTCTTTAATCAATTCATGAATTTCCTTAGCAGTAACTAAACCTTGAGCAGATTGACCATTTAATAATTCAATTTCAACTTCTCTTGCAGATTTACCAGTTTGAGCCATAATTTTAGCCAATTTGAAATTTCTACCACCGGTACAAGTCGTGAATAAATCAGCAACACCTGCACTTTCTTCAGTAAATGAACTAACTTTTGAAGCTGGGAAGAAAATTTGACCAAATTTAATCATTTCTAATAATCCACGACGTAGGATTGCAGCTTTTGCATTATCACCCCAATTCAATCCATCAACAAACCCAACACCAATTGCAATGATGTTTTTCAAAGCACCTGCAATGGAAACTCCTGCAATGTCGTCAATGACATGGATATGGAAATATGGTCTATGGAAAAGGGTATACAGGACAGTTGCATCAACATCACCAGAAATATAATCTGGTGGTAATGGATAAGCAATTGTTGTTTCTGAAAATTTTTGTTCTGCAACTTCTTGAGCCAAGTTTGCACCGGCAAGACAACCTGTCCATATACCTATTTCTTCATGAATGATATCTGGTAATAATTCCACTGTGTTTTGTGAGACTCTCAACCCTTTTAAACATGAAACTGCTCTTGTCTTTGGAGAAACATGACCTTTTAATTGTTGTAATATAGTTTCCAAGAATTGATGAGGGATATTGAAAATCAAGATATTTGAACCTTTAACAGCTTCTAATAAATCAGGTTCTGCAACTAAATTATCTGGTAATATTATACCTGGTAGATATTTTGAATTGATATGTTTTGTATTGATGGTTGTTGTTAAATTTTCACCTTCATATTCTTCTTCATAAACCCACATACGAACAATTGGTTCGAATAACAATGGGTTTTCTCTAGTGTTTTCAGCTATAACTTTTGCAACTGTTGTCCCCCAATTCCCTGAACCGATGACTGTTACTGTGAATGGTGGTTTTTCAATGGATCCATAAGATACTGATTGTGATATAGGAGCTGACATGATTATGATGTAACTAATTATTTGCCTTGATGGATTGAGAATTAGTCTATTAAGTGCACTGATACCCAGATCCAATTCCTTTTATACTTATAAGAAATTCATGTTTATCCATATTTTTGATACCACTACCACGGTGTCGCAACCAAAGTGTGCTTCGTCGTTGGCTGATTGTTCCACAGCGAAAAGAAATTTTGTCATCATCATCATACAAATTTAGAAACAATTCAGGAACAAAATGAAGGTGATGGGATCGTTCGGAGTCCTAAATCCTAAACCGGGCGTAATTTGGTGCTGTTTGTGGCTAAATTTCAGGTGCGCTTAAGTACTGCCAGGTTGTCTGATACTGCTACAATCTGGTCATATTGAGGTAGCTGAGCTTATGATAAGTACTCTCTCCTCTTTGCAAAAGCTTTAACACTGCTAGTTCAGGTTTGTGAGTCACTAGATATATTAATGCCTCAATAGCCTATTACTGCTGTGCTCTCGTGAAGAACTTTCCAACTTCATAATAATTTTAAATATTGTTCTACGTTTGACCTCTCTCGAGACGTCTTGAACTGTGCTACCATATTCTGCAAAGTCCTCATCTTCTTATTTTAGGCTATCTTCACTCCTTCTGGGAATCCCCGTACACTGTATACCCAGATTATAGTTATCAAATGATCAGTTGCAAGTGGAAAAACCCAAGCCAAAAAGCGTACCCAAAATCTTCCGAAAAGACAAGAGTCAGATTGGAAAAAATTACACTGGAAAGTTGAAACCGCTTCTTGATGAGCGTGACTTGTACAGAACTACTCGTATACGCCATTACAAGAGAAGTGGTCCATCATCATCATTGTCTATGGATCCTTTAAATGTTCTTTATCACCATCACCTGACACATACAATACTTTATAGTATGTTCGCGAACGCGTTTTGTAACTCGGATTTTTTCGCGTCTCTTCTTTCAATTAGGATCTTGTTGATGGGACAAAGATTGATGAGTTTAAAACTTGGTACATTTCTTGATTTCATCGTATGTTCAAGTGATGGTGTGGGTGATGATTGGTGTTTTTATGGAGGTGTTTTCAATCGGCTCTTTAGAAGTACAGTATCTTTACAACTAGTCTCTATATGGTTTTAAAGCTACAGCTCTTGAATTTGCTTCATCAAGTGCCAAAAATGATGCATTTCATCAATTCCAAAAGCTAAATCATGATCTGGGGTGCATCATCAACTAAAATTTCACTCCTCGATTCCTCGGTATCTTGGTGCAATTCCACTGTCTTTTCAAAAAGTGAACCCCAATTGATTTACAAATTAGTGTAAATATATGCAACCAGATACAAGCACAATTTCAGCATGGGAGAGATTGTTCGGATTGTTCACAAGGACACTATGCACCAAACCAATGATAATTGAGGGCAGCTCAAGGACTATGATTGTTTTAACTCAAACTAGTGTACCATTTGATTCCATATATCCAACTTACTGGTCACTAATTTTAATTTTCAATCCAAAGCTCAAATTTTAACATTGTCGGTGCTATAGATTCAACCCTATGAATAATAAGCTGAATCTTGGAAGGTCAGCCAGGTAAGCAAGTGTCTGTGATACCAAAAGGAGACAATCATAGTGGGAGAAAGTACAAGTATGGACCCTTGCTTCACTGAGAAGTGGTACATAGATCTGTTGATTTACAAGAAAAGGTTGACAGATAAACAACCAAACTCCAATCAATCGAATAATGAGGTGCTAGATGTGCTATCGATTTAGTCAATAAAAGATTTAATTGAGCTCTTTGTCTGGTTGTCAATGATATGATAATGCTATGACTTGTAGATAGCCCAAGACTTGGAGAAACTAAAACACAGATCCCATAACTCTTTCATTCAATCTTTATCAATCTACTCGTCTATACTCTTCATTCTCTTCCTTCATTATCAATATTTCATGTATTTCTAAAATTTGTATTTGTGGAGAACTCCGCTTAAAAGCGCATCATGGACGGAATTTTTTTTTAGTACCCCGGATCATTCACAGGCCAAGATTTGAAAATACTCGAGATTTAGGACATCAACAACTTGAAAAAGGACACCAAACTAAACACATAACGTATAAATTAAAGGGAATCCCTGTGCTGTGCTTTCCCCCATCTAGAAATTACTTTACCCACCGATCAACATGTCGCAAAGATTTGAACTAAACAAGGAGCTGATAGAGTATGCTTATGAGAATCTCAACCATATTCCAAAAGGTAATAAAGATTATGAATTGATGATCTCTGGTAATCGGTGAGTATATCCTTGAGAGTGTTGAGAGGTTATACGTACTAACCAAACTAGTTACAACTGTATGAATGAACAACTATTAATGGATCGTTTAATTCGTCATGAAATGGCTCAAGATTATGGGAACTTAAGAATGGGATCCCAATCACCAGAAGAATATTTCCAAACTAGAAATGAACACTTAAAGAAAATCTTTGGTAAGATAAAAGGTGACAGAGGCGCATATATCGAAGCACCATTCCAAGTTGATTATGGTTATAATATTGAACTTGGTAAAGATTTTTATGCAAACTTCAACATGACAATCCTAGATTGTTCACTTGTTAAAATTGGTGATGGTGTTCAATTTGGTCCAAATGTTGTCTTGAGTTGTGCTACACATCCTGTAGATTCAAAAGAAAGATGTGTTGATTTTATTGAATGGGCAAGAGAAATCATCATTGGTGATAAAGTTTGGTTAGGTGCAAATGTTACAGTCTTACCAGGTGTAACTATTGGTGCTGGAACTACTGTTGGTGCGAATTCTGTTGTTTCAAGAAGTTTACCAGCTTATTGTGTTGCTGTGGGTACACCTGCAAGAGTTGTTAAGAAATTACCAGGATTTCAAGAGTGAATTTGTTATATCATGAATGTTTTTTAATGTATGTATGGAAACTTTGAAATATCTTTATTGAAGGTCCATAATTCCAATAAATGTAGTGTTTTCGTATTTTGAAAATGGATTTATCAAGTTCATTTGGTTTTTGCTTTTTTCTTCTAAATGATCTCGACCAAACATCACCATTTGTAGTGACGGTTATCTCATCATTAGATTTTTGAAATTTTAATGGTAAATCTTTTAATAATTGTTCAATTTTTCCCAAATCAATATCAAATCTAACAATTGTAGGGTCAATTTTTTTATAATCATTCTCAATAATAGGTCTTTTGTATCTAAAAGACCAGAATAAGATCCATCGTTTAGTATTACCTAGTTGATAATCTTTAATGAAGAAGTTCTTATTCCCAATTTCATTCAACACGGTGATTAATGGTTCAATTGATGATTTTTTACCCAATAATGATGAAAACCAATCAATTTCAGGAAACCCAACACTTTTTTCAATCAATTTCTTTACAAATTCAGCTTCACCACCTATTGTAACTAATTCATTATCACTAGCAATAACTGAACCTCTTGAAAGTTTTTCCTTAAAGCTTGAATTTCCCAGCATTTCATCCCTTGAATTGAAAAAAGGTGGATTACACATTGTAAAATTGTAGTCCCCATCTTGGAAAAACTCATCTGGGGTAGCGCTAACATCAATAACATCTAGAACCTCATTCAATCTATTTGATTTCAAAACAGATTTAGCATTGGCTATTGATTCTGAATCTATATCAGTTCCAGCCATTGTCCAACCATACTTCTTGTACCCCAATATTGGATAAATAGCATAGGCACCTGTACCAACATCAAGACCTCTGATAGGCTCTTCAATCCCGCATTCTTTCAAAACATGGTTGATAATTTTGAGATATTCTAATCTACTAGGAATTGTAGGGCATAATCTATCACTTCTGAAGTCAACATCAATGTCATGATCTTCTTTCAAGATGGCTTTTGTCAATTGACATAATCCTGGATGTCTAAAATCATAATGACCATCATCATCAAGACTAAACAAAAAAATGTTAATTCATAGAGCTCCTCTGTTCAAAAGAACACGATTCGGTTACTTACAATTCCTTTAAATATGAATACTTCCCAGCCAATTCCCTAAAATCATGGTGTTCTAGATCCATTCTAATCGCATATTCCAACGTCCACCCCACGTCAATTCCAGCTTGAACTCAAACTTCACCAACATCAACTTCAACTTCAACTTCACCAACGTCATGATCCGAAAAACAAAAAGAAATTTCCGTTCGCGAACTCATGTGCTGGAATCTGGATGTGGTTCCACTTGGCTGCCCCTCGGCCACGTAATCAGCCAACAGTTGAGCACAAAGCTCATGATACAAAGGTGAAGTCCTGGGATCCTAGTCCCTGTGCTGGCCATCATGTTATGGTGTCGTCACTCGTGCCCACGAGCTGCTGATAGTGGATAGAGTTTTGGCTTTTGACAAGGTATTTGGTCTCCTTCTCTGAGGCATACGGAGATTAGTACATCAATCAATTGAACTTGTGCTATGTGTATCGTTACGTAAAAGATGAGATTGACAAATGCTGTCCAGATGTAATTCTACCTGATGGTGCCTGGCTCCTTCCCAGACTATGAATATAACTTGCCCTAGGCCAGCTCACTTCTAACCCGAATATCTCCAGTATCCAGGTTGCTGCCATCTCCAGGTGATGCTTCAGTTGATGCTCTCGTTAAAGCCGTCAAAAATGTGGCCCTTGACCGGATTATTTTACATTTTTAGGCCATTTCGACGCACCACCAGATTGTTTCCAAATTTCGAATCTGATGGTTTCAAGACCCATAAGGAGAAACTCCTGATTCCTTTATTCCTCTTGCATACGTTGTTGTTGATCTCTAGACTCCCTCGGACTTTCTAGATAGATGGGAAAAGTATAAAAGGAGTTGTTCATCCCCTTTTTATCAACTTCCAATGTTTTCTTAATTCATCATCAATTAACAATATCAATTGTTTAATTATACAAAAACTTATTACTACAAAAAATGTCATTTGAAATCCCAAAAACCCAAAAGGGTGTTATCTTTTATGAAAACGGTGGTGAATTACACTATAAAGATATCCCAGTTCCAACTCCAAAAGCTAATGAAATTTTAATCAATGTTAAATACTCTGGTGTTTGTCATACTGATTTACACGCCTGGAAAGGTGATTGGCCATTAGGTGTTAAACTACCATTAGTTGGTGGTCATGAAGGTGCCGGTGTTGTTGTTGCCAAAGGTGCCAATGTTACCAATTTTGAAATTGGTGATTATGCAGGTATTAAATGGTTGAATGGTTCATGTCAATCATGTGAATTCTGTGAAAAATCATATGAAGCTAATTGTCCAAAAGCTGATTTATCAGGTTATACCCATGATGGTTCATTCCAACAATATGCTACTGCTGATGCTGTCCAAGCTGCCAAGATTAGTAAAGGTACTGATCTAACTGAAGTTGCACCAATCTTATGTGCTGGTGTTACCGTTTACAAGGCTTTGAAAACAGCTGATTTAGCTGCTGGTGAATTTGTCGCCATCTCAGGTGCTGGTGGTGGTTTAGGTACTTTAGCCATCCAATACGCTAAGGCTTTAGGTTTAAGAGTTGTTGCCATTGATGGTGGTGATGAAAAAGGTGAATTAGTTAAATCTTTAGGTGCTGAAATTTACATTGATTTCACCAAAACAAAAGATATTGTTAAAGATATCATTGAAGCTACTAACGGTGGTCCACATGGTGTTATTAATGTTTCTGTTTCAGAAAAAGCCATTGAACAATCTACTGAATATGTTAGACCATGTGGTACTGTTGTTTTAGTTGGTTTACCAGCTGGTGCCGTTGCTAAAGCTCAAGTTTTTGGTGCTGTTGTTAAATCAGTCTCCATTAGAGGTTCATATGTTGGTAACAGAGCTGATACTAGAGAAGCTATTGATTTCTTCGAAAGAGGTTTAGTTAAAGCTCCAATTAAAGTTGTTGGTTTATCTGAATTACCAAACGTTTATAAATTAATGGAAGAAGGTAAAATTTTAGGTCGTTATGTTGTTGATACTTCAAAATAGAGAGATTATTAAAGGTTAGTATTATAGATATATAGATCAAAGTTTTTTATGATTTTATGAAGTTTTAAAGAATGATTATTTGTTGCATTTTTAGAAATATTAGTTGTAGATTATTTATGATCTGGGAGGTGGTTCAATTGGATAGCACATTCAAGAGGTCAATTGATCTAAAGAAACTACAACATGTCCTATATACCCTATAACTGAAGCACTAGCGTTATATATAGGTTAGGTATAAGTATGTTCAACTCTTTAGACTTCAATGCATATCTAGCAACCTTCAAATATAGTACATTCACACTTAAAATCTGTTGTGTTGGAGTTTAATAGATGCCGTTGCCTATATACGTTTCCTTCGGGTAAATGAATCCATTTCGCGAAAATCGAGTCATTTAACCGAAAGTTATCAAATTGAAGATAATTAAAGCATGTAGAATGTATAAATTAGAACTAGAAAAGTATTACATTCTGCTTGAATTTTTAAAACCGATCTATTTATTATAATATTTGATTGATTTTTCAACTTTTATGAATTAATTTTGAGAAATTACAATGTTTTAACAACGTAGTAATCTTTAATTTAATTTCAAAATGCTACTGAAACTTTTGCTTCAAAAAATTAATTAATTAAAGGTGTTCTTAATTGTCCTAAAGTGTACCCATATTTGGAAACTAGAATAAATTCCCTTGACAATTATTTTATTTTCAACCATAGTTCACTATTCAGTTCTGGAATTGTGTTCAAAAAGAGAATTGAAAAATTAAAATTTGGGCGCGCGCGCCCGTAGTCCAGGTTGAAAAACACTCTAATTTAGGCTATTTGCACTATAGTTGCTTCATATCTGATATCTTGCATTAGATTAGATTAAAGAGTAAGACATATCGATCTTTTAGGAAGCAACGAATTTGTTACAAATGTGATTATTTTCAATATTTTGTGTCATGATGATCTTATGACCGAGTACCTTTATGAGGGAACTCCGAAAGATTGATTGATTGATTCATCATTTTTACGAGGAGGAATCCGATGAATCATCTGATTGTTTTTGACACATTGAGATACAATGGAAAAATGAAATGTTACAAGTTGTAAGTTGTAACAGATGTGATTTAGGGTCTGAATAGTTAACGGCCTTACTTAGTCGTGTTAGAAGAATATAGCTGTTCGTAGCTTTAAACTGTCAGTTTCCTGTTCTGTAGCTAATTAGCATCATTTCCAGCTGAATAGTTGACTGGATTGTAACATCTTTCAACAGTCTAAATATAGAGGGTTGTAGTAATAGACTGTATGTAACTTCTCAAATGTTTGAACTTTGTACTTATTCGTAACTATTCCAACTTGAACCTCTAAAAGACTCCAAGTATCTCTGATAACGCCCTCTCCCATTCTACCCTTTTCACTCAAAGACTATGAATATGAACCACCTTATTCAAAAAAAACAACTAGCTCATCATCGAATCCTTGATGTTACGATTGATCCATACAATTCAAATGATCCATGTTTTAATTGTCTGATTTTTCCGTGTAAATCTGCACTTGAAGGAATCCGGCTGTGCGTGGGCATACCACTTTTCTCTATTATACACGGAGCCCATAAGTTATAAGGTTAAGGAGCAACTGATTATTATTGTGACAAGGTGGTATCACTTGATTGGATATGGCATTGATATTATGGGCATGTTTTAAATGAACTGACACGTTACAGAGAGTTAATTCAGTTTGTAGTAGTACTATTGTGCCTGTGAACGGAGACCGTGAGTAGTTAGCCTTTCCATGGAGATATTCACTATTTGATAGTACAATAGGGGGTTTTAGCTTATGATATTAGTAGGTAATAGGTATACACCACGTAGCTATTAGTTAATAGTTGTTACTACTTGTAATTAGACAGAAAGGATCAAGGATCAAGGGATACCCCACAAAGCCTGAATGATTGTAGGATGAACGGTGGAACATCGTTAATTATCACCAACTCCGAGAACATCACCAGGTGTAGAGCTTATACCATCTCTGCCGGTACATGCACTCCATCTTGTATCAACAAGGGGTATGGGCTTGAATAGAGAAGGATATAGGATACAGGATATAGATTACAAAGAATATAGATTATAGAATATAGAATATCATAATACTATCATAACTACGACCAATCTATCCCAATCCCAACAATCTCATCTTCAATCAGCCAAATCCCATTGAAACTGGCTTGTGTGTGGCCCTCAGGAATACCGCCTGATTTTCATGCTCGAAAACCTTCCAGAAAAGAAATTCATGGGATGAACAAACAACAACAAAGTTCACAAACCCCAAGAGACTCAATCAATCAATCATCATGTGTATAAATAGAGGGTGAAATATCCAAATTCTTCAATTCCATTTTGTTTTCCCTTCCACCAAGAACATACAAGTTCAAATTAATCAACATGTCAATTCCAAAAACTCAAAAAGGTGTCATCTTCTATGAAAGTGGTGGTGAACTACAATACAAAGATATCCCAGTCCCAACTCCAAAAGCCAATGAAATTTTAATCAATGTTAAATACTCTGGTGTCTGTCACACTGATTTACACGCTTGGAAAGGTGATTGGCCATTACCAACTAAATTACCATTAGTTGGTGGTCATGAAGGTGCCGGTGTCGTTGTTGCTAAAGGTGCCAATGTCACAAATTTTGAAATTGGTGATTACGCAGGTATCAAATGGTTGAATGGTTCATGTCAATCTTGTGAATATTGTGAAAAATCATTTGAATCAAATTGTCCAAAAGCTGATTTATCCGGTTATACCCATGACGGTTCTTTCCAACAATATGCTACTGCTGATGCGGTCCAAGCTGCTAAAATCCCAAAAGATGCTGATTTGGCTGAAGTTGCACCAATCCTATGTGCCGGTGTCACTGTTTACAAGGCCCTAAAGACTGCTGATTTGGATGCTGGTCAATGGGTTGCCGTTTCTGGTGCCGGTGGTGGTTTAGGTACTTTGGCTATTCAATATGCTAAAGCCTTAGGTTTGAGAGTTTTAGCTATTGATGGTGGTGATGAAAAGGGTGAATTAGTCAAATCATTAGGTGCTGAAGTTTACATTGATTTCACCAAAACTAAAGACATTGTTAAAGATATCATTGAAGCTACTAACGGTGGTCCTCATGGTGTTATCAATGTTTCTGTTTCAGAAAAAGCCATTGAACAATCTACCGAATATGTTAGACCATGTGGTACTGTTGTTTTAGTTGGTTTACCAGCTGGTGCCGTTGCAAGAGCTCAAGTCTTTGGTGCTGTTGTCAAATCTGTCTCTATTAAAGGTTCTTATGTCGGTAACAGAGCTGATACAAGAGAAGCTGTTGACTTCTTTACTAGAGGTTTAGTTAAATCACCAATCAAGATTATTGGTTTGAGTGAATTACCAAAAGTTTACCAATTGATGGCTGAAGGTAAAATCTTGGGTCGTTATGTTTTAGATACTTCAAAATAAGAAGGCTATCTCTGGTTTAGATGATTGTTTATTATTTATTTTCCCCCGACTCTTATGTATAATGTGAATATGAAGTCTTTGTTTTATTAATCATTACCCGAAGTAGCTACAATTTGACCCGCATTTTCAATCAGCTCTTTGGTCTTGTATTAAAACCTAGAATACAGCTCTTTAAGCGCACTCACTGAAGCATATGGCAATTCTTCATTTGATGGGAGTGATAATTCTTTAATTCTTGATGGTGGATTTGTATGACCGAGTCTGCCAAAATTGCGGGTGATTTCTAATTGTTCAAGTTCACCAATATCACCTAATCCAATATCAAATACGACACCTTTTAAAGAAATTTTTTTAATTTTACAACATTGGAAATTTGATAGATTTATACTATCCATATTAACATCAACCTCAAAAATTTCAAGATTGGGTACTGCTTGGAAATCAAGTTTCCCATTAGCTGTATAACTTGATTGATCATCAGGATTAACTGAACGTTTTGTCTCTAATCTGAATGATTTTAAATTTTTAAATTTTTAAATTGACAATTTATAATTTCAATGTTATTTATAATACCCACTGGACTAATTTCCAATCTTTCAAGCTTATCACAACAAATACCCTCTATTTTGAAATCACCAGGTTTATGATTTGGATATAGATCAAGTTGTTTCAAACTTGGGAATCTTGATAAACATTCATTCAGAGAAGGACTCTGAATGTTGATGAAGTTGTCCAAATCCAAATAGGTAACATTTGGATAACATCTAGTGAATGAGAAATCTTTAAGGTGAACATCTTCAGCAATTCCCTCAACTTCTATTGTAAGTTTACGTAATGATGGGAAATCAATATTTGCAAAGGCTTTATAAAAATCTTCCAATTTGCAACAAATCAATGATAAGTCAACAAGATTTGAAGGGTTAAATTTTCCATGCAATGACGCATATGAATGCATAACAATCTTTTGTACATTTTCGAAATAAAATGAACCTGTATCAGAGAGTGAAAATTCATCAATTCTAACTTCTTGTTACATTGGTGCATGGAAATTTTCAAATTTTTTAACATGTAAATATCCATCAAGGAAATTTTCATTCTTTATTGATAATAATTTTGGTGCATTGAAATTTGTAAAATTGACACAGTCATCAATTGATTCTCCACTGAATATAAGCTCTAAATCTATGAGATTTGGGGCAACAATATTGATGAATGATTTAATGTTTTCCACTTTTAAATGTTTGAGATTCCCAAATGAAATGTTTTGTAATGTTCCTTCACAAGTCTTGGAACGAATTGAAAATTTCGCATCCTCAGAATTCTTAAATTTGAGGTTCTCAATTATGACGGTACCTTCATTTTCTTCATCATTATCGATTCTTGCTTCAATTTTTTTTCAAAAAATTATATTCCTCAAATGCAAGGCTATTCAATATTGATACATGACGGTCCTCACAAAACACTTGGATATATTTAACACATGGTCTTTTAAATTTTGAAAACTTATTAATAGCACCACAATTGTGGAGCTTTACACTGCTCACGTTTGGAAAATCTAGTTTTTCCAAGTCTAAATCTTGATCAAATAAATGTATATCTTCAAGTGAGAAGCTTGTTGATTTGGTCAAAGGACTTGCAAAAAGATTTTTGATTAAGCGACGATGTGATTTTCCCACGAGCATGTGAGTGGAGTCACCAAAGCTAGGGGCGTCTATATGCTGTATTGAGTCCCAACCATCAATTGCTAAAGATGTGATTTTATTGGGAACTCTTTTGGCAATTTCCATCACCTTACTTATTATCCTGTCTTTAGGATCACCAAACAACAAATGTACAGCCAAAACATCAGAATCACTAATCTTGATATATTCATGCTACGGATATGCTTCAAGTGAATGTCGTTTTTTCAATTCCTGTTCACCAAATCGTTTACATTCCCTGTGTGATCCATCATAATAAAATCTGTAAAATTTTTGAGCCCTCAAACCAAATTCTGGAATCTTGACAAGTGAAAGGAAATCAAAGATATTTAAATGGTTGCAAATCTGGCAAAATATTTCATCTGGAAGACTTAAAAGATTCATATTCAAACCGACACGTACCTTACATTAAATTGTACCTCTTCAAATGTTTTTGAATCGCGTTTAAAAAAAAATAGAATCTCGAACCTCGGACATTCGCGCCCACAGGTGGTGATGAATTCAATATTCTACAATTTCAACAACTTAGAGCTGTGTACTACCGAAATAATATATTTCATTGACTACGCTGTTTTTTCTGTTTTGCAAGATCTTCTAATTTTTCAATAGCATCCTTTAAAAGGCTTGAAATAGATTTTGGAAGTCTCAATGATGAAAGGTAATATGGTTCTTTTCCGTAGTTGAGCTTGAAAAAAGGTTGTGCTATTTTCAAAGATTGCAAATGTTCAATATCAGTTATTAGACCACTGAGGGATATAGTTCTGAGCTTCTTACTTCCAAATTTGGAAATGTCAATACTTTCCATGTCCAAATCAACTGCAAAATTGTTAAGACAGGGAGCATACATTTCAAGTTTCCCATGTGTAGAATAGCGTCCCAATAAAGAACAAAACTCAAAATTATTTAATTTTTCAAAGGAACAGTTTGTCAATTCAAATGTTTTTGCATGATTGGCAAACAGATTTAATGTTTCAATGAGTCCAAACTGACAGCCATCCAATTTGATGTGCTCATCTTCAGTCACCACATATAGGTCTTTCAAATTAGGGAATTTTGACAATTGACATGCAAAAAAAATTGACAAGTTGTAAACAATAGATAGTTTTAAGTTTGAAACTTTTGGGAAACAATAATTAAAAGGAAATTTCAAAAGATCAACCGCATCATCAACGTCAATGTCCAAGTTCTCCAGTGAAGGAAACTCTGTATTTACTAATTCAGCATAACCTGATCTAGAAGTTGCTGATGGAAACACAACTTCCAAATTTACCAAAACTGAAGGATTAAATTTCCCATGCCATAGATGATAATTACAAGTTTTGAGCGATTGTAAATTTTGAAACACAATAGAAGAATCCTTCAGCGTAGTTTCATCTATATCAACCTCCTCCAATTTTGGTTCATCCAATTTTTCCAATTCTTTAGCTGAAAGACAATTAGGATGTGATGTACTGACTGTTAATAGGTTTGGAGCATTGCCGTTCATCAATCTAATTTGAGTATTAGCCTTACCACTAAATTCAAGCTTCAAATGAGCAAGCCTTGGTGCATCAACATTCATAATTGTAAAAATATTAACCATCTCCAATGCGTGAACATTTCGCAAAAATAAACTTTTAACAGCTCCAAATGGATTAACACGAGTCCCAATTTCACGATCCACAGTGATACCTAGGCTTTGCATTGATTTACCAAATGATATTTTTCAAAGTCAAATATCCCAATAGTGTTACATTGAACCACAGAACCTACAACAAGTTCCTTCAAATGTTCATACTCATCAAATGGGAAATAGTCAATCATTGGTAAAACTTTCTTTGAATAATTAGATAGAAGTATACGTTCAAAAGTGGGATAACCAAAAGTCAAAGAATTGTTGGTAAGGGTAGAGAACTCCATTGCAAATGTCTTGATATTTGGCAACTCCAACTTTCTAGGGTCAAAACCTTCGCACCATACTAAGGATGTCCAGGAGGTATTCACAAAACATAATGACTCCACTGTAGAAGAGACAATAGTCATCAGATCTGCGATACCACTAGATGATAAAGACTTTGATAATGTAAGCCTGATGGGTAGAGTTTTGGAAATCTTCAACACTTCGAGAAACCCCGTATCAAATGAAACGCCATCCAGATCACAATTGAAAACTGAACCAATTACATCATTATTTGACTCTTTATCATAAATTACCAACTCTATATCGTTTGATCTCTTGTATTTATCAAATTTCACAGCATGAAGTATTGATTTTTTATTACTAATTGTTTGTGAATCATCAGTCATCCTCATGGTTTGCAATAATGGTAATTCTAGGTTTGAAATAGCTTTAAAAGATGAAACGTCATGGAAATTGTAAAAGTAAAGTTCACTTACTTGTGGGAATTGAAATTTCCCAATGTTATAATTGATTGAACGAGCTTCATTAAAGTGTAAACTTTTAACGAATGGGAAACGTATACTTTTAGTTTTAGTTGAATCAAGATTTTCCAATAAATGATTTAAAACTTTAGTCATTTTTGAATGCTCTCGGTCGTAATAAGCAGGTATAGGGAAACTCATAATTTGATGATCCAAGATTGTGAGTATATTTTTGAACCATTTTCAAAAATTGTGTTGGATCGATATCTGAATTATAACCAGTAAGTTCAAGATAGACTAACCAAACATGATCTAGACCACTAGTATTTTGGGAATCAAACAGTTCAACCAATTCAGATAGTTGATGAGTTTGAATGTGTTGGCATAGTTTAGTATCCGGTTCATAATTTGGAGAAACTTGATTAGAATAAAATCTATAAAATTTTTCAATTTTAGAAGCAAATTCTGGATATGCTTCAATTAATGGGTTGAGATCCTGTTTTGACAATTGATTGCATATTTGGAAAAGTATTTCATCTGGTAGATCTAAAAGATTCATTGGATAATTTGATATCATAAATGAAGCTTTAAACAGTGGTTTGTTGAAATCGGTTGATTTTTTAATATTTATGTACGTCCTAACGCTAAAATTACGCGAAATTGTTTCACGTGACTAAATTGAATGTACCCCAGTTTAATAGATTGCAATGGTATCTCTTGGTTAAGTAAATGAATCTATTCATTCATTTATTCTAAAGAAAGGTAATCCATTAATTGACTTAGCCAAAATATTCTCTGCACGCATTTTGATTCAAACTGTATGTACGCGCTTTCCAGAAGCAGTAATGATTCCGCTTTTTTCAAAATAATCTTCGAAATGGAAAACAATTGCGCTTTTCATCAAGACAATAGGAAATTTTCAAATTGATATAAAAAGGACCCTTTTGAATCCTTTCCACAAAACTTGAGAAAGATGATTACACCAGTCTGTTAAAGATGTCACTTCCAACTACTCAAAAAGCCATCATTTTCGAACAACATAATGGACCATTACTATACAAGGATATCCCAATCCCACAACCTAAACCTACAGAAATCCTAATAAATTTGAAATATTCAGGAGTTTGTCATTCAGATCTTCATGCTTATAAAGGAGACTGGCCCGAACCTACCATCTTACCATTGATTGGAGGTCATGAAGGTGCAGGAATCGTTGTTGGTGTTGGTTCACAAGTTTCAAATTTTAAAATTGGTGATTATGCAGGTATAAAATGGTTGAATAAAACATGTCTTTCATGTGAATATTGTACATTAGGTGAAGAGACGTGCTGTGAAAATCAAGATATTTCAGGATATACAGTTTCAGGATCGTTTCAACAATATGTTGTGGCGGATGCTATCCAGGCAGCCAAGATTGATCCAAATGTTAATTTAGCAGAAGTTGCACCTGTGCTATGTGCTGGATTAACAGCTTATAAGGCATTGAAGAAGGCCAATTTAAGACAGGGTCAATGGTGTGTTATAATTGGAGCTGGTGGTGGACTTGGTAGTTTTGGTGTTCAATATGCTAATGCTATGGGGTTTAGAGTTATTGGAGTTGATAGTGGAGATAAAAAATCATTAGTCTTGGATGAATTAAAAGCTGAGCGTTTTATTGATTTCACTAAGACAGATGATATTGTTCAGGATGTTGTTGAATTGACTAATGGTGGGGCACATGGAGTTATAAATTTCAGTGTTAGTGAGATTGCATTGAACTTGGGGATTAAGTATGTTAGACCATTAGGGACAGTTGTGATTGTGGGTATGCCAGCTAATTCCTTTGCTAAAAGTAATGTTTATGAACATGTTTGTAAACAGTTTAATTTGACAGCATCCAGTGTTGGTACTAGACAGGATACAATTGAGGCGTTAGATTTTTTCAATAGAGGGTTGATCAAGAGTCAGATTGTGATTGCTAAGTTGAGTGAGTTGGGTAAAGTGTATGAACAGATGGAGAGGAACGAGATCCAGGGAAGAGTAGTTGTTGATACCTACCAGTGAATAGGGTTCAATCTAAACTTTAGTGTATTAGCTAATCTGATGCACGTTTGATGATTCGCGAAACCTGTAAAGTCCGAGCGTGTAGTGGCACTGTTCAGGATGGCAGATGTTGTCCTGTGCTCCGAGTAGCGTCTTTAACCCACTTGCTAGGAGTCCTTGGAATGGTAATTGTAGTGGTAATTATCCTTCAGAACGAGCGGTCATCTCAGAGGCTGACTCAGCAGGGTGTTGTTGAGGAATTGGATCAGTATTAGCATTAATGGTGGTATAGTATATTTGATCAATTGAGTATATTGACTATTAAACTATATTCAACTATTAACCATTAACTATTAACGATATCATGATTCATAAACCATTCTACCAAGACCTCCATCGGCGTTTAACAGCTGTCCTCTGATTGGACATGCCCCTCCAGTCCCTCGCTTCGTTGGCTCCAGTGTTTGCAACTCCGAGCAGGTGCCCCACATAGGGCTGAACCCAACCTTAAGCTGTAAAGAATATACTATACAATTAAGAAGGCAGACATAGCTCAACTGAAGAGAGTACAATTAGCCTTTAGTACTAATATAAATCAATTGCACACTCTCAATTGCCATCTAGTACCTAATACCACTGTTGTACTTGTACCTTGCCCTTCTCTCGCGTAAACCCAAAATTCTCGGACTTTCTGAGCTGTGAAAAAAATTCATCTTCAACTACAACACCTTTCACGTCAACCAGCATTATCCTCGAACTCCGTAAGGATCTTGATCTTGATCACACCTCCATCAATCAACCAACAAAATCACCAACGAAAAAGAAACTTGTTCTCTCCACCTCTTGGTCTCTCTCTTGTTCAAAATGTCTATATAAACATCTCAATTGCCTCAACTTTCAATTCTTCAATCATTGATCCATCATCAATATCCAATTGAACAATTTCAACACAATGCTTAGAACAAACATCCAAAGATTAAGATTATCCACTATCCCAAGATCAAACTTCATCAGATCTTTAGCCACCGCTCCAACCATCCCAGAAACTCAAAAGGGTGTCATCTTTTATGAAAATGGTGGTGAATTACACTATAAAGATATCCCAGTTCCAAAACCAAAACCAACTGAAATTTTAGTCAATGTTAAATATTCAGGTGTTTGTCACACTGATTTACACGCTTGGAAAGGTGATTGGCCATTAGCTACAAAATTACCATTAGTTGGTGGTCATGAAGGTGCAGGTATCGTTGTTGCTAAAGGTGCTGAAGTTAAAAATTTCGAAATTGGTGATTACGCAGGTATCAAATGGTTAAACGGTTCATGTATGTCTTGTGAATTGTGTGAAAATGCTTATGAATCCAATTGTGCCCACGCTGATTTATCAGGTTACACTCATGATGGGTCCTTCCAACAATATGCTACTGCTGATGCCGTGCAAGCTGCTCAAATTCCAAAAGGTACTGATTTAGCTGAAATTGCTCCAATCTTATGTGCCGGTGTCACCGTTTACAAGGCTTTGAAATCTGCTCAATTAAAAGCTGGTCAATGGGTTGCCATCTCTGGTGCTGCTGGTGGGTTAGGTTCATTAGCTGTTCAATATGCTAAAGCTATGGGTCTAAGAGTTTTAGGTATTGATGGTGGTGCTGAAAAGGAAAAATTGTTCAAATCCTTAGGTGGTGAAGTTTTCATTGATTTCACAAAGGAGAAAAACATTGTTGAAGCTATTCAAAATGCTACTCAAGGTGGTCCTCATGGTGTTATTAACGTTTCAGTCGCTGAAGCTGCCATTTCTCAATCAACTGAATATGTTAGACCAACTGGTAAAGTTGTCTTAGTTGGTTTACCAGCTAATGCTGTTTGTAAATCTGAAGTTTTCTCCCATGTTGTTAAATCTATCAATATCATTGGTTCTTATGTTGGTAACAGAGCTGATACTAGAGAAGCTATTGATTTCTTTTCAAGAGGTTTAGTTAAATCACCAATTAAAGTTGTTGGTTTATCTGAATTACCAGAAGTTTATGAATTGATGGAACAAGGTAAAATCTTGGGTCGTTATGTTGTTGATACTTCAAAATAGATTGATTAAGTCCATGTTTTTTATGAAATCTTATGATGATGCCACCTATTGATTAGGGTTTAGAGCTTTTATATTCACAAATTAAAACGAGAAAAAGATTATTGAAATTATAAATCCCACTGTAGTTTTTGATAAAAAATGTATATTGATTGAATTCATTAATCGAAAGAAGTTTATTATACTTCATACTCAATCATGTACTTCATCATTATTAATTGCATGGATCATGAATCATTATTAAATGGAGTCTGTTTCACATAAGGCCAAGCACAAAGCTGGTGTTAACAGTTACAAATAATAACAGTTGATAAAACTTCTCGTGCCCAAAGGTTATGGAATTGCGATAGTTTCTGTAGCTCAATACAAGCACCTTGGAATTAGTAGGTTCATGGTTCTCCTCCTATTTTGATCAGATGTAGTGCCTATTAGTTAGCGTAACTTTCAAATTAACTGGAAAAAAATAAAGCGTCATACCTTCCCTTGATCGTCTTGAACTGCATCAAAACATGGATTCAGGGTTTCAACTGATAAGAAAAACGTTAAATGGCAATATTGTGGGTATAGAAGTCCCCCTTGCAAACAGGTTTGGTTAAACAATTAATCGGCTTTCAAGTTAAAGAAAGATTTTTATTTTTGCACTCCACCAGATTTTATTTTCGCGGTGGGTCTTGAGCAGGCGTGAAAATCCGAATGAATGTAAAATTAAGCTGATATAAACTACAGAATTAGTTTAAAGACAAAGGAATGAGTTTGTTGACATGTTATTCCTGTAAAAAATGAGAGACGAAGAGCTGAAGTAGAGAGAGAAAAGCAATTCTAGTGAAAGAATATTCAAATTCATACTCAAAACTAACCTTCATCCAGTAATCATTGTAGTTTTCAATTATGATATCATGATTGAAGTTTCCAACCTCAAAGAACGAAATCATCATCAGCTTATAGAACGCTTATGGTATTCTATGGATATCATGTAGATTGAGCAATCATAACTCTTCCATGAAAGCTTTGTATGGCCTAAAAGAAGCTCCAAATGCATGGTCTTGACATTAAAATCCATCCATTATCTGGTTGTAAAGTTAGTTGATTGAAACACTATAATGCTTTTCCAGGTATATGACAGGCTGCAAAAAAGAAGATGCAAGGAAACAATAGATCATTTCTAGTCTTCCCACTATTTATGATTCACAAATTTTACCTCATTAGACACAAACGTATCAATGCCCCAAGCCCACGGTTGATTTTATTCATCTTCATTCCTTGCAACTTTGATTTATTTGGTTCTCATGAAAACAGCCTATCAATGAACTTCAACACATACATTAAAATATCAAATACATAAAGTATTTGTCAAAAAAGCCCTTTTTGAATTTCATATGAACCGATACACCACATACATGTAAAAGAAGCAATCGCTTAAAACATAGGCGTAAAACACTTGATGTTAAAGAATAAAGGAGGTTTAATGTTGAGTCGAGACAAGAAAAAATTAGTGGTTGCTGATCCTGACTGGATTCGCGAATTATTCTTGATCAGGTGTAAACATTCGAGGCGTACACTTCATTTATTCATTTCTTAGATTCATGTACAAAATCGATCGTCTCTAGGTTTCCTTGAGTTTCATTCAACTTTACATCATGGCCATGTTTACGGTCCCATTCTTCTAACTCATCAACTGGAACTTTCACGACACGATTACCCAATTCACCATTTTCAAGTTTATAACGTTCCACTCTATGTTTGTATCCACCAATAGAAGGTAGAATGAATTGCCATAAAACATAGTAGAAAACACAAGTAACTAATAACCCTATAGCGACAACACAATATGTTGCATAAAAGAAACTAACATCACCACCATTCAAATCAATTGAACCATCTTTTGCTCTTGGTGGGACTAATGGCATAACTAAAACAAACATTTGGAATAAGATCTGGATGATTATAACAGGTAATGGAACTTTGAAACCTGCGAACCCTAAACCTAATGATTTTCTTTGACTTCTAACTAATAATAAACCAACAGCCATTTGTAAGTCGAACACATAACCAGCATAAGAGCCTATATCCACAATGAAATTATAAGCATCACCAGCAGGTGGAGCAATCATAACAACTGTATTAACTAACCATGTAATGAAGATTGGACCTAATGGAGTTCCAAATGGTTTTGTAGAGACCCAGAAATCTCTAAATGGTAAAACACCTTGACGACCACATTCTCTTAAACTTCTTGAATGTGAGATAACTGCAGGTATTAAATGTCCATATGCTGATAGGGCAACTAATACACTTAGAGCTCTTGTTGCTGCTCTTGTTTTGAAAACATTTTCAAAAAATAAACTAGCTGTTAAGACACCTGAATTTTTAATTTCTTTAATAGTACCAGCACCTGCATAAAAAGCTGTAACTGTCAATATATAAAGGATGAAGATGAGGAAAAAAGTTAATGGAACAACTCTTGTATAACCTTTGAATCTTCTTTCAGGTTTCAATTCAGAAACAACACCAAATGCATAACCTGTACCACCATAAGAAAATGAAATTTTAATAATTGCATTTGCAATTGAATTTGGTTGCTTTGTAGCACCATCCATTGCATTATGGAAATTAGCCCTTGGATTTTTAACACTAGTACCACCACCCAATACAACAAACCCTGTGATTGCAATGAATGCCAATGTGATGATCTTTGCATGTCCTAACCAATTAGATAATCTTAATGACCATTTAGTACTTAATGCTGCAAGTAAACAAGTGAATGTCAAAATACCAACACCAACACCTCTTTGTCTCCATGTAGTAACTTCAATTTCTGCAGCGTTCAAAATATATTGACCAAATGCCACAGCAGAACTGTTTAAAAATGACAAGACAACATTAACAGCAGCATAAACGGTTGGAACTAAAAACATTGGTTTAGGAAATGCTTGTTCCAAGTAAGCGACATCACCACCTGATCTGTTTTTGAAATATGTAACATATTCAATATATATGACAACTTTAAACAATGCAATAATGAAACCAACAACCCATAATATATAAGAACCACCAATGGAACCAATCTGTTTCAAGATTGTCCCTGGTGTACTGAAAATACCTGTTCCTATGACACCTGATACCACTAGATAAATCAATGAAGTGTAACCAATGTTATAACCTAATGGGTTATCTTTTTCCACTGGGGCACCATTTGTATTCAATTGAACATCAGAATCATCTGAAGATTCATCAAGACTTTCAATTGTATGAAGGTCAATGTTCTTCAACTCATAGACATTGTTACCTATTTCTTCATTTGTGGAGCTTGCTGATACTGAATGTCTTATTTTAGATAAAAAGGCAGACATGTTGTTGATGTGTTGATTGAATCATTTGAGATTATCTTTAGATGAGATGTGGTTATTCTTTTATATACTGTGATCAGAGTTGAATGTGGCTTTCGAAAATTTCTTCGAAGTGTTCATTTGGAGAAAGTTTCTTTTATGATGACAGCTTTTAGTTTGATGTTGCAAAAGTTGATGGACTGTATTGTGGTTCAAAAGTGTGGATGAAGGGTCCACAGTGTCAAACTTGTGGCCAGACAACGACGTCTTGGGAGGTGAAAACAGAACAGCATAGACCTTTTAATACCTTGTTATTTATCGTTCTGATGTTGTCATGTATTTGGTATAGGGCTAAGAGTTGTTGATAATGTCATTTAATGGATGATGATGTTGGTTGTATTGATGCTGTACCACAATTTTATCAATCAAGGGCATCTATGTAGTAACAGCAGCAATATCCATTTGAGTGTGTAAGCGGCATCTATATAATGAGCTGTATTTTGAACGGTTGTAATTACCATCAACCTGTTGATGACTGTCACCAACATTTCTCGACGTTTCTAGTGTCAAAAGTTCGTCAAATATTTGTGGATTACTGAATTTTTTTCAACGATTACTTAACGAGATCCAGGATTCGAGAATATCAAGCATCAGTATTTGAAAAGCCTACGCTAAACATTACGAATTGTATACGATTGAATGAAATAGTAGATGTATTGAAAAATCTTCAAGATCAAACAGCTTGGACAGCATCGTTGTTATCTTGGTTCTAATACCATCTTTCTCAGTAAAACCAAGTGCTCGAATGATCATGAGAGACAGATTTTCAACTATCATGCTCTAGCAAAGAGTCACAGGATTTCTGCAAGTAGTAAAGTAGACTTATAATGATCAATGCTGGAAAAACTAATACTTACCACCTGGCATTGTCATTTCATACAGTGTTATTTATATGGATCCATTATAGTAAGTATAGCCACATTACAACAGGTTATGAGTCCTGGCAATACCGTCAATGTAAAGTATTAACAAATCTAACATTTGAGTAATCCTAACATTGAGATATCGCCAATAGCGAGTCGTAAGTTGCAGTGTTCAATTGAAAGTTGCAAGGAAGTGCTTTTTATATTTTCTCGAATCTGGTTAACAACCAAACACCAACAGGAAAAACGTTTCAATTCGAATCATCGAGAAAAATCCATCAAGATTAAAGATTAAACGTCAAAGAATCCAACTGATCGGTATTAGAATATACCATGAAACTGAATGGTTCATGATTATGTTCATTTAATACTAGCCACAATATCAGGGGATATAGTGCTTGTACTGATAAACCATTGAGCACTTTCACAGGATCTTCAAAACAACCCATCCAAATACCCAATTCCAAATGATTGAACAATAATTTCTACAAAGAGATATCACAATCCACTAGCTTATCATTTCAAATACTTATCCATCAGATTCAACACATTCCAGTATCAAATTGTGCTTTTCATTCAGCCTTTTAACTGGTCCCATTTGCTTATCCGCTTACGTGATCATCCCAGTTTAAATGTATAAAAAGCATTCCGATAACCTCAATTTAAGGTATCTCATCTTCTCTTTTACCAAATCATATTCTCAATAAGTTTTAATAATGCCAGCTGATATAGAAACATCAATAATTATCAATTCTTCAATTGAACAAGTTAAAAAAACATTTCTAGATTTCAATTCATATTCAAATTGGTCAATTTTTTTAAAATCAATTAAATCAAAAGAATCTAATCAATCATTTGAACCTGGTTCTCAATTAGAAGTTGAATTAGAATCAAAACCAGGTTCAATCACAAAGATGAATCCAATTGTCTTGGTCAACACAACTAATGAATTCAAATGGGTTGGTAAATTACCTTTAAATTTATTTGAAGGTTCTCATAAATTTGAGTTTAATGAAATAGATTCAAATAAAACTGAAGTTATACAAACTGAGGAATTTTCAGGTTTGTTGAAAAGTCCAATTCTTTGGTTAGTTGGTGAGTCTACTATTGCAGGGTTCAAAAATTTCAATGAAGCTTTAAAGAAACAATGTGAATCATCATGATGGATAAATCAAGTTAATTCATGTTTTTATGAAGATTGATTTTGGGTTTTTGATTAGTGGGTTGTGTAATGTGTTTTAATACAGAGTTGTACTTAGTTGGCTGTACATGCTATAATTAAAGCTTGTGTCGTTTGTAATGTGATGTACCTTTTTGTTAAAAGAATATCATAAAATTGTATATTTAGCATGAAAATGGAGTAGAACTTGAAATGACTCAAATATCTAAGCCCATTACATGTTTTGTATCTTGCAAGTTAAGTAGTTTTCTTTGAGCTGGATTTTTCAGCCTTGATTAAAGCATACTTTTCACAATCTTAGAAAATACCAACAAACGTGAGTGAAGACACTCTTCGTGCGCTTATAGCGTCATAGTTCCATAGTAGTCATCCATACTGACAACGGTTGTAAACTCATCGATAACATGCCTATTTAGAACACACAAAATAACTGCATGAGTAGTAAGTACCAGCTAGTGAAGATAAAAGGTTTGCACTTCATCACTAGTACTTTAGCTCGCGAATTTGATCTGTAATCTGTGAGATAGTGGTTTGGTTAATTGACTACAGCTTGGATGTATTTCTTTAGTTAGAAGGGTGAGTTATTCAATTGCATTATAATTAATTGCAAATATTCAGTGCTTATGATCCAATGGAATTTGCAACATCGATCAGGAGCTCACTTACTTATGATCAATGTATAGTCAAAGCCAATAATCATCGATTTATAACACGTAGTAGACAATGACTACAATGATCAATTCATGAGTGATTTGATTGAAAAACATGTATATTATTTCCAATATCGATGAGAATTTGAAATTACTCAAATACCTCAAATCAAATTGGTAATGAAAAACTGTAGGAATATCACTAATATCAGGATACCACCACTAGATGATAACAGATGAATATCAGCTCATGATTCCTCTGCTGAACCATATTTTCCGGTAAGTTACGATAACAGAAAAAATCTAAAGTTTGACTGTTCATGTTGTATAGATAATCTGAAATTCCTCAATAAATCATTGCTATTCTTTTGCAAACTCGAAGCTGAAACAGCTGGAGTAACAAAACTTTTTTCCGGTCCCTGGTAGGTTTTTGCCACCAGAGGCCAGAGAGCTTTCACTTTTTGGATTCACTGCAAATTAAATCAATTCCTTTGAAATCCATTAGTGAAAGAAAGAAAGAAAATTGTCTTAAAGGTTTAAGTGATTACATTGAAGGCAGTTCTCGTTCACTAATGTTTTTTTTTCTTGTTTTTAGCGCGCGAGACTAGACTGAAACTTGACCTCTGGGTAAATTTGACTAGTTTCGAATGTTTATTCAAAGCACACACACAGCCAATAATGACCATAGGAGCCTAATATTCAGGAGTAAGCTGACCACAACTAGTGGGAAAACATTCAACTGAAAATAATATTGTGTTTTAATTGTTGTGTTTGGATTGGATAGATAGAGAAGATGATTGATTGGCTAGTAATGTTAATGGTTGATTGTCTGGTTGAGTAAATAATGGTTTGTATTAATATGAAGTAAAAGGTTCCATAATGTATGAAGTAACAGGCTCCCCCTATATAAAAACTATATAATGAATTGTAAAGGAAATAATGACTGTTTAAATATTCTTTGTAGATTCTTAGTTCGGAATTCTGTTCATGTATAGAATTGTGTAGAAATTTCCATCATAGACCAAAGGTGAAATTGACATTGACAGAAATGGAAATCCGCAATAACATAATTGGAAAATTGTAAACAATAACTAAACCTTGTAATCAAATGATTTCACAACCAATCATATATCGTATAATTCCATTATACGACATGCCTTCTGTTTTTAAAGATGAATGTTCATCAAAAAAAAATCAATTTCAAAATCTTGTAAATCAAAAATCTCATGTGAATGTAGCTTTGATAGTAATAATATTCAATCCAATTTATCTTAATCTTGTAACATCAATGTAATCAATAATAATCATAATCAGCAAAGTTTCAAAATCATTCAAATCTTATTCAGTAATTCTTGTAATCCAAAATAATAATAATAAACAACAATATATCAATGGATAGTAGTAATAATCAGCAATAGTAGTAATAGTCAGTAATAATAATAGTAATCAGTAGTAATCAGTAGTAGTTGTAGTCAATAATCAGTACTTTTCTCAGCAATATTTGTTCTCTTTAATATATTTCAATTCTCAAGTAATCATTTATAATCTTCAAAATCTTTCTTCTCTTAATGATCTGACATTCTCAATTCTTTAATATCCAATAATCAAATAACTTTCATGATAATATTTTTCTCAAATAACCAATTCAAACACAAATGATAAAATAAAGACACAAACTAGACACAAAATAATAACACATTGTATGATAATACATTCAGCACCACTTTTTTAACAAAGAATCCTCTTGACTAGTTTCAAAAGTAACATTTCAACGAATAGTAACAGTAAAATAATTCAACCTTAATAACCTTATCTCAATAGTTCTCATATTTCGAATTCAACAATTGTAATAAACCAATTTCATAATAAACATAATTCAACTTTACCATAATAACTCAAGTATAATTTTCAATATTAGAAAAAGTTCAGTAGTTTAACCATCAGTGTTTCAAAATCTTTAACCTAAACTAATGGGGATGACCATGATAACCTCAATAATTCAACTTTGTAACCAAATAGATTCAACTTTATAACCAAATATTTCAATAATATAGTCAATAATCAGAACAATAAACAAATAATAATTTAACCGTAAATCAATATTCAACAAGTCTTTTTATGTGACAACATTTCATAAACTTATAGATTCAATTTGTGACATAATATATCTCATATCCTTTAGTAATCAATGTAACGTATGTTCTTTGACAAAATAATGTAACGATATTAGTTCAATTTGCTTCAGCTAATCCAAAAATCTAGACAGTGACAATAATATAACTTTCTTATCTTTCAATTCTAATTTGCTTGTAATACTTAACTTTGACTTGTAATCCTTATAATAGCTCAAAAACAATAGTGTATGCAATAATAGTAGTAGTAATAGTAAACTTTGACGTAGTTATAGATGTAGCCTTCCAATGGCTTTAAGCAGTAATAATAATTGACAACAAACTTTGTAGAACGACTCTTCAGATACTTATCTCACTTAAAATAGCACTAACAATTCAAATTCAAAATGATAATAGTAGCATAGCATAATCAGCAGTAATAGACACTTGTATAATCAGAACATGATCTTATAATTAACGTTTAAATCACCATGACAATAACAATAACAAAAACACTTGATTCAATTTAGCAAATTTCACAATGGACAGTTCGAAACAATATGTTCACATCACTTTTCAACACATAGATAATTCATATCATAATTCATTCAACACAGTTGTACACTCTCTCATTTCTCAAATTTCAAAAACCAAATTAGTAAATTTCTTGAGTCACAATAATCAATAATGACACGTAAAAATGACACGTATACCACATTTTGTAATTCAGTATGATCGCAGTTTTACCTGCCAACCAAGGTCTCTGAGTGGAAGCACCATATTGTGTTTTATTTGTTGTGTTTGGATTGGATAGATAGAGAAGATGATTGGCTAGTAATGTTAATGGTTGATTGTCTGGTTGAGTAAATAATGGTTTGTATTAATATGAAGTAAAAGGTTCCATAATGTATGAAGTAACAGGCTCCCCCTATATAAAAACTATATAATGAATTGTAAAGGAAATAATGACTGTTTAAATATTCTTTGTAGATTCTTAGTTCGGAATTCTGTTCATGTATAGAATTGTGTAGAAATTTCCATCATAGACCAAAGGTGAAATTGACATTGACAGAAATGGAAATCCGCAATAACATAATTGGAAAATTGTAAACAATAACTAAACCTTGTAATCAAATGATTTCACAACCAATCATATATCGTATAATTCCATTATACGACAAATAATAAGTAATTTCGTACGTGTTTATCAAGTTACAAAGTGTTTTAGTTGAAAAAAAGGGGGTGTTACCCTGACTAACCTGTGCTTAGCTCCTGCTACTCCAACGCCCAAAACCGGTATCAATTCGGGCGTGTGGCGTAGTTGGTAGCGCGTTCGCTTAGCATGCGAAAGGTCTCCGGTTCGACTCCGGACTCGTCCAAATTTTTTGCACCCTATCCGCGGAAATCCGGAGTCAATTTTGACTCTGATCTCTATGCTAGACTTTTTTTTTTTTGGAGAATCGCATGGTAGGATCAACAATCTATAATTAAAGGGATTGTAAGAAAATCTTTTCAACTTTTAATATTTGTATTTAATAAAGAATCAATCAATCAATCATGTTTTCAAGAACTTTATTAAAAACTTCAGCTCCATTACTATCATCAAGATTTTCAAATTCATTAAAATTATCATATAGATTTCAATCAACAAGTACAGGTAATAAATTAAATCCAAATTCTATTGTATCAAATTATTCCAAAGGTCCAATCACATTAAAATTCACAGAGGATCATGAATGGTTAGCATCTCATCCGGATCATACAGCATTTGTTGGTATTACACCATATGCTTCAGATGCAATTGGTGATGTTACATATGTTGAATTACCAGAAATTGGGGATAAGATTGAAGAAGGTGATATTATTGGATCAATTGAAAGTGTTAAATCTTCTAATGATATCTATGCCCCAATTGGAGGTGAAGTTATTGCAATTAATGAAACTTTGAATGATGATGCACCTTTAGTTAATCAAGATCCTTTAGGTGATGGTTGGATTGTTCAAATTAAAATTGATGAAAATGCTGATTTATCAGGCTTAAGAAATGAACAAGAATATGAAAGTTTCTTGAAGGAAGAATAAACCTACGTATTTTAATATATATATAATTAATTACATTTATTTGTTTGCTTCTTCAATAGTTTTAGTCTTCATTTGTAAAGCATGAACACCTTTATTTTCTAATTCATCTTTCAATAGCGAATAAATTAAACGATGTCTTGAAGGTTGAGATTTACCTTTAAATGAATCACTAACTATATCAATCATGAAATGAGATTCAGTCATATTGGAAACACCTTCCATTGCTCTATGATGAGAATGTTTATGAGAATCGTTTCTGATTTTCAAACTTGATGGGTGGAATTCATTGGTTAATTTATTACGAATTGATTGTTCTATTGGACCTGTTGTTGTTTCTGACATTTTGGTGGAGTATAGTCTTATTGATCGTATTATCGATGACTTAAACATGGATGGAAAAAAGAGGTGATGATGGTGATAAGTGATTAGTGTTTATTGGGTTGGTTCTTCCACACTATCCTTTGATCTTTTCGTATTCAATAATTTGATATTCCAATACCTGGTTATTCAATGAACAAAATGTAATGCCATTTCCTCAGTGTAAAATTGTTAACCATTTTGAATTCGCGAAAACCTTCAACTCCATAGCCTTGAAGAATTTTATTACCGTGAAGCCGTTGAATGACCTGTTTAGAACATGATTATTCGAATATATTTAGAAGAAAGAGAACTAATTTAAACAAATCATTCTATTATCCTTCCTCCATTCAAATCATCATTTTCGTTCACCAAATCAAAACTTTTTTGTGGTAAACTCATCCGCGAAAAATCCCATTCTGTTTTTTTAAACCAGGGGAAAAAACCAAAAAAAAAGAACACCAACACCTAAATTTAAACCGATTCAAACACACATTATTCCATTAAACAACAATTAGATCTGTGGTATCATCATTATCATCGTATTGTTTATTGAAGAAGAGAGAACTTAGAGACTAGTTACCACCAAAATCCACTTATATCATTAATCCTTGTTGTTGTGTTGAATAAATCCATATATCAATAATGTCATCTTCAGTACCTTATGATCCATATATCCCATCAGGGGAATCTAATAACCAAACACAATCAAATTCAAGAACTGCTGCATTACAATCGGTGAGTAGTGGTGGTTTCTTTGATGTTTAGTGACATCTTTGTTGTTGATGGAAATACTAACCGATTTACATAGGAAATTGATGATACAGTGGGTATTATGAGAGAGAATATTGATAAAGTGGCAAGACGGTGAGTTTATTGATTGTGCTGTTTCTCTGGTATGTTGTACTAACCTGTCTTTAGTGGTGATAATTTAAGTTCTATTGAAAATAAAGCTGATGATTTAGCAGTATCTGCTCAAGGTTTTAGAAGAGGTGCTAATAGAGTGAGAAAACAAATGTGGTTAAAAGATATGAAGATGAGATTTTGTCTTGTTGCTGTTGTTATTATATTATTGATTGTTATAATTGTTCCAATTGTTGTTCATTTTACATAAGAGAGGTGAAAGAAGGAAAGAGAGAGAGAGGGAAGAGAAGAGAGAGATCAAAAGAGAGATGGCATGCTAATATAGTGCACTTTTTTTATTATTCTTTTTTATTAGTTTGTTATTTGTATATGAATTTGTAATTTGATCTATGATTATATATTATAGTTGTGGTATTCAATGTATTGGAAGTCTAGAATGTTAGGAGTGGTTAATGGATGGTAGATGTATGGTAGATGTATGGTATTCTGGTTGATATTGGATGAATAGTAAGAGGTTAGAAGGTGGTAGCTCTTGAGTCTTATTATAATATTGATGATCAGATTGGTGACACATTTATAATATCTCAAGTGGAGTTGGAAAGGGAGTATGCTGCTTAATATTATGAACCAGACTAAACTTTAAGAAGGATCAAGGTTAGGATCAAGGCTAGCATGATATCAGATACAAGATGTTGAAAGGTATATGGCTGTACTACAATCAGATATACCTTATATGGTAATTTCCCATGATCTAGTTGAAATGATAACTACACAATGAGATCCACAGATAGCTATCCTCACTCCAACCTGATCTCCAATACCCTCACTCCCATTCGAAGACTCGTATTCTCAAAACTTACGATACACTATCTTATCTGCTATAATTACTATGTGTATTACATAACCCTTACCTAAGCACACCACCTGTTTCTTTTTCCCTTGCTGTTTATCTGGGCCAATCACAGGGCAGCGCACAGGCTGTGACACGTTAGAGAATGGCACATATCCACTCAATTGCACTCCAGAAAACTGGAGAATAATCGCTTTAAACAGACATTCAATTATCCTATTACTCTATATCCAATACGATTATATTCTACCCTCTTTTCTTCACTTTTCTCTCTTTTTTTCCCAGTCTTTATTCTTCCAATTGCCTAATCTCCAGTGGCCCTACCGCTTTTTCCTATTTCTGTGGTCCAAAAAAAACTTTTTTCCTCATTTGAACCTTAATTCACTTGGTTCTGACTCAGACTGAGTTGATATAAATACAAAGATAATTACTTTGAATCCTTCTAGATTATAATTTCATTTCTTTGGGATTATCATTTGCTATTCATATCATAATAACCCTACAATAATGTCTGAAACTACTGAAAACACAGCTACCTTACAAAAATACCTTACCCTTGATCAAAGAGGTAAAATCCTTGCTGAATATATCTGGATTGATGGTTCAGGTTCAATTCGTTCAAAAGGTCGTACTTTAAACAAGAAAATTTCATCTGTTGATGATTTACCTGAATGGAACTTTGATGGTTCTTCAACTAATCAAGCCCCAGGTCATGATTCTGATGTTTACCTAAGACCTGTTGCTTATTATCCAGATCCTTTTAGACGTGGTGATAACGTTATTGTTTTAGCTGAATGTTGGAATAATGATGGTACTCCAAATAAATTCAATCATCGTCATGAATGTGCTAAATTAATGGCTGCTCATAAATCTCAAAAAGTTTGGTTTGGTTTAGAACAAGAATATACTTTATTTGATCAATATGATAACGTTTATGGATGGCCAAAAGGTGGGTTCCCAGCTCCTCAAGGTCCTTATTATTGTGGTGTTGGTTCCGGTAAAGTTTATGCTCGTGATGTTATCGAGGCCCATTATAGAGCTTGTCTTTATGCTGGTATTGAAATCTCTGGTATTAATGCCGAAGTTATGCCATCTCAATGGGAATTCCAAGTTGGTCCTTGTGAAGGTATTGAAATGGGGGATCAATTATGGGTTGCTCGTTATTTATTACATCGTGTTGCTGAAGAATTTGGTGTTAAGATCTCTTTCCATCCAAAACCTTTGAAAGGTGATTGGAATGGTGCTGGTTGTCATACTAATGTTTCTACTGAATCAATGAGACAACCAGGTGGTATTAAATATATTGATGATGCTATTGAAAAATTGGCCAAACGTCATAAAGAACATATCTTGTTGTATGGTTCTGATAATGATCAAAGATTAACTGGTCGTCATGAAACTGCTTCAATGACTTCGTTCTCTTCAGGTGTTGCTAATAGAGGTGCTTCTATTAGAATCCCAAGATCTGTCGCTAAAGAAGGTTATGGTTATTTCGAAGATCGTCGTCCTGCTTCAAATATTGATCCTTATTTAGTTACTGGTATTATTGTCGAAACTATTATTGGTGAAATTGCTGATGCTGATATGTCTAAAGAATTCCAAAGAGAATTGAGTGATTTTTAGAGAGTTGTAAAGAAAATTGTTATGAAGAATTTAAAGTGATGCCTTTAGAGCAGAAATTATAAAGTTTTAGTTGTATTTTGTTTTGTATGTAAGTTATGATGTATTTGAAATAGTTTTCAGTTGCAATGAAAAGTTTGTTTTCTGAATCTTGAAGTTGTAGTGGAAGATAAGAGAGTGATAATACTTTGATGATAAGTTGGTATGATAGATTTAGATAAGCCGTTATGAGTACATATTCTGAGTTGAAGAGAAAGTAGCATACAACTAGATTAAATCTGCTCAGGCAGGCAGATCCAACAATTGGTCTAATTATCCAACTTATAGCTCTGCCTCATCAATACCACTTCATGATATAGTATTAATGTTATAATCCCCCGTATACCTAGCCATAGTTAGCTGGTATACACTTTAATGTCAACCCCTTCTTTCTTATCTTTTGACAGTGGAGGCTTTATTGATAAGCCTATACATGGACATAAGCGGACTACAGTTGAAAAAACCAATTAACCATCAAAAAAACATTCTTAAAACACATTTTTTTCTAAATACTTATAATGTTCACCCAATTCAACACAAAATGCATCATAATCTATATTGAAAACACCTCTAATTTGTAAATCTTTATGTTCACAAAAATACCACTTCATATATCCAACAATCTCCAATTCAAAATCTCTCTTCCCACCCAATTCATTAATTAACCCATCATATAATCTTTGTCTTTTCCCCTTGGCATTCTTAAAACTTCTAATCCCTTTAGAATTTATTAAATCCCATGTATATAATTTTGGCCAATTACAATGTAAAAACATCAATTCAGATTGATTCCAAATTTTATATTCCCATATGGAATGTCCACTTGAATATTTAAACTGATCAACATCATTTCTTTTAGACTCTTCTAGTGTCATTAATGTTGATCTATTATAATCAATCATTGGATCATATTGTCCAATCCCAATAATATCTCGTTGTCGACCAAATTTAACACGATGATGATTTTTATGGAAATCACGAGCAAATTCTTCCACTTGGTAATAAGTTTGCCCCAATGCATGTGCAGCACTTATATAAGTTTCTTTATCACCTTCACCATGAGAATTTTGTGTCAATAAGGGATAATAATGATCTGGTCCATAAAAATTATAATAAGTTGAAAGGAAAATGGTTTTGGCATGTGTCTCTCTATTGATTAATAATTGTCCACTTTCTGAACTTGTCTCTTGGATTGTCCCTTCAAAATCATGATATGAATATAACCAATCAGGTTTAATATCATGGAATTGTTTTTTCAAAATATGCCAATATGAATTCCGGATTTTTTTATAATCATTAATTGAAACACCACTAATCTTGTAGAAAAAAGGTGATGTGGCACGTCTCCATAAATCTGGCCATGATATAAAACCTTTAGATTTAAAAGGTTCATTCAAGAATAAATAATCTGGATTTTTCAAAATCATATTATCACTATCCAACAACATGACATTTTTAAAAGAATTTATTAATAATGCAATTGATTTCATTTGATATTTATTGATTTTTTTCGAAGTCTCCTTCGTGATAAAATCTTCAATAACAAGACATTTGGCATTATATAGTGGGAAAATATAATTACACAATTCAACATCAAATTCAACCATCTTGGGGATTAAAACCTCCACGGGGAAAACACTCCCAGATGCTCTAAGTGATTTAAGTGATAATAAAACAAGATAATTGAAATGTGAACCACCAACATAAACATACCCATTGGGTTGAAAATTTGATGACAATACATCTGGGAATTTCTTTGGTAAGGATTTAACCATTGAAGAATGTGATTTCTTCATTAATTGAACCTCTTTAGGGTTTAATGTTAGGAATTTTAAAAGAAATTCCTTGGTATATATAGGATCTTGTTGATAATTCTCCTTTACAGGGCCTGCAAAATGACCAGATTTTTTACCACCAACATAATGATGTTTATGATTTAAACTTGAAACTTTTTTAATGTTTGATTCTTGTAATATTGGTTTGAAAATCTCATCATTTATGAAATTTTTAAAATTTGAAATATGATTAATCTTTTCATCAATTGAATTTATCTGGAATTGATCATCTTGGAATGATAATTGTGGGTATTGGAATTGGGTTGATCCAGGTGAAGGTGGGATATGTGATTCATTATTGCTTAGATTGATAAAACTCTCTAAATTTAATGATTTTTGGATTGTAGCTGGAGTAATTTCATTATAATGAAGACCCGTGATGATGATTAAAACCACTAGCAACGAGCCTAATGAGATGGAGATGAAGAGTCGTTGGTTTCTCCTGAGCCTTAGTAGTTTCATGATACCAATTGACCTAGTTAACACTCTTTAACTCTTTATTTCTCTATTAATTCTCTATTATTTCTTTAATTCTTCTCGTTATCGCAATCAAAAATTTCAAAATTCTATGGACCGGAATTGATTAGTATCAACATCACGTGTTTGATCAGTTCCGGCTCACCAAATACAGCCAAAAATTCGAAATTTGAACTTTTGAATTGAATTTAAGGGTATTAAACAGGTTTTGGAATAATCTAAACAAGATTAAAACAACAAAATGTCTGCTTCTGAAGAGTCGAAACCCGAGGAGAGAAGAGTGAGTATTGTACTGCCTATATCTATCATGTTGAATTATCTCTAACCCAGGCTCAGCACAAGGTGTCCTCTTTGGAAAGCCCTTATCTCGAGGATTATAGAACAGCCATCAGATCTAAAACTATTCCTTGGGATGGCTTTGCAAGAAGTGAATTACTCACCCAGCAAGAGGCTAAACAATTGATTGAATTGGAAGGTCACACCATCAAAAAGAGAAAAGAAACTGCTTTAAATCCTGATCATATCGATGATTATACAAATACTTTATTAAATTTATTATCAAGAGATTTACCATTAGAAAGAAATGATGTTAAGAAATATATCTTGGTGTTATTTGCAGACTTATTAGAAAATGATTTATTTATTGACAAATTGATTGAATTAAATAATGGGAATCCTGATGTTATTTTAACTCCATTTGTCAAATATTTGGATAATAATGATGAAATAATAAGATTATTTTCAATTTATAACCTAACTTCAATTTTAATTCAACCTGAAATTCAACCAACAGATGATTCAATTGTCTTGAAGCTTTTCCAAAGTTTAAATCATTTAATTGAATCTTCAAATTTCAATTTAAAATTTTTATCAATTGAATTAATTGTGGATTTATTATTAATTAAACCTTATAGATCAATTTATTGGACTAAACATGATGAATTCATATCCAATTTGTTTTTAAATTTAAATGAATATTTGAATAATAATTCATCAGATTCAATTCAATTTCAATATAAAATTTTATTATCAATTTGGTTATTAAGTTTCAATTCCAAAATTTTAAAAGAATTATCAACTATTTATCAAAATGAATCATTAATCTTGTTAAAATTGGTTAAAATTTCCATCAAAGAGAAAATCATAAGATTAATCATATCAATTTTAAATAATTTCACATCAATTCCATCAGATTTGAAAAATTCTTTAAATAATATTAAATTTTTAATTTTAATTGGTAATATTGAACCAGTTTTAAACAATTTACAAAACAGAAAATGGTCAGATGATGAATTAATTGAAGATCTAGAAAAATTATCCTCCAAAATTTCAGATGTTTATTCAAATTTAACAAGTTTTGATGAATATTTACAAGAATTAAATTCTAAAAATTTAAGAAATTCTCCAACTCATTCAAATGATGAATTTTTCATTGATAATTTATCAAAATTTCAAGATTCAAATTATAAAATTTTTAAACAATTGATTGAATTATTAGATTTTGATGGTAATGATTCTTCAAATTATGCATTTATCTTGAATGATATTGGTAAAATTTTAAAATTAGATTCAAAAGCAATTGATGTGTTGAATGAATTACATAAAAAGACCAAGATAATGGAATTGTTAAATCACAAGAATTCAGAGGTTCGTTATGCTGCTTTGAAAGCTACTCAATTGATTGTTTCTCAAACATTTAAATAATAATAGATAACTTTTTTTATTTAACAGCCAATTGATAATCACTTGTATCTGCACATCCATAATCACTAATATCACTATCACTATCATACTCTTTCTCATTATTTATTTCTTTAATAAAATCTGTTTTCAATGAATTGATTGCATTAATTGATCTTTCCCAAAAAATTGATGAATCTTTTTGGAAATTTTTTTGTAATGTTGATAATGATTGTTTTGTATTTAATTGATTAATTGATATTTTCTTCTTTAGATTATTGGTGAATGTATTACCATTTTCCATTGTTTTCATTGGTGTTGATCGTATTGGAGGGGTTCTTTTCTTATTAATTGGTGATAAAGCAGGAGGTAATGTTGATGCAGTGGATCTATTACATTTTTTTTCAATTTCCCATAATTCTTTCTCAGAAATTGATAGTTTCTTCTTTAATTGATCCATTTGGTTCTTCAATTCTAAAACTTCTCTTTGCTTTGAAGCTAACTCAAGCATTAATTGATCATTAATCATGCCAATATTTGAATCTTTTGGAATTGATGATGGTGATCTTGATGGTGATACTGATAATTTTAATCCATGATGGGTTTTGATCTTCAATTCATCAGTATTATCTTGAACTTTTGATTCTAATTCATGGAATTTTTCATTTGATGCTTCTCGTTCTTGAATTTTCCTTGTTATATTGAATTTAGCTAAACCTGTTGATTCACTAATGATTCTGGTGCTTCTTTTTGGTGATTTTAATGAATTGGTATTAACTCTTTTGTTTTCTATATTCTCTAATGCCATTGTTAACTTGATATATTAATCTTCTAATTGTTCAATAGTTCAAAAGTAAGATATAATTAAATTTTCTTTAATTTCTTTGATTTTGATGAGATTAATTTGGTCCCAATTCGGCAAAATGTAAACAAAAGTAATCTGTCATCTGAGATCGGCTGAATATCCACATCCAAACACCACAAATCTCCAAAAAGTCAAAAAATCAAAAAAACGAATTAAAATTGTAAACAAAAGTTGAATTCAATTGAAGGCAAAAATCACATTACAAATGGATACAATTCATTCAATTGTGGATAATTTATTTAGAGAAGATGGTGATAGACTGGCATATCTATTATCTTCATTCTCAAACTCAAGAAATGTGGCAAATCTGGATTTAAAACAAGTTGAAGCAAATTTTCATATTCATCAAGATTTAATAAATATATTAATTGCATATATTAATCTAAATAAAGCTATAAATTCTTATGATGTTGTTGGATCTTTCAATACTGGTAATGAATTGTTGAAGAATTTGAATAGATTTGCAGAACAGAAAACTAATTGGATTGTTAAATCATTAATTGTTATTACCAAAAATTTAATTACATATGCAATTAAAGCTGATGAATATATTGAAAAAAATCCAACAGTATATTTATCAAGAAAAAATCTAGGAGATTTTGAACATGAAAGTTGTTTAATCAAAGCTGCTAGAACTATTCATAATTCTTTTAAATTATGTTTAAATGATAGAAATGAAGAAATTTATCAATCGAGAAGAAATAGTGTTTATTTTTTCGTTGGACAAGAATTGAAAATTTATTTTAATTTACAAAATAGAGATTTAGCTAAAAATATGGAAAAAGTTTTAATTTCCAAGCAACAAGATTTACCAGATTTATCATCAATTGATAAATCTCAAGCAATAACTTATCTTTATTATAGTGGTGCAATTGCATGTGGTGAAGGGGATTTTAAAACTGCATACTTGAAATTTAAATATGCATTCCAATTATGTTCCAAGAATGATTTAAAACATAAAGAATCAATATTAATTTATTTGATTCCATTAAAATTTTTAATAACCAAGAAGTATCCAAATTTAATTAAATTAAGATTATTTAGAAAAAACTATGAAATTTATCAACCAATTTTATCAAGTTTATTAATTGGAGATTTGAAAAATTTTGATAAAAATTTCAATCAATTTGAGAAATTCTTCCTCAAGAAAAATCTTTATCTTGTTTTAGAAAAATTAAGAACTTTTGTTGTTTTAAAATTGATTAAAAAAATTTATAGATTAGAAGGTTCCTCATCACATTTGAAAATCCCAATAATTGCAAGAGGTTTAGAATTTTCAATAAATCATATAAATAATGAAAATTTAACAAGAAAGAAAAATGCAATCTCTATATTCAGTACTGATGAAGCTGAATGCATATTGGCTAATTTGATTTACAGTGGGTATATGAAAGGTTATTTATCACATACTAATGGGATATTGGTGTTGAGTAAAAAAGATCCATTCCCGAAACAAGTTCGGTATAATGATGATGAGTGAAAAGGTGTTTAGCTTTGATATAATGATTGCATGAGAGGCCTAGTGTAGGTATTAATTATAACCATACATATTTGTAATTAGCTGGTAAAATATCCCATTGATTGATCAATATTGATCATTTAGCCAATTTTAAGAAGTTCTTATCATCTAAGTATTATCTTAAATATAGGTGAAACTACGTTAGCAACTAGCTTCTTTCTAAAGCTGAGTTGGATATCAAGTTTCAACGGTCTACGCTGGAGTCATTGACAAGCTCTGTTGACGCACTCAATCATAGTGATTATAGTTTCCTAAACAAATTTGGGGCTCTTTAAATTTATTTGTCAAACCAGCATTCAAAAGTTAATTCCTAATCAATACAGAGATTGCAATCAGTAAGCTCAAAAAGGGACATTATGAAGCCTTTTGGACTCTTCATCACCCGGAAATTCAAGTTCATACTCTTTACTAGGACCTAGAACGATAACTTTGGTATATTTCTAGGTCCTTAGATCAACTCATCTCTTTTGTTTAATATTCAGCTCAGCTTCAAGAAATTCAAAAACCTCCTTTGTTTCTCTTTCAGCATTATAATTCAAATCAAGATGTGCCTTTACTATTTTAACATTCCATATATAGCCTCTTTGTAGACTTCGAAGCTCTTTACAACCTTTGATCACTTCTATACCTTCACTTACCAACTGATCTTTGAGTGCTTTATCCTCCTCATTTAAAGGTTTTTTTGGGTCATCAGTAAGGTTTTGTTTCACCAATGAGATAAGGATATCCAACTTCTCGAGTAGACTGGGTTTGTCTGGCATTTCTTGTTTGTTTTAGTTCCATATGGGTACTAATCATACTTTGTTTCATGTTAATTGTTTACTTTTGAACTTTCGCGTCAAGGATTCAAATTATTTCACCATATCAGGCAATTACCCGAATAGGAAGTTCGACCGATTGTAACATTTTCGATCAGATTTCAAACGGTTTTTTGGATTTTAAAATTTTCAAATTGACAAGACAGAAAAAAAAACATGACCACGGTCCACGAGTGAAAATTTTTATAAATTACATCATCAACTTTGAAATGATAAACGAGGTGTAAAAGATTGCGTAAGATGATGGACCATGGTGAAGAAAAGAGTGGGATGATATTAGGGAAGGAAGCAATTAGGAAGTGGCAGGAATTGAATGAGACGTAATTAATTGCACCCGGTGAATACAGTGTTGGTTTGATGGAGCAATGGCTCTCTGTCTGTGGTCTGTGGCTCTGTCTGGCTCCCTGCCTAGGTGCTAGAAGGGGGCCCTCTGCCTGCCCCCACGGCGTTTCGACAATCCTCTGCCTAGCCCTGGGTCAATCCCCTTGTAGAAAGAATAGCCTCTCTGCCCACGGCTTTAAGACAACCGTTGTTTAATGAGTCAAAGCATGATTAATGAAAATTTTTCACTGTTTGAGAGGTGGTTGATATTTGATTAGATGGTGGTTTATACGTTTATAGGATGGTTTCTTTGATTAGGGGTAGCAATAACACATGGGCTCAATTTGTAATCCATTGGCTGTGCAATTGTTCCTTTCCCTTCTAGTGGAATCGTAGGCAGAGCCCCTTCCACCGCTTCCCTGAGGCTCCCCCTGTCTCCCTACCAATCTCTGCCTAGCCGGTGACGTCTCTGCCCAAATTCCAAACGGGTCATTCTGTTGACAATCTGGGGTGCGTCCCGGAATGACCACCACCATGACTAATCACGTTTTTAACGGATAGAGTGGTTTTGGAATAGTATATAAAGAGCAAGATATCATTGGATTTGTTGTTCTTCTTTTATTTATTCATCATCTAGATTCTAGTTATACAACGACTATTACTCAATTTATAAACATCCAACCCTTCAAAATGGCCAACCAACAATTCTTAGTTTTATCTTCAGAAATCTCAAAACCATTTGTCATTCCAAACGTTTCACCAGTTAGTGCAAACACTTCACCAAACAGCAGAGCTAATAGTGTCTCAAGTGTTTCAGATTCTCAAAGACGTCCAAGTGTATTGTTATAGATGTTTAGTTCAATCATCATCATCATATTATTGCATTAGGTTTATTGACAGTTCGTCTGTCTGGGATTGTGTTTTTTTTTACATCATGATCATTATGGGTTTATGATCTCTGGGTTTAGGTTTTACTAGCGTTATTTGAAGTTACAATATATATTATATCATATCACATCTATTGTAGTATTTACAAGAATATCCTTAAATCAACTAGTTCAAAAGATTGGATAAAATTCATTATACTTTTTAGCATAATATCCACTACCTAATAAACCTAAAGTTGTTAAAATTAATGGAACAGGTTTGGAAAATTTAACTGGTAACCCTCTAGCAATACCTGCAGCTAATAATAAAGTGGATGAACCTAAAGCTAATTCTAATCCATAATCAGCATTTTTATGTAATAGATAACCTGCACCACCAAATGCTGCTGAAAATATTAATCCTGCTGCTAATGATGGGATTGATTTTTTTTTAGCATAACCGGCAATACCACCAACGAGGACTAAACCTGATAAAGTATAAGCTGGATGTTCCTGATACTTAGTTAGTATTATTATCATTCATTTTATCAATCTTACTCACCATTTTAATATGAATATTCAATTGATGATGGCGTTTGGAAAAGGGATTTCAATCAGTTCAATTTCAAAATTTTTGTTCACCTTTTTCGAAAGTATTACTAAGCTGTGATTGGTGTCTGGGTGTGGCTCTCAATTCGAAACTGAGCAGGTGCTTGATTTATCGGTTTCAAGATTTTGAGGCGACTAAATAAAAAAAACAAAAAACAATATCAAAAATCCATAATCAATTGATTTTAATCATAATGAGAACAATGATTCATTCTTTTAAACAATGTCAGAACCATCCACCCCATTAACCAATTCAGGTTCTTTCAGTCAACACAGTTCTCCAAATAAAAAAAGTGCAATACAACAAAAATTATTAATACTTAAATTGAAAAGAATCAATGAATTAAATAATAGATTAAAAGATACATTATCAAAAGATAGAATATATGCTTCCAATGCTTCCTATTCCATAATAGACTATACACAGAGTCATAAAGATTATGCTATACCTGAGATTTGGGGGAATTTACAACCAGGTGAAAATCCATTTAGAAATAATAGGTTCCAACAAAAGACTGGTGGTGGTGGTCAAGATCAAGGAGGATGTTGTACGATAATGTGAAAGAGACAATAATATAAAAAGACTAGACACAACTCCAAATTCTGTATTTATATATAAACTTTGATGAAAAATTATTAATGATTTAATTTTAACCTCCCAATTGTTTTGCTTCATTATTAACTTCAAATTTTAAATGATCTTTATCTTTCAAAGTAGGATCATCTAATTTCAAATCATCACCACATCCACAATCATAATCTTCAATGATATTTGCACAATCATAAATTTCATGACCTAATACTTTATTAACTTTATTATGAACATCACAACCCCAAACTGATGCAATGGTTCTTGATGAAGTTTGTGGTGGATATTTTTCTAATAATTTGATGAAATGTCGAGCACAATCTCCACATGGATACACTTTGGCAAATAAATAAATGTATTGTTCTAAAGTTTGACGTTCTTCTAAACTTGGTTTATCTGGATATCTAGCCAATATAGTATGGAATAACTTGGGAATATTAGTATTGATTCAGTAAAGACGTTATTTTCTAACTCACTTTCCATGAAGCACGACCTAGTTCAGCTCTATAATATATTAGTATTGATCTGGTTAATACCAATTTCATACCCACTTTATGGTTTCATTAGCCATCTTGGGCATAAATGGGATATCCACGGTATTTGATTCATCTTTCTCAATATCCAACGGTTTTGGCTCGTTCAAAGAGTTTGAGTGGGAAAGGAAATAGTACAAGCAGATCACCACGATCAATGAAATCGTTATCGAAGCAGTAGGTTTCTTTATGAATCTCATAATGTGTAATTTTGGAATATTTGATGATGGTTTTCGTGGGTTTCCAAAAAAAAATGTCACCTTGTTTTCATCAAAAAACCATCAAATTTTAACCATTTCCAAAGCCAAAAACATCAAAGAATAGCCAAAATGAGCAAGGATAAATTCACTGTTCCCTCTCTAAACCCAAATCGCGCAAATGCTAGTTCTCAGGGCATTCAAACCATCCATATAAACGCTGCCAGAGAAATGTTTGCAGCTACAGCCAGAGCAAGAGAACCAAATCCAAGTTATATACCCAATGCTTCAAACGCCATCAAGAGACAACCGTTGGATCTCAATGCCATAGAACCACCTGTCGAGACTACTGGAGTGCAATTGCCATCAGCACAAATATCGGTTCCTGCTAAAAATCATGATATTTCTCAATGTACAAATCCTCAATGTGCCCATTGTGGGAGAGTGATCATACCTTCACCAGTTGCTTCATTCCCACTAGTGGAGACTCCATCAATCTCTATAAATGATTGGGAAATTTATACAACAAAGAAACCGATTTTGAATTCTGATGAAATTGATAAAGAACAAGAAAGATTAGGTATACCTTTACCTGAAATGATTTTTGGTAATAATAAAGTTGAAATTAAGAATAAGGCGAAGAATTTCCATATATCTTTTAATACACCAGATGCTCTAAGTCTTGTTGATACCACTGGTGAAAATTTATTACAAGTTTCTTATTCAAAAGAATGGTTTAGTACAAGAAGGACAAATACTGATGATGTTAAAGGTATAGTGAAACCTTTTGATTGGACTTATTCCACAACTTATAGAGGTTCATTAATTGAAGGATCTCATGATTTAAAAGAAACTTTGGATTTGAACATTCCTTTAAATAAATTGAAAAAACCTGATCCAATTTTATTCTTTGATGATATGGTTTTATATGAAGATGAATTAGGTGATAATGGTATTTCAGTACTAAGTTGTAAAATTAGAGTCATGCCTGAAAGATTATTACTATTATCAAGATTTTTCCTAAGAGTGGATAATGTTATTTTCAGAGTTCGTGATACAAGAATTTATATTGAATTTAATGAAAATTTAATAATAAGGGAATATAAAGAACAAGAGGCAAATTATCAAGATGTTTTGAAAAAAATTAGTCCAATGACTGGTGATCCAAGAGCTTTCCTTAGAGATCAAAATTGGATTGCTTCAAAACTACCAGCTATTAAAACAGTTGTGGATTATGCTACACTATGAATAACAGAAAGAACATGTATTGACTTAAAAATCACGTAGTAATTGCTCTGCAGCTTTTAAATCTTGAGCATTAGATCCATTTGTTTCAATTATTTCTTTTAATCTATTTTTGGATAATTTATTCAATTCAACATAATCAATTTTAACATTTTTCAATTTTTTAGAATCTAATTGATTAAACTCTTTGGAGATTAAATAAATCCCTGACCAGCCTCTAATAAAATTTGAAGATAATTCAACACTTCTTAGGAAATGTTTTAATGATGAAACTAATGAATCAACATCACCATCTCTCTTAAAAATTGCAAATTCAATATTACCAATCTTGGCAAAAATGTTATAAGCAAAAGGTATAATCAATAAAATCTCTTGTAATGCAAATATAGATTTCTCAAAATGTCCAATTTCATAATAAATGTCTGATAATTCTAACCAAACTTCAGTATCTAAGGGACTTAAATTTAAATACCCATTTAATGCCTTAATATAATCAGGAGTACTTGTTATTTTTTTACTCAAAGCAACTCTTTTCTTAAGACATGTCAATTCATTTGAATTTCTTTTATTTAAATAATCAATTGCATTTTTATTATCAATTGTAGATTCTAAAAAAGTTGCCTTCAATACTGCAGTTCTTTGACTATCTTGATCACCGAATTTATCAATTATTCTATCAAGACATGTTTTGGCCTCACTATCCTTGTTAGATAATAATGATAAATAGAATTGTAGTTCTAATAAATCATAATATTTAATTGATTCAATTTTATTGATATTGTTTCTGAGATAATTCACTAGTAATAGATAAGTTGATGAGATCTGTTCTGGATTGAAAGTGGCATATAGACCTAGTCTATGGATGCTCAGTAGTTTCTCCTCGACTGACATTATGTAATTCTTTTGTCTTTTAATTGGAACAACTCAATAATTGATAAATAATTGATAAAATGTTCAATATTTTGATTAATTTCAACGTTATTAAATTAGCCCTCGGTTATTGGCTTCATGAAATCACGTGGTTATCATAATCCCGAGGGTCTTGATTAGTCATCTTTTTTTTTCTGAACTGAACGAAAACTTTTCAAATCAATTAAAATTAGCCACCAAAATTACAACTTCATTTCAAAGAAAAGAATCCTTCAAAAGAGTTTATCTGATTAAGAAATTAGCCAGTCAAGGAAATCAATTAGATAATTCACTTCCCCAAAAAATTCAATATTTAAATTACCAAAATCAAGTCCGTAATTTATTTATAATTCAAAAAGTTACATTCAACAAACCATCAAAAGACTGATTAAAGCAGTACCCCGTTTATGAATTGTTTTTTTGCAGTCAAAATATTTGAATCAACAATCCCATCTTTGCCCAGTTCTTACACTTTACAATTAATATTGTGTAATCATATAATTATAAGGAAATCTTGAACTCAATATGTCATTCATTAATATTTGTCGTGACAACACTGATCCATTTTATCGTTATAAAATGCCTCCTATTCAATCCAAAATTGAAGGTCGTGGTAATGGTATCAAAACTGCTGTTGTCAACACTGCAGAAGTTGCTCGTGCTTTAGGTAGACCTCCAGCTTATTTGATCAAATTTTTCGGTTTTGAATTAGGTGCTCAAACTTCAATTAATGAAAGTAATGATCGTTATTTAGTTAATGGTGTTCATGATGCTCCAAAATTACAAGATTCCTTAGATGGATTCATTAATAAATTTGTCTTGTGTGGATCTTGTAAAAATCCAGAAACTGATATTATTATTACAAAAGATGAAGATTTAATTAGAGATTGTAAAGCTTGTGGTCAAAGAACAAGAATTGATCCTCGTTTGAAATTATCAACTTATATTTTGAAAAATCCTCCAGAATCTGCTAAATCCAAAAAAAAGAAAGCTGCTACTGCTTCTGCTAATGTTGTTGGTGGTGGTATGTCAATTACTGATATTGCTTCTGGTAAACAAAGATCAAGTGCTCCAGTTGAAGATGACCAAGCTGAAGATTCTGATGATGATGCCCTAACTAGAAAAATCAATGCTGAAGCTTCCGCTTTACCTCAAACTGAAGTTGCTGATGATGAATGGGCTGTTGATATGTCTGAAGAGGCTGTTCGTAAAAGAGCTCAAGAATTAGAAGCTTTAACTTTAGAAAATGGTTCTGGTGGTGATTCTAAATTTGATGAATTTGGTGAATGGTTATTAGAATTTGGTGATGATAAATCTAATTTACCAAATGATGTGGAAATTTATAAAAAAGCTTTTGAATTGGAAATTTCTGAAGATGTTCATACTGTTCAAGTTTTAGCTCAAGTTTTATTTGATAAAAACATTGTTAAACAAATTCCAACTCATAAAGGTTTATTAACCAAAATTATAACTTCTAAAAACCATGAAAAGGCATTTTTAGGTGGATTAGAAAGATTTTTAGGTTTAGATAATCCAGAGTTATTACCACAAATTTCTAAAATCTTATTAACAATTTATGAAAATGATATTGTTAATGAAGAAACTATTAAAGATTGGGGTTCAAAAGTTTCTAAAAAATATGTTTCAAAAGAAATTTCTAAAAAAGTTAAAAAAGCTGCTAAACCTTTTATTGAATGGTTAGATGAAGCTGAAGAAGAATCAAGTGATGAAGAAGAAAGTGATTAAATCCTGTGAAGTCAACTATATATAGCAAGTTTATTTACTTTTTCATTAGCTTTTTCTATTTTCCCACATAATATATTTTAATTTAAAGGTGTTTTATTTGAGTTACTAATGGGGATTCAATATGTTGTATTATTGTCGATTATTGTTTAATAAAGCTAAAACAATGGGCGTGCTGCTGGTCGCAGCTCAAATATATGTTACGTCGTCCATCAAATACAAGTAATATTATACCAGAAAACAAAAAGCACATGCAATTCCCCTATGTAAAAATCTTTCAAAAAACCAAACAAAACAGTCATTAACCCAGTTAAAAATCATCAGCCTTTTTCACTTTTTGATTCTTTGATTTGTTTTTTTTATTATGTTTTTTATTACCAGTATTATTTTCAACTTTATGGAATGGAGTGGAAAATTTACCTTGAACACCATTCATTTTGAAAAATTCACGATCTAAATCTTCAGTTGCATTATAAATAGCAGCTTGTTTACCACCATAATTTGCACTTCTTGATTCTTTTTTATCATCACCTCCAATATGGGAAGAAAATGATAATTTTGATAAATCATCAGCTAAATTGAAATCTTTTAAACCTTTTGAATGAATAGCTGATAAAATTTGTTCTTTTCTATTTTCAGTTAATGAATCAATTGTATATAATTCTTTATTAAAATCCCTTTTTTCATCTTGAGTTAATGGTGAACCATCTGGATTTGGAGGAGGATGAACATATGGTAATTTACCATTCACATAATCTTTTAAAATATATCTTGCAGATCTTGGTTCATCTGCACTACCAAAACCTTGGGTCATATAACCTCTTGCTCTAGCATATGCAGTTAATAATTCTTGAGAAGTTGGAACACCATCACCACCATCATCTTTGGATTTTGTAGGTATAGCAATACCATAAACTGCTTCTAAAAAGAACTTTGGAACTCTTTGTGCAACTAATTGTGTAGGACCTGTATATTCTCTTAATTGATCAATTGGTAAAACACCACAACAAACTAATTCACCATTTGTGTATGCAAAATTTGGGAAAACTAAACCTGGACAATCACATAGTAAGACTTGATCTGATAAATGAATAGTTTGGAAATGTTTTGTCTTACCTGGAGTTGATGAAACTGAAACCTTTTTAGAACCAATTAAAGCATTAATTGTAGAGGATTTACCAACATTTGGATAACCAACTAAACCAATTTGTAAAATTGGAGGTTGACCATTTGGTGGTGTTGTTAAAGGTTCTGGAGCTTCGGTCATAAATAATTCTTCTAATTCTTCAATTTTCAAAATTCTTGTAGATTCATCTAAATCTTTTTGATCTTCAACCTTTTCTATTAGTTCAGGTTTATAATCTGGTTGATCTTGTTTTTCTAATAATTGATTAGCTTCAAAAGCACTGAAAAAAGTGAAATTAATATTATGTGATTTAAAATATGCAGCCCATGAACGTCTTTGCTTTGGAGTTAATAAATCAGCTTTATTAACTAATAATAAATTTTTCTTTAATGGATTTAGTTCTTTAACATATTTCTCTAAATCAGGAGATCTAAACATTAATGGATTTCTTGCATCAACAATTTGAACAATTAAATCTGATCTTTCAACAACTCTCCATAATTGTCTCCAAACTTCTAAATTTCTTTCAAAAGGTGTTAACAACAAATCTTCGTTTTCTTGTAAACGAGCCAATTCTCTTCTCCAGTCTAAGAATGCTTCTTTCTCTTGTCTATCTAATTGAAATCTTGTCATTGATTCATCCCATTCAGGTCTTCTTGGAACTGTTAATTTATTTTCATTAGCATGTTGGATTTCACTAACACGTTTTTCTTGATCATTTGTTAATAAATATGGATTTTTAGTTGGATCAACTTTTATTATAGTAACTTGATTATTTTTATCAGCTGTGAAATCAGTATCAGCTAATTCTGCTGTGTTTAAAAATTCATCCAATGCATTTTCTTGGGTAACAGATCTCAATTTAACCCAGTTAGCTTCATGTTTATCAGTGGTGAATCTCATTTCACCATCAGGCAAATATTCAACTTTATTTTCTTTAGCTCTAACATTGGCAATAGTTCTACCTAACCCAATAGTGTTTTTATTCTTATGATGAACTGGTTTTGGACCTTTTGGGATCTTGAACTTCTTTGGTGCTTCGTGGAAACCCTAAATCGAAACATTAGTATCACCATCACTAGATCATAATATAAATCCACATACCATTTTCCTCTTTCTAGTTTGAATTCGTTATGAGTATTAATGGTTTAAATTATAAATCACATTGAATTTTTTGTTTTTTTTGCGCATCTCAAAATCTTTTTTAATTCGAGATGACGTAAGCGATGAGTTTACCCGGAGTCTGCCATTTTGTTTTGTGTCACTTGATAAAACAGATTCGCGAAATTTTAAACCAACAACAACAAAGAATTGAAGAATTAGATTGAATTCAATTAGAAGAATCAAAATGGTTCAGTTAGTTCAGGTGTTGCCATTGGACTATCGTATGTTGGATCTTGGACTGTGTTTGATATGGATTAGCTAACTTAATTGGGGAATAGAAGTGGTGGAAGATAGTGAATTGACTGATTTGTTTCTTTATGCTTTTGCCAAATCCAATTCTATTGATGATTTGATAAATGAAGATGATTTCGAAGTTGAGCTCAAGATGACTGATGGTGATTCAAGTTTCTATGGGAAATTACATAAGAGTGATTTGGGTAAATCAAAGCACCAAAAAAATACACAATCAGATAATGAATGGATCATCCTATTGTTACAATCATTATTTAATCAATTACCATTGAAATCTATTGACACTGTGGAGATTGTTGCAAAGGAATTAAGTAAGGATGGTGAAACTATCTTGGAGATTGAAGTAAAAACCAAAGTTGGTCCTTCTATTTACCAAACTCTTGGATTATTAGAGTTCAAAGCTTTGGCAGAATCAGATAATATCAATTATGCTGATGAATTATTTGAATGGTCCAAGATTATGAGTAGTACAAACAAACAGCTTCAAAAAGAGTTAGTCAAAACCAAAGCTAGAACTAAATCATTGGAAGTGGAATTAAAAGAGATGCAAAAATTTCAAGATGATTTAGTTGAAGAATCTAAAGTGAAAGATGAAATACAACTCAAGGTTATGACGAAATTGTTGAACTCTAAAAAAGAACATTATGAGAAATTGTTGAAAGGTGAGATTACAGATGATCCAGATGATTTCAATCTTATTGCAATAAAGAATATAAAGGATGATTTCATTCACGAACAAGAGAAAGAAGAGAAACCTAAACCTAAGAAACCTAGAAAAGCTGGAGCTAAAAGACAACCAAGAGGTGTGAAAGCAGCAGCGTTGCTTAGAGGGGAGAAGAACATAACGAAAGAGTACCCACGCATTAAGGATGAAGATGAAGATGAGTTCATTCCAGATTCTCAAGACGAAGCAGAAGTAAAGAAAGAGAATGATCCAGTAGAGAAGCAGATGACAGATGAACCAAAGAAGAAGAAAGTCAAGATCGAACCAAAGGATTCTAAAATAAAGAAAGAACAAGACGAGATACCCCAGGCCGTTAAAGCAGAACCAGAGAAGTCAATACATTTCAAATTTAACGATGAAGATGCCACTGAGGATGATGAAGAAGTAGTAGAGGAAGAGAGTAAGACCAAAGATGATGAAGGAGATGAGACGGTGGAGGATACAGATGAAGATGGTACAGAAGAGGATTTAGAGATGAAGGATCAAGATCAAGATCAAGAGACAGCCACAGATACAGACTCAGACTCGGAATAAATTTTAGAATTCAGAACAGCCTCCATTCTCGTTCCTCCCAAATTACCCAGCACACATTACGACAACATTTCCATTTCCATTGTGACGTTTCTGGTGATAAAATCCAATCAAATTGTGTGCCTTGCAGAATCGAATCGGTATTTTTCGTGTTTTTTTTTTTCAATGGGCAGTGTAAAAATAGATCAACACCAAATTTGATATTCAGGGGAATTTTGTGCAAGGGGAAAAGCAGGGGAAACCCAATTCTCAGATGATTTGAAGGCCTATGATTTAGGGATATCATGGCACTGTTTTTAACTAAAAATTATCAAATTCTCACTCTTTAAAGCCACCAAAAAACGCGTAATTCTCATAATTTCATGCCTAAAAAAATGCGTTCTGTTGCGCGTAACAGTCTCAATTTTTTTTTTTGTTTTTTTTTGCAACGTTTCGAATCGATCTTGAAATGGATTCAGTTCCATCTTTTGAACTTGGTCAAACTTCTTCTTCTTCTTCTTCTTCCAAAAGATCATTAACTTGGCTTCCAATTCTTGCTAGTATAGTGCCCCCATTTCTTGGATCAATCACTTCCTTTCGCTATTCACCTGGAGTTTTTTTTTCATTTCGTTTCAGATTCAACTTTTTCTTCAATTTTATATTTAATTATAGTTTCAGCCTCTGAGGTTCAAAATTTGTTTACAAATCCAAGCTTGAAATAGATAAAATCATTCACTTCATTTCCACATATTACTCCAACTTTCATTTCATTTCAACCAGTTTTTCAAAGTTGCTTTACAATTTTAGTCAAATTCAATCTTTATCTTTAGGTCCCAGTGTGAAAAACTATAGAGATACACCAACAATACAAAATGCAATCAGTCCCTTACACTCCATATGACTTACCATATACCCCATTGATCACTCAACACTTAGTTGTTAACTCTCCCCATATGAATAACCAATTTGCAAGATTTCAACCACAACCAGATTACCAATTTGATGACGGTTTAGAATATATTAATCAAAATGGTCATAATTTGAATGGTCAAGATTATGAATTCCAATCAAATGGTGGTTCTCATAATCACCCAAATGGACAATTCATCTTCACAGATGGTCCAATTAACGAAGGTGGCAGTGGTTCTGGTAATATGATGTCTCAAAATCCTAATGAATCGGGTGAATTTTATATGGATGGCCATTTTAACAATTCTAATGGTAATTTGAACTCCCAATTCAGTGGTGACTCTCAAAACGGTGGTCCAATTGATTATCATAGTGTTGCTGCAACTGGTCAACTCGCTGGTCATCCTGGTTTACCTTCAGGTGTTGACGTTGCACCAAGTAGAACAGTTTATCTTGGTAATGTTCCTGCAGATATCACCCCAAAGGAATTATTAGACCACGTCAGAAGTGGTATAATTGAAAATGTTCGCTTATTAAGTGATAAAATGTGTGCATTCATTTCATTCTTAGATAAATCAAGTGCTTTATTATTCCATTCAGATGCAATTTTGAAAAGATTAACTATAAGAGATAATGACATCAAGATTGGTTGGGGTAGAAATGCTCCATTAAGTTCTGTTGTATTAAATGCTATTCAAAGAGATGGTGCAACAAGAAACGTTTATATTGGTAATTTACCAAAAGATATTTCTCAAGATCAATTGATTCAAGATCTAGAAGAATATGGTACAATTGACACCATCAAGATTTTAAATGATAAAGGTGTCGCTTTCATTCATTTCTGTTCAATCTTGAGTGCGATTAAAGTTGTAACCAACTTGGCTTTGAAAAATGAATTTTATGCTGATAAAAAAATCTTTTATGGTAAAGATAGATGTGCATTCATTACCAAAACTCAACAACATAACGCTGCTCAATATTTAGGTTTAGCTCCTGGTATGGAGCATTTAGTTACAAATGCTGATAGGGAATTCATTTCTTCAACTTTATTACAACAATCTGCAGCTGCAGCTGCCATTGCAACAACTGCTGGTGGTGCTAATAATTTGGGTAATAGAACCGTTTATTTAGGTAATTTACCAAAAGATATCAAAGTTGAAGAAATTTGTAATGTTGTTAGAGGTGGATTATTACAAAATGTTAAATATTTACATGATCGTCATGTTTGTTTCATTACTTTTATTGATCCAATAGCTGCTGCTCAATTCTTTGCAATGTCTCAATTACATGGATTAACTATACATAACAAGAGAATAAAAATTGGATGGGGTAAACATTCAGGTCCATTATCAAATGCATTGACTTTAGCTGTTAGCTCTGGTGCTTCAAGAAATATTTATATTGGTAATATTGATGTGGAAAATCCAAAATTTTCAAAAGAAGAATTAAGAGAAAAATTTCAAGAATTTGGTGAAATTGAACAAATTAATTATCTATTGGAGAAAAATTGTGTCTTTATAAATTTTACAAATATTTCAAATGCTATTTTAGCTATTGATAAAATTAAAATTGATCCAGATTTTAAAGACTTGAAAATAAATTTTGGTAAAGATAGATGTGGTAATATTCCTCGTCAATTTGTCAACACCAAATGAAATCAAGACCGGTTTGAAAAGATGAAAAATCCTGTTTGGCATTGTATGTGATTTGATAACATTTCAAATAAGTTAAAAGAAAAACAGACACACATTTATATAATACTTTTAGTTTGTGATCCTAGATGCGGTTGATTGATCAAGGGATGCTTTATAAGTATAATTACGATATACAAGATTAAAACTAGCATCAAAACTACGTAGCTACAAAACTATTTTAAACTGGTCATTAAATATTAACATTGAGCTTATAATACAGATTTTGTTTTCAACTATTGTACACTAGAAAAGACATCATCACGAAACTGGTGTAAAACTCTTTTTGAATGTATCTTCATCAATCAATACCAGATCATCATCATCCTCCGATTCATTATCTGAGTCATCACTATCACTAAGAACAGTATATGTTGGTTCAGTGGTAGTTTCAGCAGGTGCAAGTGCAGGTGTTGGGGTAGCAGAAACAGATATTGGTTCAATTGGTGCAGGTGGTAATGTTGGTTCTGGCTGTACTGAAGCAGACGCAGATGACACATATTGAAATTGAGCAGACTGTGGGTAAATTTGACTTGATACGGCAAGCGGTTGTGTCATTGGAGGCAAACGTTGTGAGGGTTGAGATGTTGGTGATGAAGATTGTGTTGCCGAAACTGTATATCCTTGTGAAATTGGTCTAGTTGTATTGATATTATGACTGGTATTTTTGTTTCGTTGTTGTGCAGCCATTGCTTCCCGTCTAGCGAGTCTAGGGTCTCTTGGACGAACAGGATCTTGACCGACTTTAGCAAGATTTATTTGTTCAGCTTTATTAGTCACTGCGGTTTCTTTCTCTTGCTCTTTCTCTATCTCTTCTTCTATCTCTTTTTCTGCTTCTCTTTGTTTCTCTTCTCCATTATCTTCACTCAGATTCATTGATGGACTTTCTTCAGTTGGTGAGTTGAACAGAGAATCTAAATCACCACCGTCAGTATCTCTAGCAGACAAATCATTTTTCCCAGCCTCTTCACTCTCGGATTCTGATGCAGATGGAATAGCTTTCATAGCATCAACTTTTTTTCTGTATAGCGCTTTGAATTCTTCATCATCTTCATCGAGTTCCTCTTCTTCAGACATATCAACATGTTCAGCAGCTTTAGCTTCAGGTCTGTTTGGGAAGACCAAATTTCTTGAAGCTTTTGGACTGGTTTGAGTTTGAGTTGTTTGAGTTGTTTGAGTTTTATTAGATTTTTTGGGTCTTTCAACTTTACGTTTCTTTGGAACATCTCTTATGATCCTGATACCAGTACGGCCTTGGTCAGATGAGCGAGCAACATTTGAAGAATTGCTAGTTTTTGTTCTACCACCAATGGTTGTTCTATGTTTGGTGTTTCTTTGTGCTTTTTGTGGTTCTGGGCCTCTAGGAACCAGTATCGGCATGTCTTTCAAAGTGTTGGATTTTGCATCATTCTTGGACCCTGTGGATTGTGGTTTTGAGGTTTCAGACTGTTTCTTCTTTGATCCCTGTTTTCCATTCAGTGTTGCTTTTGAGTTTGAAGTTGTGGATTTGACCTTTTTTGCTTGGTGATCTTTGAGTGCTGATTTTTCCTGACTCCCAGTTGATGAAGAAGCACCCTGTGATTTTGCAACAGGTACTGGTGGGTTTTGTGATTGACTTTGTGTAAGCTTAGTTTCTTGAGATGCTTTAGAGCTAGGTGGATCAATCTTTTGTGAGGACCCTGAAACAGAGGATGATGATATAACACTTTTCTTTCGCTTCTTTCTTGATCGAACTGGAACTTCACCTTCAGACGAATTTTCACTTTCACTGCTGATATGAGAATAACGACGACGGTGACGGCGACGGTGACGCAGTTCAGTTTTCTTCTCTTCACTTTCAATGGTTCGTAGGAGTTTTTCAAATTCATCATCCGAACTATAAATAATATCATCACTATTGTCAACCACAAATTCATCCTCGCCAACTTCTTCCTGGTACTCATCATCATGAACTTTTCCTCTCAGCAGTCTAGGTCTTCTCCCAGATTCAGAGGCGCTATCATCATCGTTATCTGAACCTGAAATTTCTCTAGCAGAAGTATACCTCGTATCATCACTAGAATTAGATGTTGAAAGTTCTTCTTGCTCCTTTAGCTTCCTTCTTCTAATTTCAGCAGCAGTCTTTCTTCTTGCCAACCCCTTTCTCTTGTTTCTATCAATAGCACGTCTTTTAGCTTCCTCGTCATCAGAACTGAACAAACCCTCTAATTCACTATCAGAAATCTCGAGCTTTTTACGACCTTTTTTGGAATACGAGTCTTCATCAAAGGAAGGGTCAGCATCAGCATCATCTTTTTCTTCCCCATCCTGTTCGTCATCTGCACTTTCAATACTATTACTTTCATAAGTGTCATCACTTTCATCTTCTGAATTTTCCACTTCTTCATCTTCTTCAACTTCGTCATCCTTCTCATCTTCTTCATCATCATCTTCTTCTTCAGGTTCTGGTTGTTCTTTCTTAGGTTGGCTAGGTTTTGAAATAGGTTCCAGTTTTGGTTTCTGAGGCTTTGCAGGTTGAGCAATGATAGGCTTCCTTATAGTCAGTTTTCTTCTTGATGGGGGACTTAAGTTCACAGCTGTGTCTTCAGGTATTGCAAAAACATCAGTGGTCGACTCATGAAATTCTGGAGAACCGTGGTCAGAAATATGAGCTGGAGAATGAAGTTCATCATTCAATTGTTCATTAATGTCAGCACCAATTTGGGACGTACGACGTTGTGAGCTGATCTTAACTGGTGATGTGATATCAACTGGCTGGAACTTTTCTTGATCCAGAGGAAGAAAATGAGGATGACCATCCTCGTCAAAGGCGTCTTCATCATCTGAGTCTAGTGACACAAATATTCTCTTCAGTGTTAATTGCGAAATTGCATTTTCACTTTCAGTTTCAGTTTCTGAATCATCCGAAGCAACAAATAAAGTTGATTTCTTGGGCATTATTGGTTGATGTGGTGTTGGTGATAACGTTGAATGTTGTTGTTGATGGTTTTCATTCTCTTTTCGTTTTACCAAAAAAGAATTGTCAATTTTAGGTACCGATATGGAAGATTGAGATAAAGGCTGAATCTTATCTTCAGCTGACAGCAATTCTGAAGCCAAGTTATTTGATGCTTGTTTCGAATTGAGATCCTTGGGCACAGTTCCAAAATCCAGTTTTTTACTAGGTACATCTTTATATGATGGTTTTTTGATTGAAGTCATTGATTTGTGAGTTCCAAAGGGACCTTTAGGTTCCTGTTTAAGCTGTTTCTTTGGGGACAGGCTCTCAATAATTCTTTGTTTCAAGTACTGTCGTAGAGTAATCAGATGTATATGTTTCTGAGGTGCTGGGCCTGAAGCTGGAACGTCCAGATTCTCTAAAGTCTGGAGGTATTTTGACCTTCTATTACCATCCTGATCATAATCATACCGTATCTTGTGATTGGAGGACATTGGGGTTTGAGTTATATGCTAAATAACATCTGTTTGTGGACCAAAACAGACTTGAAACTGAGCTATGAGTTGAATTTAAAAACGCTCCAAACACCAGACAACTTTTGACAATGGATTTCAGCAAAATTTAGCAAGAGCAGTAAACTGACACTTCAAATAACCTTTGGTAACGTATTCCCTCAGTCAGTTTGGGTGGAAAGTTTCAAATATAAGCATCCAAATGTTCAAAATGTAAATAACATTGAAAACACAGAAAAAAAAGATTATGTAATCAAAAGTCTGATTTCCGCGAAAATGATGATTTTTTGATCCTTTTGTTTTAAACAAGGAACAAGTGAAAAATAAAATAAATAAAAACTACACGTCAGGAAGTTTTGGCTGAGCATCCTATATTTACCAATTTCAGAATTTGCAGTTTGGGATTCAATATCCGTCATTTAAAATCGCCTATACAAAAGTTGAATCAAACAAGATCAGATCGGGATGCCTGGATATACGATAATCAATTTTCCTGCTGAATCAAGCAACCAAGATGTCCAAATCGCTGGAAACTTCACCAATTGGCAACCGCAAGTTATGAAGTATAATGATTCCGTCAGTAGATTTGAATATAAAGTCAATGATTTGGTTGATGGGTCCACAACCGGGAAATATAATTTCAAGTTCATAATTAATGGTGAATGGAGAGTTGATAAAGAGTACCCTTCAGGTGAGTGTTTTGATTTCACTGATTTATCTTGTGAATACTAACTTTTCAATCCGATTAGAATTTGATCCTTCAGGAAATGAAAACAATGTCATATTGTATGATTATACTGATGACAAGAGTGCATCTGATGAATACATTTCCAAGCTTAAAACTGAGGTGACACAAGATAATGAAGAAGGACCAAAAACACCAGACCCAACACCATATAATTTATCAACAACCACAACTAATGTCCAAACCAATTCAACTTCAGATGCAACTACAGCTACTGCTATTGCTACTGGTATATTACCAGTTACTGAACCACCAACGGAAAGCAAAACTTTACCGGCTCATGACAAGGAATCAACAGTTGCATCAAAAGCTGTTCCAAAAACTGAACCATCAAATGGAAGCTCCCAATTCATCCCGTTGACAGAAACAAGTACAGAACAAGCTCCAAAGAATGAATCTTTGTCAATTCCAGAACCCGAGCCAGTTAAAAGAGCCGAACCTCCAACAAAAACAAAAGCACCTGAACCTCAATCTGGAATTAACAAAAAACCCTCTGGATTAAAAGCTGATGATAAACCTTCTGTACCAAAACCAGTTGATAGACCTGAGCCCCCAAAGCAAACAGGTGCACCAAAGACAATTCCAATTATTCCTGAATCTTCACTTCCAATCACAACTAATACTGAGAAGAAATCGAAAGACGATTCAACTTCAAACACAAATTCAAAAACATTGAAACCATCACCATCACCAGCCCAAGACCAACCATTTTCTGATGCTAACGAAAGTGGTGAAGGTTATGAGGATGCATCAAACCAACTTCAAGAACAAAGACCAGTTAGTAACCCTTACTCCAATTCTGGTAAAGATATACCACAGTATAGTATTGGGTTCTTTGCAACTATGCTCCATGTTATTACTCAATTTTTTAGACGTTGGTTCCATTTGAATAGTGAATGAGTACTGAACTCTCACCAATCTTGTTTGTGATTGTTTGGGTGGTGATTGTCTGGAGATGTTTGAAGCGATGACTCTGCAGGAAAAACAGCTTTGATAGATGTTTGATACCCTTTTTTTTACTCTTTTCTTCTTTTCTTCATTACTCTTCTCTTTTTTGTTTCATTCTTTAATTTTTTGTACTACCAATACTGTTTTCAGCTGTTGCACTGACGGTAAATTGTTTTTTTATTTGATATTTGCTAATCCTAAATCCAATATGTCATTCTTTCTGTTTGGATAATCTGTGTAGTTGTTGGCGTTGACTTCGTTGACGAGTTTCTGAAATTTTTTTTTATCAGTTGAAGAATTCGCGAATTACAATATTTTCAAAACCAGCGGTCTGCCAAAAGTCAAGTACGCGTAAGAAGCCTGTAAAATTCAAAATTATTGTTCTCTCGTTTCTGTTGACATATTTCCATTCTGAATTATATTTATACTGAGATATTCATACTTATTCCACATCTCTTCAGAGTACAATTTAGCAAGGCTACGCTCCAGTTAGTTTAAATCAAAATGTCCCTAGAAGAGCTACCGCCAGCTGAGGAGGAGGTGGTTGACCATGATGATGGATCCCTCAAGAGGAAGAAGAGAAAGAAGGCAATCCCTTGGATGAAGTTGGCCAATTTACCTGTTGAAATCATTGATCTAATATTTACATATGCTGGAAGAATTGACTATTGGACTTTTAGAATATTTAGAGAGTTTGTTAGATTCAGGGGATATCTTGATCCAATTTATATCGTACAGACAAATTTTGAGAAACAAAAGCATTTGTTAATGTTCAACATCCCACCTGGCCAAAACAATGAAGATCATTTGTTTAAAAGTTCTGTTAAGTTTGTTGAGAACATTGAGACACATTGTGAGCTTTATAAAATAGAGAAAAAAAGGTTGTTCTTATTCATGGAGGTGGAGGTTTCAAATCTTGAACAAGGTCAAATGTTTGAAGATATTATAAGGTATTTGAAGATAAACAATATAAAATTTAGAGTATTCTTGAGAGCCATCCTGTTCTTTGATCAAGATGTTCCTTTTTCAAATCATTTCAGGAGTTCCATTCTAACGGATGAGTTTTTACAAGGGAATGAATTAATTTTGGACTCACACTATACCGAAGAACTAGCTACTAGCTCACGTTCAAGATCAAAAAAGTATACAGGGTGTACCTTTTTCCAATACCCGGAAGAGATCAAGCTTGACAGTGATGGTGCTCTACCCCTGGTTAAGTATTTGGATCCATCTAATGTCATTTGCAAATCCACAATAAGGCACTTGAAAGCGGCAACAATAGTCAGCGTACCCAACGTTTTGAATATCATTGATCGGAGATTCTTACTAAACCTGAAAACACTATATATATCACATTGTTCCAAAGCTCCAAAAAAAACAACCTTCATTCATCAAAATCTACCTCATTTGAAAAGTTTAGTTATTAAAAATTGTCAAACTTCAAAATTTAATGATAATGATTTACCAAGTTTAGAGATTTTAGTTATTGAAGAATCAGAAAGATACCGTGAATATGAAAAATCAGGCACTCGTGCCTTGAAGTTCAAAATGATTGGTAATAACCTTCCAAATTTACAAAAATTAGATATCTTAACATTTCATACTGAGCAAATACACTTGAATTCATTTGGTGATAAAATACACAATTTTGCGTTTCAAACAGGCTTAGATGAAGGTGGATCATTAGGTGATATCCCAAGCATCATCGCAATTTCAGAATCCATCTCAATACATGTCTTAAATGAAGATAGATCTATGGCCAAAACAGTTTTTGAAAATGTTCATAAACTTGATATGACAAAACATTTGTCAATAAATGACTACTACTCGGAAAACTTGGATTATTTAGCTAGGAAAAGGTTTAAAAATTTGGAACTGCTCACGTTGAGAGATGTTAACAGTTCTGTCAAGGAATTAAAAAACTTCAATATGCCTCGTTTAAAAGGATTAACATTATTAGAAACTTCCATTGCAACTGTTGATATCAAGGGAATGGGTAAACTAGAGCAATTGATTTTCACTTCAAAGACTAGAAGCACTCATTCAGCTAATGATCGTGATCAATCATGGCGTTGGTTTTCTTCACCAAAAGAATATTTTGGTATAGATTTCACAAAGATACCACCAAGATCAAAAACCAAAAATGTTAATCTTAACTTTCATAAAGCTGATTGTTTTAAAGGCCGTATTCCAGAGAATCTTCAACATTTTGTTTTAAGTTATTCTTCAAGTCATATTGCTAGACATAATGGCGCTAGAATCTTTGATTATCAAAATGATTAATATCCCAGGCCGTATAAACTAATTAATTAATGAAGTGATGAATAATTTGAGTGCAAACATTACACACATAGGAGATGTAGTCCACTATAACATTAACTAGTATCATTTAGTACAAACGCCAGCTTCAATATTTACACATTCAGGGTTTTTTTTGAGCACCTTCTCGGGATATGGTTTCAAGACTTCTATGCACCTATAATGTCATCTAAGTCCATCAATACTTACTCAATAAATCTCAAAATCACATAGATATATGTTTGTAGCTTAGTTAACAGATCTTTAAGTGTTTTAGAGCAAAAAAAAAGGGTTTCGCCCGCCAAAAAGTTAAATATTTGCCTCCTGCCAGAATTGAACTAGCGACCTTTGCATTACAAGTGCAACGCTCTACCACTAAGCTAAGGGGGCAACAACAACACGAAAATTAGGGCGTTGAACCACCAGGAGGCTCGACAGGGCGTAGCTGTACCAGGCCGTTACCTAGACAACATAAACTTCCAGATTATAAAGAACAGTCAACTTGTATACACAGAGTCCCTAATAAAAGGTGAGACTTGGTTCATGGCTTTCAATTACAAGCAATGGGTCGTTGAAGTCCGAATCTAGTTAGTAGCTAGCTCTGCTGTCGGTGAATCTAGGCATGACTAGTCATAAGTACTCATGCGTCCTATCGAACACCTACAGACCCTCCCAGCTCCCAGCTGGCTAGATAATTGGCTAGTAGTTACTGTATTAGGACAGCCAGTTCTTATTACGATTAATCTCTTTTTTACAAAGTTCAAATCAAAGTTCACACCCCCAAAATTGTTATCTTTATTGTGCAAAAAGTCGGACTTTTGTATTGATAGGGTAGGTAAGCCGAATCCGAGACCTGCTTGAATGAAAAAAATATTTCGTCTCAAAGCGACAGGGTCCTTTTGATATAATTTACCCAAAAGGTTATATGATTAAAGATAAGATTACCTTTTTGAGATGCAATTGAAACTTACATAGAGATCAACTGGCCAATGGATTCGCTTCGTTTGAGGTCCCTGATTGAACTTGATGGTTCAAATGCAGTGGATGTTTCCCAATTGAGTTGTCGCTCTGCAGATGTTGATAACGAATTTTTAGTTCCCAAAGATTAGAACAACTTCCTCGATCGAGGAATTCATCCAATTATATGGGGGATGGATATTTGGTGATACCTAATCGATTGGACCCTCGAGATATGTATAAATATTCATCATTGAGCTCAATTGAATAGAAAGCTAGTGCGACTGGAGTAAAGCTCAAGACTCAATTCCCAGAGATGCAATTGATTAAACAGATTTCTTGTGTCTTAGCTGCCTCGGTAGCTATTGTCGAAGCTGTTTCTCCAAGACAAGCTAAATCCAATTACTATGAGCGTCTCTTAGCTAAGAGAAACCCAGCGTTGTTTGCTAAAAGAGATACTGCTTGTTCACCATCCACTCCTCAAGAAGCTATTGCACCAAAGCAAAATATTTGGGCTGATTTAAATGAAGGTGAAGCTCAAACTGTCTTCGATATTTTGGAAGGTGAATTCAATTTGACCAAACTTGAAGATGCGTCCCCTTATGATAACTATTTAATGTGGATTGAAGTTTTACGTCCAAATAAGACTGAAGCCATTGCTTATTTAGATTACGACGGCCCATTACCTGAAAGATATGCTCGTGCTACATTATTCCTTGGTACTGAAGAATACACAAGTGAAGAATATCCAAATGGTTATTGGCAAGAATTGCAAATTGGTCCATTAAATACCAATGCCACACCAGCTGTTAGAGATTTGGAGTACTTGTACAGCAAATCAAAAGTTGCTTATGAAGTTGGTTTCAAAGATCAATTTAGATGGGGTAGTGCACAGACTATCTACAAGAAGGAATTCCTCTCAGACACAATGTTACCAGTTTTGGTGGATTTGGTTGGTGAAGAAATGAAGTTATTTGGTCAAGAAGGTGCTCCAATTGAATGTTGGGCTACTGATCCATTGGAGTACAACAAGGAAACTGGAAGAACTACCAGTTGGGCCACAGTCTTTCTTGATTACCAAGGTGCTGGTGACATTACACCGTCAGGTCTTTTCATCAATGTGGATATCACTGGGAGAAATGCTTCAGAGTTCTTTGTTACCAAGTGGGTTTATAATAACATTGCTTATAATTCAAGTGAAGAATTTAGAAAAGCCTGGGAATCTGAATCATTTGTTAAATTACCGAAAATTGACTCTTCAAAGTTGAACAGTACTGATTCATTTGTTTACCTCGCTCAACAAGGTGCTGCCAGAGAATTAGATGAAAAATTGGCTCCAATTAATGTTGATCCACAAGGTAGAAGATGGAAATATAGTGAAGAGCAAAGATATTTCACTTGGATGGACTGGGAATTTTATGTTGCTTGGTCAAGAGATGTTGGTATTACTTTATACGATTTGAAATTCAAAGGTCAAAGAATTGCATTCGAAATTGGTTTGCAAGAAGCTATTGCAGAATACGCAGGTGATGATCCTTTCCAAGCTCATACTACTTACTTTGATAGATCATATGGTTTTGGTAATAATGCTTTTGGCTTGATGCCAGGTTTTGACTGTCCTTATAACGCTGAAATGTTTAACGTTTCATGGCACTCAATGGGTGATAACAATTATCAAAACAACTCTTATTGTGCTTTTGAATTTGCTGAAGATTCCCCATTAGCTAGACACACTGCTTCTGAATATGCTGGTGTTACCAAAAACCCAACTTTCAACTTGAGAACTATTAGCACAATTGGTAATTATGATTACAACTTTTTGTATAAATTTTATTTGGATGGTACTTTTGAAGTTTCAGTCAGAGCTGCAGGTTTCATTCAAGGTGCCTATTATAATGAAGAAACTGGCTCACCATTTGGTTACAGAATTAACAAAGTCTTGTCAGGTTCATTCCATGACCATGTTTTGAATTTCAAAGCTGATTTTGATATTGCTGGTCAAAAGAATAGAGTTACAAACACAGCTTTGAAATCAACCAATTTCACTTTCCCATGGGATCCAGAAACTGTTTATTCAACCAAGTCCAAAGAAAGATCTGTTGTGGAAGATGAAACTTACCTGAACTGGGCTGATGCTGGTGGTGTTTTATTGATCGAATCTGCTGAACAAAATAATACATGGAACAATCCAAAAGCTTATAGAGTTATTTTTCCAGGTGGTGATGCTAGAAGAATTGCTCAAAACACCAAGACTATTGGTGTCAATGCTGAATGGGCCAACCATGATTTAACTTTCACCAAACAAAAGGATACTGAAGTGTTTTCCTCCCATGTGTTTGATGCTCAAGATTTACAAGATCCAATTGTTAATTTTGGTAGTTATGTTGATGGTGAAAGTATTGATGGTGAAGATTTAGTCTGTTGGTTCAACTTGGCTTTACACCATTTACCAAATACTCAGGATATTCCAAACACTATCTTCTCAACTGCTGAATCTGGAATTATCTTCACTCCTTTCAATTACTTTGATACTGAACAGTCAAGAGATACTTTACAACAATTGTACTATGAGTATGAAGACTCTGAATGGAACTTCCACGGTGTTGATGTCAGTCCACAATGTGAATTGGAAGTTCCAGAGCTGGACTTTTCAGGTATTAAATATGAAGGTATGGCTATTGGTAAAGATACTACCAATATTCCATCTCCATGATTGATTCATGAGAAATCCATTTTTCCCTTCTTTATTATCGTCAGACTTTCCAATATTATTCTTTTCAGGAGATGTCTTTTCTATACACTTTATTATACCCTTTATTAATAAGACTAGATATTCTTTATAAAACAGATCAATTGTAGTTATATTTTCCTAAAAGTCTATTATAGAAGTGCCCCAACCAATACTTCGCGAATGTGTTCTGCAACATGGAGACCGTACAAATTCATTTTCAATGGCCATCACCAAACTGATTTCTCAAGACGAAAGAAGAAAATCACTTGAATGGCTGAAATGATTTCGTTTTGGGTGTCTAATTCACAGATTTAACACATTTTCCACATATAAAGTCCACCATTTTCAACAGCCAATACCAGTAAAAATTTCCACTGGATTTGATCATCAGCCTTTCGCTTCACCGGTTGCTACACTCAGTTTTTTTTAGCTGGAACAAAGGTCTAATCTGAGTCAGATTCACAATATTTCATCAACAGGTTCCGGAAGATTTATTCCAATAGATTTGTATAAGTTACCATCATTTTCTTTCAGAAAGTACCATCCAATATATTCATATCTAAGTCACAATGTCATTGAGACTCCTCCAGGGAAGCCTATTCAGGCCATCCTCCAAGGCACAAATCTGTCACAGATTGCTATCAACTTCAGCTCCAAGATACATCACTGAACCAATAATAACGCCCAACAAGTTTGTCAAGATCAAACCAGTGACAAACCTAAGATCAAGAAGTCATCCTGAATTCATTCAAGCTCACAACTCCAAATTAGAAAACTTGGTGTGGAGAAATCCATTACAAAACATTTTAATTGTGAAAAAACCATGGTCTCAACATGTTCGTGATAGTATGGTTCAATTTGTAACTTTTTTACATGATCATTATCCAGAAATCAATGTCATGGTTGCTAAAGACGTTGCAGAGGAGATATCCCAAGATTTTAACAGTTATCCTAAACAAACGAGTTCAAGTCCTCATATTTTATATACAGGTGAGATGGAAGATATTGTCCCAAGGACTGATTTATTAGTCACTTTAGGTGGTGATGGTACTATTCTAAGAGGTGTATCGTTATTCTCAAATGGTAGAGTTCCACCTGTGTTATCATTTTCATTGGGTACATTGGGCTTTTTATTACCTTTTGATTTCAATCATCATGAACAAGCATTTAGAGAAGTTTATACATCAACTGCCAAAGTTATTCATAGAACAAGATTAGAATGCCATGTTATCAGAAACAATTCAGCTCCAGCTACCAATAATCAAGGAATGATCCATGCCATGAACGATATTGTTCTACATCGTGGTGATACACCAAATTTGACCACTTTAGATATTTACATTGATGGTGAATTTTTAACAAGAACCACAGCTGATGGTGTTTGTCTAAGTACACCAACAGGATCAACAGCATATTCATTGAGTTCTGGTGGTAGTATTGTCAGTCCATTAGTCCCAGCCATTATGATTACACCTATCTGCCCAAGATCATTATCATTTAGACCATTGATTGTTCCATTATCTTCACATATCAAAATCAAAATCATTAGTAGACAAAATGGTGAAAATGATGTCAGGTTCTCAATTGATGGTGTTCCACAAGATTGTTTGAAAGTTGATGATGAAATACATGTTGTTAATGAAATTGGAACAATCTTTGTTGATAATGTCAAGATCCCAGGATCAACAGGACAACAAAGAGCAATCATGAAGAAGAAACAAATAGAGACAGGTGTTTATTGTGTTGCCAAAAGTGAAAATGATTGGGTTAGAGGTATTAATGAATTACTTGGTTTCAATTCAAGTTTCAAGAATCAAGCTAAAAAAAACTAATAACTAATGAAAAGAATAGTGAAAAAAAAAACACATTTATTTGTAGGTATATACTGTCTTGCCAATCATTGCACTACTCCCCATTCGGGTTCACGAAGGAGGTCCCTTAGAATTAAACAAAGTTAATTCAGATGGAATACTGCACCCAAGATTAACAAATTTTGATCTCCAGTCCAAGCCTCAACAAAATCGACAACAAATATCCAACGCTCGTCATGGGTCAAGAGCGTCAATTAAAATTGAGCTCAACCTCAAGGAGATGCTTTATTAGTTGTGAATGGCTGTGAAATTTGCGTTAAAGAAAAGGGAAAAAGTGTTCAAGTTTAAAATGAAGCGAAAAATTTTCGTTTTATATAGGCGCTGATATCCGGGTAAAGTTCGCGAATTTCTCATAAAGTTGACTTTTTTTAGGTCAACAAGACACAATTCATAATAACGTCAAAGAAATTGGATTTGAAATAGGCAAAATGGAGGTTATTGATGGTGATTTGGACCTAAGGATTGATCAATTGAACCAGAAAATTGATGGTATCATTGATCCTGCTAATCTAAGAGCTCAAGTGGAAAATGTTGGTGGTGTTTCAAAAGCCCTAAGTTTCGATGAGTTATCAAAATTACAGCAACGAGATTATGAAATAACTCAAGAATTACAACAATTGAGAGAATTATGGGTCATCTCTACTTTATTAAAGGAAACTGAAGTTAATCTTGAGCTTTTTGAATTTGAAAATGTATTTGATTCATTGAGAAATTTCCAAAAGAAGATTAAATCTGATTCGTTAACTTCAAGTTTAATTATTGTTGATAAGTTACAAAATGAACATGATCGTTGTTATGATTTAGCGATTGAGAAAATAAAACAATGTTGGAATGAATTGATCCATGTTGATAATGATTCAATTGAATTCAATGCAGAAGTGGAGATAAATGGGAATCTTGTTCAATTTGAAAATATATCTGATGTTATCAAAACTAACAATTTGCAAACCAAAATACCAAATTCAAATACTTCTCATCTCATAGATCAAAAACTACTCAACTCCCTGACAGAATCAAAATCATTAAATCTATCTGATAACAAGATCTCCATCAATAATGACCATGAATCAATTCAAGATCAGATCCAATCAATTAGCAACCTAGTAAAGTTCATCAGTTTTATTCCAGATGATCAACAAATAATAAACTACATATCACCAAGATTCTTTGAATGGTTGAAAGAATTAATCACAATTAATATTGATCTAGTTTATTCAGACAAATCATTACAAAATCAGTTTTTGGAACTTGATTCAATGCTAAAATCTCAAAATTTCAAAAGAAACGATTTACAAAATTGGATAAAGAATGAATTAAATGAGATTGCAGTGGAAAACTATCTGGATTTACATATTGATCAAGCCAGAAAATTGGTTTATTCATTAGACAAATCAGTTTTCCAAAACTTGATGACTAGAGAATATAAAGAGTCTGTTGAGTCTAAACCTGCTCCAAAAGCTGAACCTGTTCCTCAGCCTCCTGTTGATGAGCCTGAGGATGATTGGGGATGGAATGATGAGGATATTAATGTTGATGACGATCAGGATCCTCAACAAGAGGAAGTTCAAGATGATTGGGGCTGGGATGATGATGAAGAAGAACAACCAAAACCTAAAAAGAAACTCGTTTCCAAGTTGGCAAAGAAATCACATAGTAATGAGCCATCAAGGGAATCAACTCCAATACCGCAAACTTCAATAACTTATCAAACAACAAAACTACCTGAAGAGGTTAATAAAATCATAAAATCATATTTATCAACACAATCAAAATTACCATCACAATATCATGACTTGCATTATTCAAAATTGAATTATTTAATAACGGGGTTTTACATATTGATTTCTCAAGAATTTAAAACTCGTACTAAATCATCACTCTTATTATATAATGATTTAACATATTTGAATCAGTTATCCAAATTTTCAAGAATAGTGGAATTGAAAGAACAATATTTATCAAATTATATCAAAGATTTCCAAAATGATATAGATGAACATTATTCAAAATTACAAGGTCTAGATCCTTCAATCTCATCTAATGAAACTTATAAAATCATTGATGATATCCAATTAATCTTCACAATGTTTTTCAAAAAATTGGAAATTATACCATCATCTAAATATCAAGAGATTTTATATTCCGCCATTGAATCATTTTATAATCAAATTATTGAATCTGTCTTTGCCAAAACCAATATTGGTGAGATTGAAAGTGAATATTTGAATTTGATCTTGACAAGATTTTTACAATTGAAATTTCCCGTGGATCATAACAAGTTGAAAAATCATTCAAAATTACAACATGTTGCATTTATTGTGAATTCACATTTAAAAGATATCATGGAAAGTTTTTATAATGCTGAGTTTTATGACTTGTCTACGATGGAACTCATTGCATTGATTGATAAGTTGTTTGCTGATAGTGATTTGAAAAGAAGAAGTATTGAAGATATCAGAGAGATTAGAGAAGCTGATTAGCATACAAAATAAAACTATATTGTCATAATGATCATATCGTAAAATCCCCCTGGTAATATTATACAAATCTATATTATTAATGCCAAAAATATTCAAACAAACACCGATCCTTCACTTATATCCTCTTTATTAACATAGGTTTCCACAGTCCCATTGATTTTTTTATGTTCAACACATTCCACAATTTCCATTGTTTGGTTCTGTTTATTATATTTATCAATTTTGTCAATAACAGGTTTGAACACTTTTTCTTCAACATCTCTTGCCCATAAAACATCCATGTGTTCATATGTATCAATTCCGATTGCTTCAATCTCTTTACAACTTGTCAATGCAGCTCTTGTTGGGTTTATATCTATCAACATATCATTTTTACCATAAATTAAATAGATTGGAGCTGAAATGGTTTGAACTGGGAAAGGTGCAACTCTATGAACTTTTAAATTCGTTGACGTGATTTTCGTTAATGGTGAAACTAAACCTTCATCATACATTTGAAATCTCTTATTGTTGATAATTTGAAACCAATGAACAACAGATTTAACACTTGATGGTGAAAATAAATGAGGATATCCAATAGCTTTTTGGTTATGGGTAATGTTTGAGCTTGTCCAACCAAACAATAACACTAATGACTTATCAACAACAGTTTTATAGTAAAGTCTTCCCAACAATTTTTGCCAAAACACAACAGACGGTAAAATAGCTCTTCTACCAAATATAGAAAACACCAATTGTGGTGCAGTTTCAACGAATAATCTTGCAATAGGATGATTCAAACCTTTTGGAATCATTGCAGGACTTAAGCCAATGAATAGTTTTATCTTTTTATTCAATTTTGGGTTTAATGATAGAGCACCAAACGCTTGGGCAGAACCTTGACTAAAACCAACATATGTCAATTGCAGATTATTGGTCGTTGATAAGATATAGTCAATTGTATCAGGAATATCATATAATGCAAATTCATCTAATGAATAATCCCAAAATTTCTCAGAGGATGATGATAGACTTAAATGCTTTCTTGAATACTTGTTACCTCTATTATTACCTAACCAAACATCATAACCTTTCTCAAGTAATAGATAAGGTAAACATTTAGCAGGAGTTTCACCCAACACAAACAACTCACTATTAGTCAACAACCCATGATGGAAGTAAACAACTGGTCTTCCCTCCTTGTGGATATCGCTACTTTTGGCCAATATTCTATGAATAGCTAATAAATACCCATCTTTAGTTTGCACAACATGTTCGTGAACTTTGTAACCGTGAGCATGACAGATATCCACTATATCAACGGCATCTAATATGGCGTCAGTGACAGGTTCAGACTGGGCTAGTCTATCAACAGACACATCATCATCAGAAGAGCTTTCTTCACCAACATTATCAGGTTCTTTCCTGGTGACATTTGACAATAGAGCATATGAATCTATGAAAAAGTGGTAGAGCTGGAAGGGGAGGTAAAGCACTTTAGCGAACAGTAGAAACACCACTCTCAGCACCGACTGGTAGAGCTCAGACATCATGGACATTGTCATATCTTCAACCAGGACAGAAACGATATTGTCTGGTGATGATGAATGCGAAATTGTGGACTTTTTGTACCTCTCCAGATAAAAGAAAAAAAAATGGCAAACGCGTTCGCGATTGACGGTTTTGCGCCTTGATAAAATTTCATTGCTCGAGTTAAATTTTTTTGTCAATTTCATGAATCATCATGGCTGTAGTGGATTCTAAAGGACTGTTGCTGGCTATCAGTGGGAATTTCACATTAAAGTTTGTGTCAATTTGAGAGTCAGAAAAGGCTTGCTGCTGATGAAATCTCGAGACAAATCTACATCATGATCGTCCCCAGACCAGAGATTCTGTGGAGATGCTGGTTATTGGATTCTATATGACAGGTTGGTGTGTATACTTTATGCTCTTCATGTCACATGAGTAATAAATAGTTCAATAAATAGAGTGTGAATAAATAAGTTAATAAATGCTCCAATCAAAAGATCCCGAATAGTTTCCTTCTTGGTGTGTTTGATGCCGTTTTTTCAACATGACCACTAGCTATCTGTTCTTCTGCAATATCAATAGCTCTCATCAAACGTTCTTCACGTTCTTGTAAGATCTTTTGAGCCTCCATTAAATGTCTTTCATCTGGTCTCTCCATCAAAAATTTAGGATCAATCTCCTTAGGTTCAGGTCTAACATAACCTTCTTCACTTTCAGACACAAATGATAGTGGTCTTTTCGAGTAACCTCTTTGCTTTGGAACTAAATCTTCCAATTCTTGTTTTGACAATTCACCATTCAAAATATACTTGGCTCTTAATCTTAACCTATAGAACTGACTGAATACGTTATCAAATCCCTCATTCCATCTATAAAAGAAAACTGCATAAACACCAACACCTAAAGCCAATAATCTTGTTGTGAATAGAGCACCTTGATAAAATCGTGGATAATTGTTCACTCTTCTCAAAACTTTATATTGACCAGGATACAACTGACTTTTCGGTCTTGGGCTATATTGCAACTTTTGCATTGTGTCTTTCATCTGTTGATACTGGGTAGCATCTGATGGTACGCTAGCCCATACTGATTTCTTTCCAGGAGTTTTAAATTCACTTGGATAACCTTGTGGAGGTCTCTGCTCTCTAGGGTCATATGGGTTATAGTTGGTTCCCTTTCTTGGGGGAACCCAGCCTGGAGGATTAGGACGTCTGTCCAATGGAATATCGTCAGCCATAGTGTGATTTCAATTGGGTTCTCTGCTGTTTTCAATTATGTTTCGTTACAATTGTCGATGCTCTTTAAACAGGGGTTGAAATTTTGGAAAACAGATTCGCGAAAGTCGCGAAACCAAAAAAAGTTGGAGTTGGCCTTTTTTGGCTGAGTTGTTCTAAATAAACCATTCCATAACTAAGTAAAATCAGTTCAATTGCTTGATATTTCTGTTCAAATAATCATATAGATATTCCTGCTCTTTAATTGATCTGCCACAATGGGACTTTTGTCAATTTTGTCCTTCTTTTCACTTCCCGTGTTGGATTCAAGGTTAAATGCCCCATCTGATCCAAAGAGAAAGCAAAATGTTATAAACAAAGCTACAACTTCAAAATGGAACACTTTAGAATTTAAATTTTATTTGGTGGCTTTTTGTATTGTGGTTCCAATGTTATACAAGACTGCAATGGATGCATCAAATGAAACAAATCCAAATTATCCAAAATTTGAAAGATTATTAAGTCAAGGTTGGATGATGGGTAGAAAAGTTGATAATTCTGATGCTCAGTATAGATTTTTCAGAGATAACTTCTTCTTATTAAGTGCGCTGGTTGCTGGTCATACATTACTAAGAAGAGGTGTTTCATTGGTTATACCCTCAATTCAAAGAACTCAATTTGATTTTGTCTTTGGTATAAATTTTTTAATTGCAATTCATGGGGTCAATGCAGTCAAAGTTGTTTTACACATCACAATCATCTTCATACTGGCACGTTTAACTCAAAGTCATAATAGGTTAGCAACTGGGCTTTTATGGACTTATGGTGTTGGTTCATTATTCCTTAATGATAAATATAGATCATACCCATTTGGTAATATTCTACCATTTCTCAGTTTTATCGATACAGGCTTCAAAGGTATTGTGGCTAGATGGGATGTTTTTTATAATTTCACATTATTGAAAGCTTTGAGTTTCAATTTGGACTTTATCAAACGTGCAAATGATATCAAGATTAGAGCTGATAAAAAAAGATCAAAAGATGAAGAGAAGAAACCAGATTCAGTTCCAACAACACCACAAGATGTTGTTACAAATCTCATCGTTGATGAAAGGGATAGAATGAATGCATCTTTGGATATTGAAGAATATAGCTTCTTCAACTATTTTGCCTATATTACTTATGCTCCTTTATTCATTGCCGGTCCAGTTGTCACTTATAATGATTTCAGATGTCAAGTTCACAACTCCTTACCTTCAATCAATGCTAAAAGAACATTCATCTACGGTTTAAGGTTCTTATTCTGTGTTTTGGTTATGGAATTCTTATTACATTATATGTATGTTGTTGCAGTCTCTAAAACTGGAGCATGGGAAGGTGATACTCCATTTCAAATTTCCATGATTGGATTGTTTAATTTGAATATTATTTGGTTGAAATTGTTGATCCCATGGAGATTATTCAGATTATGGAGTTTGATTGATGGTATTGACCCTCCAGAAAATATGATTCGTTGTATGGATAACAACTATAGTGCTCTTTCATTTTGGAAGGCATGGCATAGAAGTTTTAACAAATGGGTTGTTAAATATGTCTATATCCCATTAGGTGGAGCTTCGAATAGAATCTTGGCTTCATTAGCTGTTTTCTCATTTGTTGCTATTTGGCATGATATTGAATTAAAACTTTTATTCTGGGGTTGGTTAGTTGTTTTGTTCTTATTACCTGAATATTTCGCATCAACATATTTCAGAAAATTTTCAAATGAATGGTGGTATAGACATCTTTGTGCAATTGGAGGTGTTACTAATATTTGGTTAATGATGATTGCTAATTTGTATGGGTTCTGTTTGGGTCAAAAAGGTACACAAGCACTACTAAATGAAATGTTTGGAACTTTTTCAGGTATAAGATTCTTTGTTGTCGCTAATATAAGTTTGTTCATTGCTGTCCAAGTTATGTTTGAACTACGTGAATCTGAAAAAAGAAGAGGTATTGATGTGAAATGTTGAGCAAATGATTATATTTATTATACCCTTGAATATACTATTTTAACTATTATTAATTCATATGCAGATGATGCAACTATGTTCTATGCTGTTTCTTAAATTCACCTGGTGTTTGTAATTTTTTACCTGATGCCCATAACCCCTTTCTGGATTTTTTAGCTTTCTTCTCTTCTTCTCTGAATATCATTTCATCTCCATCAAATTCAGCACTTGCCTTACCTTCATACACAATACCAACACCATTCTTAATCATTTCAAGACTAACATTCTTACGACCAAATAATGTCCAAATGGTCGCCTTCCCCACAACTCTACCATATTGATCGATAGATAATGGTTTCACTCTGATCCTTCTGCCCAATATGAAACTTCTCAACCATCCCAAAGCTTCATCAGAATACGGCTGCGCTGGTTTCCCAAAATGTGCTCTTTCTGGAGCATCAACACCACATAATCTGATATGCAACGTTTTATTCTTTAAATTTCTTTGATTTGTCTTTGGTGGGAATCTCAGCCAATTCCAACCACCTATTATCCCACCAGGGGTATGAAAGAAATGAAAGTTGTCACCATCACCCACACTTGTAACTTTTCCTAATAAGCTTCTCTTGTAAAAATGACCAGTGGGTATATCTGTAGCCTTTTGGATTGGTCGAAGAAATCTGGTATAGAATTTATATCCACCAAAAACCGACGACGTCAGAATCGTCGACATTATTATAACTCTCGAGTCCAAGAAATGCGACTCATTCTTATTCATTATGCAATATTCGATCTTTAAACTCAAAAACAAAGAAATCTTGCTTCTGACTTTAAATTTCAAATCACTTTTTTTTTGTTTACTTTTCGCAAAAAAGACGTCACCTCGGTGATATTTAAAGTTCGGGCCCGTGATAAAATGACAGATCAATACATTTGGTCAACTACAATCAACTTTCAACATGCTATAACTGTTTTTACTTTTATTTCTTCTATACTTGCTGTTCCCTCGACTGTTGCTTTTCAAATAATTCCAAATTCAAAGCAGCTAAGAAGCTAGGGATATCATTCTTCTCCTTAATCCAAAAATCTATTAAAGTATCACATGTTTGGAAAAACTCATCATCTTCATCATTATCCTTACTTGTTTTGAATGTTTGCTTAACAGGATCTATTAACAAGCAGTTTTTATCATTCTTGACATATTTTGAAATCAGTTTGATTTTATTAGATGGTAAAAATTCCAACTTGAATCCGATCAATGAATAAACAGCATCTATGAATTCTAAAGATTTGGCACTAAAGATTTCGCGTAATCTTTGAATACGTTTGTTGAGGTCATGGATTTTGCGTTCTAATGCTTGGTTTTCTAGTTGGGACCTATCATAGATAGATTTGGGTATTGTTTCACCTAATGGTGTCTTGTTCAGAAGATCATTATTTTCTTTTGTAAGGGTATCAATTAACTCTTTTTTTATGAATTGATCATTTGAGTATGGATTGTTTCTCAATTGCAATATTCTTATTTTCTTTTCTTTGATATCTTGGAATGATTCAATTTTCTTTAATAATACTGAATTTTCATTCAATAGTTTTGAGAATTTGTTATTCAATTGAAAATTTTCATCCTCCAATCTAGAGACAGATTTTTGAAAATTTCTTGTTGTGTCTTCATCATTCTCATCATCCTCAGTTCTCTGTCTCTTGTTAGAGCTAGAATCTTTTGGTATTTGCTTAGTCAACTCATTAATCTTGTTTTTGTATTCATCAACCAAGCCTTCTAAATTCCGAATATATTTATTTTTATCATCTTCATTCAACGAAAGTTCTTGATCTAGGTTTTTCAATTGCTCTCTAAGGAAATTAGATTCTTCAAATGCTAAGTTCTTTTGTTGTTCAATTTCATTATTTAGTTTTTCCAGATTTGAATAACTTTTGGTTAGGGCTTGGGAATTCTTATTTAACGTTTCATGTGTTATAAACAACTCATTGTATGTATTTTTGAAACTCTTCAATTCAGTATCAACTTTGTTGAAATTACCTTTGAGTAAGATATTTTCATCTTTGATCAACTTGAAATTTTTAACAAATTCTTCAATTTTAACATCATCGTCCTCATTTAAATAAACTTTCCATTTGGAGTTCTCTTGTTGTAAATTCAACACTTGTAAGTTTAAGTCGTTTATTGTGTCATTTAGTTCATCAATCTTGCCCAATTTCTTGGTTAATGATGCTTTCTCTTCTTTCAAAATTTCAACGTTTTGTTTATTAAGAGTTAATTTTTTGATTTGTTCAGCTTGAGTTAGATTTTTCATTTCTAATTCTTGAATATATGAAATTTGTTCTGACAATTGTTTTTTGATGGTTTCCACTGACGCAATCTCGTCTCTTGATGGGATTGACATGAGATCAGAGTTCAATTTTTCAATGGTTGTATTTTGCTCATTGAACTTCAGCTTTAGCTTATTTATCAGATCGTTCTTGGCATCTAGTTCATTTGAAAGCTCTGTATTCAGCTGGTTCAAGTTCTGGATCTGAGCTTGATTATTATGTTGTTCTTGTTCTACTTGTGATAATTTGTATTTAGATTCTGATTGAACTTCATCATACTGTTTCTTGTAATTGAACAAGTCAGTTTTCAATGTTCTAATTTCATTTTCATATTTCTCTCTTTCCTCTGTAAAGTTTTCATTGACATGTGTGAGTTTTGACTGAAGTTCTTTATTTTGATTATATAGAAACACTTGATCAGATGAAATATTGTCATTTTTCAAATGTTGTTGGGACAATTCTTTGGTTAATTCATTGATTTTTTGTTCTGACTCTATTTTCCCTAGTTCAACTTGATTTTTTAGATCACTTATTAAATAATTTAATGAGTTTATTTGAGATTTCAATTCATCATAAGTTGGATCGTTATTGGTTGCACCACCACCATTATTCGAGTTGAAACTTATCCTTCTGAAAGGTGAACCATGCTTTGACTGAGCCCTTGATGGTCTATCAACGAAAGGAGATGAGTCAGCCATTGCCAAACTTATCGATTGATATAATTTTCTAAGTCGTTTTGGTGTAGATTTTGTTTTGTTTATGTTTTTTTTCTACCTTCACCGACTGCCAACAAATGACGTGTCAGTTTTAAAATTGTTCGCGAATTTTCGAAATTTGGATTTTTATGGCAAAAAGTTCAGATTTGTACCATCAGCAGCAGCAAAAAAAGAAGTCCAACGACAAAAGAGAAGACGAAAAAGAGATGTCAAAAGTGTAAGTTGGTGTTTTTTGAGCTATGTATAAATCCTTTTTGACTAACGACTTGGCTCAGTCCTAGAAGTTTTAGATTGTTGGAAGAATTAGAGAAAGGTGAAAAGGGTTCAGGTCCAGATTACTGCTCATACGGGTTGGTTGACTCAGGCGATAGCTCTTTAACACATTGGAATGGTACAATTCTAGGTCCTCCTCATAGTAACCATGAAAACAGGATCTATACATTGAGCATTACCTGTGGTGATAACTATCCAGAGGAAGCCCCATTGGTTAAATTCATTTCAAAAGTTAATTTACCTTCAGTTGATCAAAGCACAGGTACTGTTGATCCTGCTAAATTCCCAGTATTGGGTAATTGGAAAAGAAGCTTCACTATTGAACATATTTTGGTTGAATTAAGAAGAGATATGGCTAGTGCAGCAAACAAGAAGTTGACCCAACCTCCTGAAGGTTCATCATATTGAGTGTGACTTTTGTTGATTGTGTGATAGGTGTGAATTTGTTAGATGTTATGTACGACTCAATGGCATGATTTGGTTTTCCTATGTTTTATTTGAATTACGTTAATGTTGTTTCCTGATAATGATTTGTAGTGTGTAACCACAGTGCTAATCATCAAGCCTGTGCCACAGTTCTTCGACAGGTTTTCAAAATCATTTCGAGTGGTATAAAACGATCTCAATATGTCTTCAATTGAAGTTAGTTTTTTCTATATGTTATAGATCTCCAAAGATGACTTCAGATACTAAAAGACACAAACCTTCAAAAAAACTTATCATCAATGCTTTTAACCCGGGATATGCTGCAAAATGGAGACATCCACGTGACAAATCCAGAGAATTCACTAGAGACGTTGATGCTTGGATCGAATATGCCAAATTAGCTGAAAAGGGGAAGCTTCATGCTATATTCATAGCAGACCATCTTGTTTTATTTGATGAATTTGAAGGGCCTGCAAATTTTAAACATCCTGCAAAAGCTGGTCAAGCTATTCCTAGAGTTGATCCAAGTGCAATAATCCCAGCTGTTGCTGCTGTGACGGAAAATTTGGGATTTGGTATCACTTTCAGTACTGTTAGTGAGCACCCTTATTTGTTTCATAGAAGATTGGCTTCGTTGGACCATGTAACGAAAGGAAGGGTTGGTTGGAATATTGTTAGTTCTTACCTTAATAGCATTGGCCGTCAATTGCTGAATGGTGCTCCATTACCTGAACATGATGAAAGATATGTGAAAACTGAAGAATACTTGGATGTTGTTTATGATTTACTATTAAGTTCATGGAGAGATGATGCTTTGGTTAATGATCGTGAAAATGCTACATTTATTGATCCAGAACGTATTAGAGAAATCAACCATAAGGGCAAATACTTCGATGTTCCAGGACCAGCTATAACAGAACCTTCAAAACAAAGGTTCCCTGTCATCATTCAAGCAGGTACATCTAAAAAGGGGAAAGAATTGGGTGCTGGAAATGCTGAAGTTGTATACCTTGATGATCGTGATAAACCTCATTTAAAAGAAAAAATCCAATCAATGAAGAAATTGGCTAAAGAAAAATTTGGTAGATCTGAAGATTCTATAAAATTTTTGATTGCTTCATACCCAATTATTGGTAAAACCCATGAAGAGGCTGAGAAGAAATTGGAAGAAATAAGTGCAGCAGCTGTTCCATTATCTGCTGAAATTGGATTCAGTAGTATTTCGGGTATTGATTTGAGTAAATTTGAATTGGATGGAGAAGTATCTCTTGGAGGTCCAAACAACAACTTGAGAACAACTGTTGAAGGGATCACAAGACAAAAAGTTCCTGGTAAAAGCTTGACTAAAAGAGAAATAATTGAAAATTATAAGGCAAGAAGTGGTTCATTATTTGGATCATATATCGAAGTTGCAGATGAAATCGAAAGATGGGTCAGAGATTATGATATTGATGGATTGAATTTGGGAGTTTCTGTTTATCCTGAGGGACTTCATGATATTGTGGATTTATTAGTCCCAGAATTACAGAAAAGAGGTTTATTCCATTTAGATTATGAGGTTCCAGGTGGTACTTTAAGAGAAAATTTGAATGGTCAAAAAGGTCAAACTTTTTTGGCCAAAGATCATCCAGCATATGGTTTAAGATGGGAAGCTGGTGTTTCGTTGAAAGACTTTGAAGAACAAGTTGAAAAGACCAAAAAGAAAAGACAAGATATTAGAGATTCTTTATAGTTTTAAAATAGTATTAATTAGTCTATACGTAGCTAATCCCTCAAAAGACTCACGATATCAGCAAGTGTTAATTTACTTGGTGCCTTAACAGAGTTCGCAATTTTTGATAAGTTTAGCAAATCAATAGCATAAGCATTAAAATCTGATACTTTTCTCAAAACCAAGAAATCTCTTATCAATAATTTGGTTTGATCATTATGTTCATTCAATTTGTTGAAAAAATTTGGATATTTATTTGTTAATTGTTTTTCTTCATCTGAAACAACATCCAATAGTATATCATAAAGTATTGAATCAACTTTATATGAATGGTCTGAATTGTATAACTGGAACATGGCTAGGGTATCAAATATTTGATTAAATTGATCTCTATCCATATACTTCCGTTGGAACAATGTTCTGATTATATATCTTTGTCTATAAGTCTTTAAAAAAAGTTTTTTAATAATGATTTTGAATATTAACTCAACTGAAATTGGTAAGGATTGTGATTGATAATTTGCAACTAATTCGTTTGATAGTAAGATCGAATTCAATGGTGACACATCTGTAAGTGAATCCAAATAGATGAATAAAATATCCAGATCTAAAAGCAATATTGAATTACTGAAATTGTAAATGACCGATGTAACGGATAATGAAGTCTCACTTGAAGAATTTATATTGATAAAAGATCTAATTTCATTCAAATTTGACAGATTTTGAATGTTGGTTTCTGGATGGTAGGGTATTATGTTTGCCAATCTAATTAAGTGATCAATGAACTGAGGGCTTTGAATTGCGACGCTCCCACTTTGTAAAAATCTTAAGGCCTTCACTATATTGAACCTATCAAAATAATAGATGGAGTTTATCAAATCATATTGATTTTTACTAATTCTGCAGCTTAATGACTGGTTCCCTAATTGTGACAATTCTTTTGATGCACCATTTTTGATATAGCTTTCAGCAGCATCAAATGAAAAGTCCTTGAGGATGTAGTAGACAATCGAAACATAATGTACTTGGCTGATTCCAGATTGTTTCAACTTTGTTAAAAATTTGTCCATTTTGTCAATATTTTCAGGTGGGTAATAATGATCAACATTGAGCCTTGGGAGACCGGCTATATCTGAAATATATCTATCAAGAACCAATTTTTGTCTATCTTTGAGCTTTTTAAACACAAGTTCATTTCTAATGTACTTTATAGCAGCGTATAAACTTTGGTTAACATTTTCAAAGTAGAGATTTGGTCTTGATTCGTTGCGAAGGTCTTTGAGCTCCTTCGCATAGGGAAACGGCAGTCTCTTGAATAAGCTCAATTCGGCAGACATGTGTTCCTTTCTCGCTGTGTATCTTTTCTCTTTTATGTTGATTTTTTTTCAATCGTTATACGTTTTCAAAAATGTAAACAAAAAAAAAAATATTATGTAATCCAAATTGCTTATGTAATATTTTACTCCCAATTTTGCCTTAACTATGTAGATCGGGTACTTTGAATTAAGCGTACAGTTTGTTTTGTAACGAGGCATTCAAGAGCCTAGACTATCAGATACTTACTTTCAAGTTACTGGAAATAGTCTGTTAAGTGCGCTAAAAGCGTTGAATTACACCTTGAACACTTATAACTAGTCAGCTTATATATACCAAACGGAACTCCGCCTGCTAGAATCTTCAACTATAAAAGGAGGCACACATCTTCATGAACAATTACTAGGTTTTTTAGTATATACAAAGCTCAAACTCATCAGAATCACCAAAATGTCCAATGTTCCAGCTTATGTTTCGAGATCTGGTTACAAAATTCCAGCAATCGCTTTAGGTGTCTATAAAACCCCTGTTAATGAAGCACCTAAACTTGTCCATTCTGCTTTGAATATAGGATACAGACACATTGATTGTGCCCAATTCTACAATAACGAGAAAGAGGTTCTCCAAGGTGTTGCTGAATGGATCAATGAAAATCCAAAAACAAACAAAAGAAGTGATGTTTTCTATACTACAAAGATCTTTGATCAAAATCATGGTTACGAATTAACTAAAGCTGCCATTCAACAAAGTCTTGATAACATTAAAGGTATCTCTGATTATTTAGATCTAGTTCTTATTCACTCTCCTCAAAGTAACAAGGAGAAAAGACTTGGAAGTTATAAAGCCTTGCAAGAATTTGCAGAAGCAGGTTTTATACATTCAATTGGTGTTTCAAACTATGGTATACATCATTTAGAGGAGTTATATGCTTGGGAGGGTTTAAAGATAGAGCCTGCAGTTAATCAAGTTGAATTGCACCCTTGGTTGATGAGAAATGAGCTTGTCAAGTATTGCAGAAACAAAGGCATCTTGTTAGAAGCTTATTCTCCATTGGTTAGAGGCCAAAAATTCGATAAGGATGAGAATGTGATGAGCTTAAGTAAAAAGTACAACAAGTCTCAAGCCCAGATAATGATTAGATGGTCAATTCAACAAGGTTTTGTAACATTGCCAAAGACAAGTAATCCAGGAAGACTGGCCTCAAATTTTGATGTTTTCAATTTCGAGTTGAGTAAAGAAGATGTCGACCTATTAAGTCAACCAGAAAGTTATTACATCTCTGGCTGGGATCCAACAACATATGATAAGTAGTGAATAGATATAAATTATATAACTGAAAATGTAGAAAAAATGACTTGAATATGTTTCTTTCGAGGCATCTGCCAATTTATTCGTGATGTCAAAACTTTACGAGAGAGGCATAAATCTTAAAAGCAATCTAAAAACAACAAACTTCCACTATTTAAAAAACGGTTCTAATCCATGAAAATATGATATTTGATTTGTCCATAATGCTTGTCGTTTCAATATACATATCATGCTCACTCATACCTTAAAATCAGGGGTTAAAATCCCTGGAATTGCTCTAGGTCTTTATCACATCTCCCCACAACAAGCAACTTCAATCGTATCAAAAGCTTTAGATATTGGATATAGAGGTTTCGATTCTGCCCAAATTTATCAGAATGAAAAACAATCAATAGATGGTATTTCTGAATGGCTTTCAAAAGATTCTCAAAATAAAAGAGAGGATGTCTTCTTTTCAACTAAATTGTTTGATAATGTCCAAGGTTATGACAAGACCAAAAGAAGTGTTTCCAGAACTTTGGATAAAATGAAGGGTATAAACTCCTCATATATTGATCAAGTACTGATATTATCACCCCAGACTAATAAAGAGAAAAGGCTGGAAACATGGAAGGCTTTACAAGATCTAGCTAAAGAAGGTTCAATCAAATCGATAGGCGTTGCAAATTATGGTGTACACCATTTGAAAGAATTGTATGAATGGGATGGGTTAGAGATTGAGCCAGATGTGAATCAAGTTGAATTACATCCTTGGTTAAGAAGAGATGAATTGGTAAAGTTTTGCGTTGAAAAGGGAATCAAAATGGAGGCTTACTCACCACTTGCTAAAGGTCAAAAATTTGAGAATGAAAAATTGACAAAATTGAGTAAGAAATACAACAAGACTCAAGCTCAAATATTGATTAAATGGAGTTTACAAATGGGATATATACCATTACCAAAAACAAGTAATCCTGAAAGGCTTGTTAGTAACTTTGATGTTTGGGATTTTGAAATCAAGGATGAAGATATGGAAATTTTAAACATGCCAAATAGTTATTTTGTCACTGGATGGGATCCTACAACATTTCATGATTGAAAATTCTACACCATACAAGTTAATTATCATATCTCATGGTGGTTCTATTTTATTATTTCATATAATGAGCAGTATACTTTTTATAGCTTTGGTAATTTGTATATATACATGGGGGTAAATTATTATTAATCTAGACATCAATCTTTGACACCTTTTATAACTTAGCTATAATATCACACTGAGTAAAATCTATTCAAATTTATTGTCACTCAGTAGAGCGTTATCTAATGTTTTTAATGCAACTTGATATAGTAGTAACATTATACTACTCTGAACACTTGTCCATACAAATCTTGGACCAACACCACTAAATAAACCAACAATCCCTTCTGTTTTGTAAACTATGAATAAACCTCTGAAAATTGATGAAGTGTTTAGAATTGCTGGTTGTGCAGTTGATGGGATTGTATAGTTTTTGGTATTTATGGTTGTAGGATTTTTAACTTTTGAATGAACATTGGATGAAGGGGAAGTAGTATGTGAAGATGATGGAGGAGGTATTGAGGAAGGGTTTTGGGTCTGTATTCTAGTTTTGATGACATCTAATGGTGTAGTTAAAGTACCAGCTAACCCACCGGCTGCTGCACCTGTTGATAATTCAAGGTCAATAGTTAAATCATCTTTCTTGTAATCTAATCCTCTTGAAAGGAATGCATATTGTCTAAATTTTTCATAAAATGCAAATTGTAAGGCTGAAAATGGTAAATCTCTGCATAATGTAGCTTTGTAACCAAAAAACAAAGTTTGTGGACCTTCTTGTGAAATTAAAGTCTTTATAGCATCGAAAAGACCCTTATAATTATAACCTGATTGGAAATATGGATTATTGAAACGTCCTTGTAATTGTAATCTTGTTTTCAAAACTTCACTAGGGACATAAATAAAACTTGATGCAAAATCACCTAAAAACCCTGCAGTTAAATGAGATAAAGTATCATTAATTTGTAAATCTTGAATCATTGTTCTCTTTGTAAATTCATAAGTTGCAAAGAAAATGGCAGTGCTAGGAAATGAACCAAGCATCGCTGCTCCATAACCTCCATATAATCCTCTTCTTATACCTTCTTCCACCATTATGGTTCTGTAAGCCTTGATCATATTTTTGTATTTTGTAGTTGTTGGAGAACCTTGTTGACGAGTCTTGACGGTATCTAAAGAATGCATAACGGAATCTCCAATAGCACCACCAAGACCACCAGCAAGCATACAATGTATTATCGGGCTTAGCACTTCTTCATCTTGTTGTATCAAAGGTGTGGAACTTGGTTGGTTTGAGGATGGAGAATGTGTATGTTGTTCATGTTCATGTTTACGCTGGGCTTCAAACGGTACTGAAGACCCAATCATGGTCTATTAAATGGAATGGAGCGAGTAGTTTGGTATCAGACAAAACCTCTCTGCCGTGTCTCTCTTTGTGTGAATATTGAAATATGTTGTATGAAATAAGTTAAATTCCCGTTATTTTACCTCTCTATTGTTTTTACTGGTCTATTGAACCGGATCTAAGCACTAGTGAACGAGGTTTTATGGGGTGAATTTGGGCTCTGTGTGTAGTGTGACTCTTGTGAACTCTGCTCTGTTACTGCCTATCAGCATTCATTCATCTCCTGGTGGACCCCAATCTCGTAAGTATCTCTTTGTCAAAATGAACTCTGCCTTTATTTTTTTCATCTTCACAATTAAAATTTCAACTTTTTTCATCTTTTTTTACTTTGATTTTGATTTGAAAGAATGCGCCGGTTCGCACCACACTTTCGCGGGTCACGTGAACTGATTTTTTTTGCACGTATAAGCGAAACTAGAATTAGATTGATTTAATACCCATTTAGCTAAACACTACCAGATCCAAAGATGCTTCGGTGTATCACAAGAAATAGAATATGCTCTTTGGTATCCAGCAGAGTCATAAGGAGAGGTTACAAAGTACTCGCGATAGAGTCGAGCTGTGATGATACCTGTGTCGCTTTAATAGAGAGAGACCAAGACAATGTTCAGCTGATTCAACATATAAAATCCACTTTAAACTCTGTGAAGGAAGGTGGTATAATACCCACAAAGGCTTTTCAACACCATCAGACTGATTTGGCCCGCATTACAAGGGAACTATTTCAACAGAATGGTATATCTTCAACAAACCCTCCAGATGTTGTATGTGTCACAAGAGGTCCTGGGATGGCAGGCTCATTGTCTGTTGGATTAGAATTTGCAAAAGCTTTATCTGTTGCCTTTGATAAGCCATTGGTAGGTGTTCATCATATGTTGGGTCATTTACTGGTGCCGAGATTTGAAACGTCAGGACAAGTTCCTCAATTTCCATTCTTAAATTTACTAGTAAGTGGAGGTCATACAATGTTGGTTTTATCAAGAAGTTTATTAGACCATGAGATCCTTTGTGAAACGATGGACATAGCTGCAGGTGATTCACTAGATAAATGTTCAAGAGAAATAGGTATGAAGGGGAATAATATGGGTAAAGCTTTAGAAACTTTTGTTAATGCAAATCGTCAACATTGGGATTATAAGGATTTTCAAATGCCAAAACCATTATACAACAAAAGTGGTAGAAAAGATCAAATTGCATATTCGTTCGCTCCATTTCACGGGGCTGTTAAAAGGTTGATTGATAATGAAAAATTGGACTTGAATGATGAGGTTGTTCAAGCATGTTTAGGTTATCATATTCAACAGGGTATATTTGGACATATGATTGATAAACTTAAATTGGTTTTGAAAGAAAACGAATCAAAACTTAAAGGTGTCAAAGATTTCGTCGCTTCTGGTGGTGTAGCTTCAAACGTCACTTTGAGAGTTTTGTTGGATGAAGCTTTAAAATCAACTAGTATTGAAAGAACAAGTTATCCTTCTCCAGCTTTATGCACAGACAATGCAGTTATGATTGGTTGGGCTGGAATTGAACTTTACGAACATGGTTTAACTACAGAGGAATCAGTCTTACCAATAAGTAAATGGCCATTATCTGATATCATGAAAGTTGAAGGTTGGAAACAGAAAAACATAAAATAGCATTAAAACAAACAAACCACAATGTACATATTACGAAGCATATACGTTAATATAAATAATAGCAATGATTGATTAAATCAATCCTCTTCAAGTCTGTGTGGTAGATACGATTCAGTGATGTTTAACTTCTCTATTAGATTCTTCCAACTATCATACTCCAATTGGAAGATAATATGATTTGAAGGTCTATCACGTCTTTCTAATAGCACTTTTTCTCTTTCCTTTGGATCTTGAGGTAGTGGTGGTAATTCTGCTATTGTTGGATATCCATCTTCATCTTCACCTAATATCAATCTACCATCTCTTATCAAGAAACTTGTAAAAAACATATTTTCAATGGATTGTGAAAAAGAGTGAGGATTTATGAAAAATTTGAAGATGTTAATTTCAGCTCCGTGTGATTTTTCGTGGAACACTTTGAAACATTCTTGAACTGAATTAGGAGTTTGATTAATTGATTTACCATTGATATCATCACCACTAACTTTTTCAGCAGTAACTTGTTTACCAACAGGTATTTCAGCAACCCTTGCCTTGAATTGTCTAATTTTCTTTTCTATTTCTAATGGGCCTAATAAATGACTTGTTGTTGGTGCTTTATTACCTCTTGAATATAAGAATGTACCGAATTGAAACCAATTAAACTTTCTAAATTCGTGTTTCTTATCATAATAATTTTCTGGATCATCATCTTCGTTATCATACTGTATGGCAGTTTTCAATAGGAAAGTTTTCATTCTTCTTGTAAACTCCTCAACATTCAAGACACCTCCACTGGTACCTAGCTTTATGTTTCTCAATGCGATATCCATCAAATCACCACCATCGAGTAAATTTCTAGAATCATACACTTCAAGAGTTTTGTGTGATGATTTAAGTTTCTGTCTTTCAGCAAAAGCAGCATTGATTTTCTCCAAATGTTCCCTAGCTTGTTCTAACCCACCTTCACGAGCAGCTCTGGCACGGTCATTCTTAATAGCAGAGCTGATTTCTCTAGAAAGAGCCAATAGTTTCTGCTCTTTTGAAAGAAGATCGTTTGGGTCTTGTAAATCTTGTTCGTCATCATCTTCTTCTTCTTCTTCTTCTTCATCATCTTCATCGTCTTCATCATCGTCTTCCTCCTCTTCTTCTTCACTTGATTCACCAGCTTCGTCTTCCTCGTCGTCTTCAACTGCATATTTCACTCTTTTCTTTGTTTGGCCATGGTCGACGCCATTAGTAGTAACACCATTACGCTTGACACCCAACATCGTGAATCCAGATGTCTCTTTCGATGACTTTTCTGAAGGATTTTTCTATCTATCAAGTACGCGTCTTTTTTTGTTATTTTTTTATCATCAACATAGAAAAAAGTCGCGAAAGCATCAAAACCAAAAGCGTGTACGTTTTCAAAACTGTTTCTAGAAATTGCAACTTTAGTAGAAACTTTGGCTGATATTCAAGGCTTAATCCAGCATGTCTGTTCCTGGAAGAATCAAAGTAAGTGAAGTGTCTTTTCTGGCTTTACATTGCCATTCTCTGACAATTGTTTAGCCGCTCGATGTATCAGTCGTCAACAAGATAGCTGCTGGTGAAATCATCATTGCCCCAGCCAATGCTCTTAAGGAAATGATGGAGAATTCCATAGATGCTAAAGCTACCTCTATTGAAATCTTGGTGAAGGAAGGTGGTATGAAGTTGCTACAGATCACTGATAATGGTTCGGGTATTCAAAAGGAAGATTTATCTATACTTTGTGAAAGATTCACAACTTCAAAATTAACAAACTATGAAGATTTGAATTCAATTGCCACGTATGGGTTCAGAGGTGAAGCTTTAGCAAGTATATCACATATCGCACATTTATCCGTCACAACAAAAACAGAATCTGACTCTTGTGCTTGGAAGGCAACTTACTCAAATGGTGAACTAGTCCCATCAAAACCAAATGAATCAAATGATCCAAAACCTGTCGCTGGTAGAAAGGGCACACAGATTACAGTTGAGGATCTTTTTTACAACGTTCCTTCCAGATTAAGAGCTTTGAAGTCTTCAAGCGATGAGTTTTGTAAAATATTAGATGTCATTGGAAGATATGCTGTTCATACTGAAGGAGTCGGGTTTTCCTGTAAGAAATTTGGAGATGCACATTACTCGCTAACAACTAGATCTAATTTATCGATAAAGGAGAGAATAAGGACAGTCTTTGGTTCCAATATAGCTAATGAATTGATACCCATTGAAATGGATCCAATTGAAGAGTATGGTGTGATGAAGATATCAGGGCAAATCACTAATCCAAATTATAATAACAAGAAGTCAGTCCAACCAGTGTTTTTCATAAATAATAGACTTGTTTCGAATGACCCTTTGAAAAGAGCATTAACATCAACTATTAACCACTTCTTACCAAAAGGTCACAAATCATTCATCTACTTAAGCTTAATGATATCACCTCAAAATGTTGATGTAAATGTTCATCCAACAAAGAGGGAAGTTAGATTTCTATATGAAGATGAAATTATTGACAAAATTTGCATGTCAGTTCAAGAACAATTTTCTAAAATTGATTCATCAAGAAGCTTTCCAACTCAATCATTTTTACCAACAAAACGATCAAGACAAGAGGATGAAAATGATGATCAATTTAAACCGTCACAACCTATTATCCCTTCCCAAAAAGTCAAAAGACTTGACTATAAACTTGTTAGAACAGATGCTAGTCAGGCCAAGATAACAACATTCATGTCGCAATCTCAACCATCAAGAGCTGAATCTCAATTGGAACGCCATGAAGACATTGATGATGATGACACCACGATGAATCAATCAACAAATATCACCATTATCGAAGATGGGACTCAACCACAAGCCAAATCAACCCAACTGCAATCACAACCAAATCAACAGGCCTTCAAATTTGTCCCAAAGGAAAGAATCGAAGTCAATCTACAAAGTATATTGGATCTACGGGAAAATGTTGAGAAAAATGTTAACAATAAACTCACTGAAGTTTTCGCTAATTTGTTATATATTGGTATTGTGGATTCTAAAAGAAGATTAGCTGCAATCCAGTATGATGTTAAATTGATGCTCGTTGATTATGCAAGTGTTTTGAATGAATTGTTTTATCAGATTGGATTATCAGATTTCAGCAATTTTGGTACGATTTACTTTGAAGACGATCACCTGCTACCTTTAAGGGAATTGTTGAATCATGTTTTCCAGCATCCAAACTTCAAAGATTCTGATAAATCAATTGATGAAGTTATTGAAGTATTCATCAACATGTCTGACATGCTATTGGAATATTTTTCAATAGAAATCACAGATACTGACACATCTGACCCAAAATTGAAATCAATTCCTTTATTACTGAAAAATTATACACCACCATTAAATAAATTGCCATTGTTTCTCTACAGATTGGGGACAAAAGTCAGTTGGGAAGATGAAAAGCTTTGCCTTGATGGTATCTTGAAACAATTGGCATTATTTTATATCCCAGAATCTTTTGAATGCAGTGAAATTTTGAAAGATGATGATCCTGAGAAACCTGCTTTGATTAACAAGCATCAAGAATTGAATGATTCACTTGAAAACGTGTTAATGCCTATAATCAAGAAGAAACTACTTGCAACCAAGAACCTAACGAAAGATGTTGTGGAAATTGCAAATTTACCAGGTTTATATAGAGTGTTTGAGAGATGTTAAGTCAACACATTATATATAGCTATGACTACATATATAATTTTTTAAAAGTAATTTCATACCGCATTAGAATATTATTTCAGCTCATTCGATAAACGTTTTGTTTCATATAGTTGGTGAGACAGATGATGAAGCTGATGGTGAGGTGAAGAATGAATCAATTAAAGTCTTATCAATAGTTGTCAACCCATCTTCCACGGATTTTTTCAACAGTGATTCTCTTTTCAGTTGAGCTTTTTCAAAATTACTAAATCCATGACCACTTGAAAGAGATGGAATTATAATTGAGTTTGATTCTTTGTTGTAGAAACTTGAGGTTTGATCAATGTTTGGATAGGCACTTTCATCAATATTTCCCACTTCAAATGAAGTCAATTGTTCTTCTTTAACCAAGTTTCTCAAAATATGTCTATTTGATTTATCCAACAAGATCTTGGCAGGTAAATTTGAAACATCACTTAAATACTGTGATAACAATAAAGTTCTCTTTTTGAAAAATTCAATCAATTTAACAGGATATTTTAATGCTTCTTTGATTTCTGTACTTGTTGTTTCATTATTGTAATAGTTCAAAATTGGATTAGCTGTTCTTGTACCATCTCTACCATTAAATGAATAAATGAAATAAAACCTAGTTTCTGGGAAAATTGCAATCAATGATGAAATAGTTGCATGGAAATAAGCATAAAGAACATAGACTTCATCTGGGTATTGTTGATCAATGTATAATTGTTCAGGTAAAATTGAATACCATTTCTTCATTGTATAAAACAACACTTGTAATTCATTTGTCAAATTCTTACTGTTCTCACTTGCTGATCTAAGTTTGACAAAATATTCATTCAACTTGGTGGTAAACTCAACCAAGTTATCATAGTCCTTTTGATGGTCTTTAGATAATTTGTCATAGATCAATGGTTTAGCTTTTTCAATGTTATTAATCAATTCCTGGAAAAACACAGTGTTATATGAAGCAGTATGATAAGCCTTAATACATTGGACGTAATAAATGATGAAAACACCCATATACTCATTCAAAATTCCAGCTTGCTTGAATAATTCATCTTGTTTATATTTTTGCACAATTTCTTCATCTTTAAATGCCACAAACTCATTATTCAAGTAAGAGATGATGAAATTAAAGAACCGACTTGTTAATTCAACATTATCATTCATATTATGAGAGCCAAAATAAGTTGTTGGGATTGCAGTTTGGAAAATTTGAAATTTTGAAAAGGCAATATTCACATTATCATAGAAAACTTTTGGATCATTAACTTCTTTTGTTAAATCAATTTTAAATTTATCCAAAAATCTCAAGACTATCTCAAACTCTTTATTTAGTTGTCTTGAGGCGATCTCTCTAACTTGTTGATCTTTTGAATATTGAGTTAATAAAACAGCACCTGTTGACAACAAAGATTTGAACAAAACAATATTATTTTCAGCTTCTTTCATGAGTAGGTTGTGATAACGATCATATTCATCATACAACCATTCAGGTTCAAATCCTGATCTAAATTTCTTAATCAATGACCAATCTATTTTTTCCCAAATTTGATTCAAATGTTTAGTACAATTTGGATCAAGAACAATCTCAGTAAATTCTTCTGGGAATTGAGGATTTTGATCAGATATTCTTGGATCAATATCTTTATGTTTACCTATCAAAGTTGCTAAACTATTGAAACTATCAGCTTGAATTGAAAATCTTGAAGAGATTGAATTTATTGCAGAATTTCCACCGCTTGTATCATTTAAACCAGCACCTGATACCGAAGTTGCAGAGCTTGAAGTTTCTGATCCCGTAGATTTTGGTCTCTTGATGCTTTCCGTTGGACTATTGTTATTTGAGATGGTTGTTGAACCATTAGTCTGTTGGAATGGGAACTCTAATGGGGGTAATAAAGGCTTTTGAAGATTGACTTGAATTGGTATATGTTGTAATGGCTGTTGTTGCTGTTGTTGGGGTTCAGGTTGATATTGTTGCTGCTGAGCTAATGGAGGTAATGAATTCACAAATATTCTTGAAGGTAATCCAGGGGCAAAATAAGGTTGGTTAGGGTATGGATATGAATGTTGTTGCATTTGTTGTTGAATTTGATTATGATGGTAATGTTGATTTTGTTGTTGTGATTTTTGGTTCTGAGCATTTGATTGAACAGTTAAACTTTGCAATCTAGCAGCATGAGCTTGTTGAGCAGTTTTCAAAGCTTCTCTAGCTGCGTCATCCAAGGCCAAATAAGCACAACTTAGTCTTGCTCTAACACAATTTTTACATTGTGGTAATTGTTCATCACATTTGATACGACGACTTTTACAAGTCGCACAGCCAAGATGAGAGTTTCTATGTCTTCTTCTTGAGTTTCTGAAGCCTTTCTTAGCAGCATTTGGATTGGCTTCATTTGTTGGTGAAGTGTTTGCATTTGATCCATTATTACTTGTTGGAGTCTTAGATCTTCGCCCATTTGTATTGTTTGTAGTGGCAATAGCATAAGGTGGTATTGGATTTTTCAAAGCAGAATTCAAGGCATCCATATGTTTTGTCTCCGTTGTTGAAAATGCTGTGTTTGGTTCTTCATTAAAAGCATGCGTATAGGTTCTTGTAGATGGAGTGGCAATTGAATTTGATTCAATCATATGAGGTTGTTGTTGTTGATGATGGTGTGGTATGTGTTCTTGAGAAGTTGTTGAGACCAATTGTGGAGTTTGTTGGACATAAGCATACTGTGGTGAATGGCTATTAGGATCAAGTCCTATGGGCTGATTTGGTGAATAAGCATATTGTATTTGAGCATAAGGTGAATAATGAGCATTGGCTGGGACACCTGGCGGTTGATGAACTTGACCATGAGGAGCAGCAATGGCTACTTGACCATTCCACATTTGAGCAGGGACGGCTTGATATTGAGGTGGGAGTTGATGGTGAACTAGTGGCACCGATATTAGTTGCGGTTGACCTGGCACTTGGCCTTGCGGATGGAGTTGATGCTGTTGGCGGTTCCATACATCAGCCTGTTGAATGTGATGCTGCTGTTGTTGTGGGTCATTTTGATATTGGTCAGGATACCCGTTAGCAGCGGTTTGATTGTTGGAACGATCCATGGTTGATATATTGTAACTCTTCCAGCTTGATCCTGTGCTTCAACTGCTTTGATTTAACGACCTTTTGTACTCTTGAGGCCCTCTTTACGATCCTGTTTAGATTTCAAGGTACTGGGAGTTTAGCCGTTATAGTTTCAAAACTGAAAGATGGTGATGTGTAGTTGAATGAACCGAACCACTTGTAAGGCTTGAGATGATGGATCACAGAGTGACAGATCTTGGTTTGTTTATAGTCTCTTCCTTGAGTTTTTATGGCTTTGGGATAAAATTTTCAACTTGGTGGATGGTGCTATTCCAAAGATCTACCTGTTGATTTTTCTTCTTTTGAGCCTGTAATACGACTTGACGAATTGAGGTTCCCCTAACACACACAGCAAAGACCTGTGTTTTTCAGTGGAAACGTAAGTGTGAGGTGCGACGTATTACTCTCTAGATGTATCCCTTGATGTTATTAGACAAAAGGATGTAATCCTGTTTCTGATATTTTTTGTGTGTATTTGTGTGTCTTTTTACGATGGAGCGATAATAATGCGATACCAGCTAGTTTATAAGGGCGTCCCTCGCTACAAAATTTCAGTACAATTTGTAGTGAATTAATAAGCCCAAGTCTACGATTGTAAAGTTAGACTTTTGGGATCATACCTTGCAGTACCTTACCATTGGCCCTTGGGTTACGCTGTCTTTATTCCCATCTCTTTACTTTTCGAAATTCGATGTGGGAAGTGCTGAAAAGCTGCTCTTAGTTCCTGAAAATCCCAGGTCTACGCTGCGCATGGGACTACAGATTTAAGCTGTCTCCTGGAGACTAGCGCATCCTGTACTGGACAGAGACAGCGGCGCAGGTGCCGAGTCTCCCTCCGTCTAGCAAGAGTTTACAGTCCATGGTTCAAAGCGCTCGTTTTCTAGGCGGTGGCTTGATCCCATTACGAATCGCTTCTCAGGCTGCCCGCCTATTCCCAAGCCCAGCATCAATAGGCTTGCTTCAGCCTTTCCTTCCAGTCCGCCTACGTTATTTGCATCCACATAACAATACAACAGCTGTAGTTCAGCTCTTAGAATTTACTCTCGTGTGTCGTGACATGTCGTATCTTGAACTAAGGTGTATCATTCCTGCTAAAACTTACTATTTCAGCGTCAAGATCAAGTATCTGTCTGTACAATTAGAAAAAAGGAACAAAGTTTCCTGAGTATATCGCGCTTTCATCGAAATATATAAGTGCTTCTGATTACAAAAACCTATAATAGACATGAGCCGGGACCGTGGTTAGCTCTCCAAATTGTTGTGCTGATCGAGATTCAATATCGTTTTAGAAATAGATGTCAGGGATCCTACTTGAGCTTCAAGTTTCTAATTAGTAGGGTCATCAGTGGAATGGTTGCATCATGAGCTTTAAGCTCACAGAACTGAGCTGATTCATTTGGTCAAATCTTGAAGCTTCGATATTAAGATCGAAATTTCAAATCATATACACAAATCTTTGGATCTTTAGTCTTGTCTCTTAGTGGGCTGTTAGAATTACCTCTGAAACTTGAGTTAAGTTGAGATTCGATTTACGAAAAAGCACGACAACTTTGTTACAGGAAAGTTGAAACTTGAAACCCAACCATAGCACAGAATCTACGCGACAGTCACAAAACTTCTTTAGTTATATATCTACTGCTTCAAAAGTTGGCCTGATGTGTACTCTTTTCTAATATGGAAAAGTATTTGGTTTAGAAGTTAGTGTTTGATAAGTACCCTACATCTTCTCACCCTAAAAATTTTGTAATTTGCAATATCAAGGTTCCAACTTCCTGCTTCTCAAGACGTTGTAGCGAGATTCATGACTAAGTTAGAACTTAGAAAGTACGACAAGTCACTAGAGAATATATATGCTTAAAAGTTAATCATGTAATAGAAAAATCTTTACAAACTTTGAGTTCTGCTACTCAAGATTCGAGATTAAACCTGACTTGTGACTCGTGAGGCTTGTAACGAATCACACACAGTTTTATAACTTGCACAGCAAAATTCAAACTGTATTTTCTCAAGTGCAACTTGTCTAGTGTACTCGTCTGTTTTTTGTAACCTCAGCGAACAGTGTAACTTGATGATCGAATTGGGTAAAGTCCTTCAGAAACGTTGAACTTAATTTTCTTTGATGAGCACATAGACCGCGCGCCAAAAATTGACAGCTTGACTTTTTTCACTCCAAATTGAAAGATGTTCTAAATAGATCTAGTATTAACTGAAACATTCGTCAAACCCCTTTCTGTTTCAGGAATAAAGGTTAACCTATAATACTAGTTAAATTCCCGTATGGACTATGGTAACTGGTTAGTTCTTTTCAATTCCTGATATCTACCTCGGTGTATGAGGGTATACCGTTATGCAAGAGTGTCTAACAATTTAGGCTCGCGATGAAGCCAGTGAAGTTTGACCACTTGTACACCAGTGAACGCTGAGCTGCAATACAATCAGTATAAAGGTTCCCATTAGATACTAATTGGGAGGATAAGTGTGCGAATTTGGATGTCAATGTAGTCAAGTTTATCCTTTTAATTTTCAAACTAGACTCATTTCACTCACAGGTATCGGCTTTAGGACGTATCATGTATGTGTAATTCAAACAATCGTCATATGAGCAACTTCCTGAGGTACAATTGTATATTTCCAGAATTCATACCGCTACAGTGGACCCCTGCAGCGTAGCTTATAAGTGAAGTTTGAATTCATAGCATTTTGTACTGTCCTTCTTTCCTGTTATATTAACAGTTTGTGTGTGAACAACTAGTTTCTTGAAAGCTGATATACGTGATCTCAAACATAAGGGTATAGTTGCGCCGTAAGCCAATTGGATGTTCTACAGCTTGAACCTCATTTGAGCATCATTTTACGATCCTGGATCCTATCCTGATTCCTGATTCCTATTTATGTGGTTTTTCCGAAGTACGTCGTTAATGGTGTTTTTACACTTTTTATAAGCCGTTTGGGACTTGTCAAATAAAGCACAATGTGTAAAATTATATTGGGGGTGAAACTCGAATAGCAGCGCACAAGTTACAACAGCTGAGTTACAAGTTACAACTTCGACAGTTCTTGATGTCCTGATCCCTGGCCAGTGTGAATTGGTATGGGGTAAGTGTACAATTGTTAAACTGAATTAACAGTTCAGCACCAACTGATTTTCTCGTGCTCCATTTGCAGTTTGTTTTGTTGAAATCATAACTAGACGTGAATTGTGTGTGCATAGCCAATTTGACATGAATTGTGATTGTCCATACAATATATGGTTAGTGAGTCTCGGTTTTCGAGGACTTGATCAGTACATGCAAAACGGTACTAGACGTATAAAACATATCTACTAGTGATTAATTGCTGTATTTATTCAATGCCTATAGCAGTATAGGTTGTACTGTACCACAGTACAATATTACAACTGTGATTTATGTTAACGCTGCACAGCTGCAAAACCTTCGAATATGGCGATGAGCTGTCGAGATTCTAAAAACGTCCAGGTTAAATTAACTTTAAAGCAACAACTAAAGAGAAGTTGCACTATGATCATGTTACTCGTTTGAAGTTTTAAACAGCTGTTTGCGCCATGGATCATAAACATTAGCTGGTGTCAAAATAATATATTGAATATAGTGACTGGTACAGTCATCATATTGAGAAGCTGGAATATAATTATTGCATCATGAGGCTGTTACATAAATGATTTATGTCGAGACTCAACTATATTTGAAATTTCGACTATGTAGCGTGTTATAATCAGGCTTTTCATGATAGTTGCACGCCCATAACTTCAGATTGATAATTCATGATTCATGATTCATGACAGATCAATTTCCGCGGAATTTCCACACTTTCGCGTTTAAAGAGAACCTCTCAAGCGCCTATGTGACCATGGTTTGAAACGTTCGTAATTTCATTTGATGTGGACTTTGTTAAGACTTCAAGATATAAACGTAAATTGAACAGGTTTCTGTTATATACTACAAAGTTGAAGAACGTTTTAGCAGAAGAAGGGAATACGCTCCCATATCTACATCCGGACACCTATGTCTGATCTGAGAGACCCTAGGGTCTCAAGTCTCGGGTCGGGAGAAACTGGTGTTCATAAGTTCTTATAAGCGTAGCACAGTTGTACGTGAAGCAGCTAATTACACAGTACAACAATTCTCATAAGTTCCAACTTCCCACACTAAGATGAATAACTGAAAAATAACCTTTCTCCCATATATACATGCAAATCCATGACTCTCAAGCAATTCAAGGAGCTGAAGTCTAGTGTCAAGTTTCAACCTGTCTGGAGGATGTTTATTCATCAAGGGAAGACGAGATAGACACTCGTTGAATATCTGTAGATCGGCTACATCATGACAGTCAGAAGAGCTGGATGAACTACAATAACTAGTACAACAGATGACGATGGCATTGTGCTCAAAAGAACACATATTGGCTGTAATAGCAGCTCAAGCGCTGCCATTGTCACTCGCGGTTTGAACGTCTCTCAACTTTTTATTTAAGCTCCTTCAGATAGATAAAAATAACTTAGAGTATACAAGACACCATTTTAAAGACAGGTTATATGAAAGTTCGAGAAGTGTTAATCGTTATTTTTTGACAGGTTCAACGTATACTTCTTGAACCTCAAAATCCGAAACTGGGATAAACGTACCACATCAAAAGTCTTTGAGATCTACAACATACCGACGGTACTTTGTCAATGAACTTGAGTGTTGAGCAAGCCACAAATGTTGAGTGCCAACCTGAGGCGCTGTGTTGAAAATGACGAGTCCAAATTATACGTTGTCTATGTGAATTGATCAAACAGTTCAATTACTTTTCACTGAAAGATCTGCTTTAGTGTTGAAATCTCCATCTAACTTTCCCCTGCGGCCTGTCCACCCTTGGACTCCACCCTTGGACCTTGGTGTCGAAATAGTGGGTCTTTCTGTGTAGACTGATGATTTACGTAGGTCGTGGTCTAAGCTGGTCTCTATTCCAGATCTCA